GCCAAGCAATTTAGTTGTTTCACAGGTGTAATATGAATCTCAATAATGATCCTTCCGCAGGTTCACCTACGGAAACCTTGTTACGACTTGTACTTCCTCTAAATGACCAAGTTTGTCCAGCTTCTGTGACTTCGTTGCGGTTGCCCACAAGTGAATTCGCATCCGGAGGCCTCACTAAGCCATTCAATCGGTAGTAACGACGGGCGGTGTGTACAAAGGGCAGGGACGTAATCAACGCAAGCTGATGACTTGCGCTTACTAGGAATTCCTCGTTCAAGAGCAAAAATTGCAAAGCTCTATCCCCAGCACGACGCAGTTTAACAAGATTACCCAATCCTCTCGGACAAGGTTATGTACTCGCTGGCTGCGTCAGTGTAGCGCGCGTGCGGCCCAGAACGTCTAAGGGCATCACAGACCTGTTATTGCCTCGAACTTCCATCGAATTGTCTCCGATAGTCCCTCTAAGAAGCTGATACTCAACAAATTGTTGACCCAGCTATTTAGTAGGTCAAGGTCTCGTTCGTTATCGCAATTAAGCAGACAAATCACTCCACCAACTAAGAACGGCCATGCACCACCACCCACAAAATCAAGAAAGAGCTCTCAATCTGTCAATCCTTATTGTGTCTGGACCTGGTGAGTTTCCCCGTGTTGAGTCAAATTAAGCCGCAGGCTCCACTCCTGGTGGTGCCCTTCCGTCAATTCCTTTAAGTTTCAGCCTTGCGACCATACTCCCCCCAGAACCTAAAAACTTTGATTTCTCACGAGGTGCCGAACGAGCTAAAATAACTACCCGTCCGATCCCTAGTCGGCATAGTTTACGGTTAAGACTACGACGGTATCTAATCGTCTTCGATCCCCTAACTTTCGTTCTTGATTAATGAAAACATCCTTGGCAAATGCTTTCGCAATAGTTAGTCTTCAATAAATCCAAGAATTTCACCTCTGACTATTGAATACTGATGCCCCCGACTGTCCCTATTAATCATTACGACGGTCCTAGAAACCAACAAAATAGAACCATACGTCCTATTCTATTATTCCATGCTAATATATTCGAGCGAAACGCCTGCTTTGAACACTCTAATTTTCTCACAGTAAATGGCCTGACCTTTCTGCCACGCGGTTAAACGCAACAGACGTCCAGGCAAAAAGAATCAAAAGTTCCAGTACGCACCGTGAGGTGGACCAGACTCCCAATCCCAAGTTTCAACTACGAGCTTTTTAACTGCAACAACTTTAATATACGCTATTGGAGCTGGAATTACCGCGGCTGCTGGCACCAGACTTGCCCTCCAATTGTTCCTCGATAAGTGGTTTAAATTGTTCTCATTCCAATTACAAGACCAAAGGCCCTGTATCGTTATTTATTGTCACTACCTCCCCGTGTCAGGATTGGGTAATTTGCGCGCCTGCTGCCTTCCTTGGATGTGGTAGCCGTTTCTCAGGCTCCCTCTCCGGAATCGAACCCTAATTCCCCGTTACCCGTTGATACCATGGTAGGCCTCTATCCTACCATCGACAGTTGATAGGGCAGAAATTTGAATGAACCAGCGCCAGCACAAAGGCAATGCGCTTCGAGAAGTTATCATGAATCACCAAAAAGTCCGAAGACATTGGTTTTTTATCTAATAAATACATCCCAGACGGGATTTTACGCATGTATTAGCTCTAGAATTACCACGGTTATCCATGTAGTAATGCACTATCAAATAAACGATAACTGATTTAATGAGCCATTCGCAGTTTCACTGTATAGATTGCTTATACTTAGACATGCATGGCTTAATCTTTGAGACAAGCATATGACTACTGGCAGGATCAACCAGATAACTATCTTCAACAGTCAAGAGACTGCCTAGTTTCCGAAGAAACATAGTTTTTCAAAGTTCGTGTTTCCACCCAGTCTCTGCATTGTCAGTTGTTACACTGTCAACACATCAACTGCATCCAATTGCCTTTTTGAGTTCCTCAGTTATAGTCCGCTAAGCAAAGCTTAGCATCAATAACTTGAGAGGAGGTTTCTGTCTACAAATCACGACTAAAGTCGGCTATCTGTAGCAGCATGCCCCCGAGTGTTTTCCTGTAAATTCTTGCCATCGGCTAGTAATCCACAGAACCCATCAGCGCTTTACATAGCGCAGTGCTTGTAAAGACCGTTTAGGTAAACACCTTTGTAAGGATGTGCTTGAGATTTCGTCGTTAAACGAATCAACTCTTTTCACAACCAAACTCGGCTGCGTTTGAAAAGAAACCAGACTAACCGTTTCCGATTTCATCTTTTGCTTTTTCAAGCTTTTGTTTTCTTTTCATGAAGGTCATTTTGGCTTTATTGAAGTCAGACTTTTGTAATCGGTATTTATAGCGCTAAATAATTTGTACCGAGTCTTGCATGGATTTTTCATGCTGTGGCCGGGTCAGTTGCTTAGCAGAGGTGGTCTCCCACTGGCCCACACGGCCAGGACCGGAAAATGGTCCCCTTCGTGTGAAGTGCTTGGTAGAAGTGGTCTCCCACTAGCTCACACGGCCAGGACTGAAAAATGGTCCTCGTCGTGTGAACCTGCTTGGTAGAGGTGGTCGTCCCACTAACTCACGGCGACAGCATGCTTTGGCCAGAGGTGCTGAAATGGAGTTCTCGAACAACTTTTTAAAGTAATAAAACTGCTATATCTTGACCAATTGGTTTCTGGCTAAAAGCATCCTCTCACCATGTGAGGCAGTGAACAAAGGTGGTCTCCCACTAACTCACACGGCCAGGACCGAAAATTGGTCCTCGTCGTGTGAACTGCTTGGTAGAGGTGGTTGTCCCACTAACTAACTCACGGCGAGAGCATGCTTTGGCCAGAGATGCTGAAATGGAGTTCTCGAACAACTTTTCAAAGTAATAAACTGCTATATCTTGACCAATTGCTTTTGGGCTAAAAGCACACTCTCGCCATGTGTGACAGTTAGTAGAGGTGGTCTCCCACTAACTCACACGGCTAGGACTGAAAAATGGTCCCCGTCGGGTAAATTGCTTGGTAGTGGTCTCCCACTGACTCACACGGCCAGGACCGAAAGCATGCTCTCGCCGTGTGAATGCTCAGTAAAGATGATCTTCCACTAATTCACACGGCCATGACATCCGTTCGCTACTTCACTGTGACCTCCATTAAAAATAAAATAAAATGGAAATAAAAAAGAGAAAAAAATTGGAAAAGTAAACTGCAGCACCTTCTGTTCTCACATGGTCTCCCACTGTAATACTTGGTAAGGCTCTCAGATGGTTCAATAGGACTGATCGGACGGGAAGTCTTGCTTTCATCTGGATATGGCCGCAGCCGACAGAAACTTAACCATAACATACATATATCGGAATTCAAATTGCTCAGTGCTCAGCTGCGTGGTCATTATACGAAAACTAACCTATACATCAGATCTGCTACATATATGTAAATAGCTTAATGTAATTTTAAGGGTAATTGTGTAATGACTCAGATGCTTTCATTTTGGTTCTGTGAGAGAGACCGTCCTTACTGCGTTCTGTCAGCTTAAGGGCTGCCATAGATTCACTTTGCAGTGTCCTCAAGCAAAACCCCACAAACAGATCTTCTTGATTATTGTGATATACATGCTCAATTCGTTTACCTTTTTCTCCATTTCGTAATTATAATACATAGATCACTCGTATTATCAGCCAGAAGCCCAAAGCTAGGAGAGGTTCAGAGCTATGCACCTCATTTATTATGCATAGTTAACACTTCAAAATTCAGAGAACCATAGAATGCAAAGCAGCGGTGAACGGACCAAAATGGGGCGATACGTGTACAGGCAAATAGGAAAAAAAAAGGAACTAGACTAGTGGATTACTATTATCATCGAGTTCGTATGAACAATAACCTCACCACTTAGTAACGGGAACTTGACAAAGACAACTGCTAAAGCACATATGGTTTCTTCAGCGCGACTGTTGTTACAGTGCAACCAATTGCGAGAACTAATAAAGGAGCAACACAGACTTGCACTTCTTGAACTGGAACCAAGCGACCAGGAGAGAGAAGATCTCATAAACCTCTTGGAGACAATACATTCTGGAATCCAGCGACTCGAAGGCGTTGAGGCAGTTGAAGTTCATCAGGAGTTTGAGGCATTGTTAAGCGAACTTGAGCAAATTGAGATGGATGTAGCGAAGTACCACACTGATGTTCCAACGTCAGAATCCAATGACAATGCATCACCGCTTCAACCGTCTTTAGTATCGGCAGTGAAATTAGCTCAGCCACAATTGAGTTCTGAAAGCGCACCATTAAGCAAAAAGAGTGTGAGGTTCACTGATACTGTCGAAGAGAGATATGAGGCGGCTTATCTAGATGACCCGAATCAGCAGAGCAACCAGCTGATTTTTGATATGAACGAACAACTAATGCTTGATCAAGACCGTCGCCTTGACCACCTTGGCTCCAGCGTTCAGCGTCAGCATGCTATCAGCCTCGAGATTGAAAACGAAGTCACTAGTCAGGTCTCGTATCTGGACGATCTCGAGGCCCAAACTGACCGATCCCGATCTCGACTTGGCACGGCTCGTGATCGTGTTGGGGTTTTCAACCGCAAATCGCGCGAGCACGGATCCTGTATGATAATACTCGTTCTGGTTCTTATTCTATTTATTCTACTCGTAATTTTGTAGTGTTTGGTCGAGGATAGATATTCTATTTGAGACTAGATAGGGCAGCTTCGAATTGGGTTTTGTCGTACTTGATGTACTTGTCGATATTCTTTGTGAAATCACCACCACGATGCTTTTCATAGAAGCGGTTGTACAGAGGTGAGATAAGCTTGGAGATCTCTTGGAACAGTTTCTGCCTCAAAACAGAGTCAGTGATATTGTACCTCTTTTGTCGCTCCAAAAGCACTTCGAACTCACTGTTAAATAGACGGAATTTCTCCTTGACGGCCTCACGGTCTTTACTTGAAAGCTTTGTAGTTTTTGACGACGTAGTCACATCCATGAGATGGCCTGCCAGCTTGTTCCAATCGGTCAAAAACATGTTTAGGGCCCTTTTATGCAGTCGCTGCATCAACACTGATCCATGGGGCCCAACCAGTACCGAGATACTAGTTTGATTGGAGTTGAATGTACTGATAGAATGCTCAATAGTCGCCAGATTGACAAGGGATAAGATCCCCAGCTGTGACGAGCGGGTGAATCCTGCAGCACGACCAGCGGCCTGCAAGTTGAAAATAGAGCACTCAATGAGGTCACTGAGGTACAAAGAAAAAGGTACTAGCACGGACACAAGACTCTCCGAGGTATTAGAGGCCCATTGGGGTGCGGGAGAGGGCATCCAAAACCGTGGGGGTTGACTTTCCATGCCTTGGTTCATAGCAGTAGGATAGCCGATTAGTTTTCGCATAATGCTGATCATATTCACAGTTGCACCAGATACACTGCTCTCAGTAGGTATAGAGGCCGAGCGGGTTTTCTCGTCAACTTGACGAAACATTTCCTTGAGTTTTTCTGCTGCTTCTTGGACGTTGCCAGCCAGATCGCTGTTGGTGCTCCCTAAAATCTTGGCAGATTCAATGGAATCAAACAAGGCATACGAGTCTGTGTTGGGTGCCATTTTAGTTTGCGAAGTAGTGCTAGTCACGCTCTTGGAGACGCGAGTGAGCTCGTTCTGAATGGTATCGTTCACTAAAGAACCGTAATGTTCTTGTTGGGCTGGATGCCCAGCAAAGATAAGCCCCACCGCTTCTCCGGTAGCCTCCTGGAGGTTTTTGGTGAACGCCGTGTACGCCTTGAGTTTAGCCGAGCCTTCGCCGGACCCCAAAACGAATTGGGCAGGAAAAGCAAGAGCTGCGTTGAGATAAGCGGTTAGCGCGGAGCTAACCGTAGTATGGGCAAGATCTTCCTCATTTATCACCTTGAACGTATCCAGAATACTACGCAAAGATGCTACATCCTCATGGCTGGGCAGAGGAATGAGAGTAAGGCCATCCATGTAGCGCTGGGAGTCCAGAGGTGGGAAACATTTTTCGACACTAACATTCAAGTATTGTTTGACTTTCTGGCTGCCGTGAGTTTGCAGTTGCTGAGCATAATCGATAAGCCGGTAAAAGTTACGGTAATCAGACTGCATCAGCTCGTCGTGGACCCAGCGAACATTATTGAGACTCTTGGCGTACTCCGAAAGGCCAACCTCGGCCGGACCCGCTTCAATTTTCGTCTTGAGACCTTCTAGAGTCTTTGCGTACTTGTCAAGTTCACCAATTGCCTCAAGAACAAGGTCGACATTGGCTTTATACTGCCCTGATCGGCTATTTTGATTGCTGAGCGGAGACAGCGACTGTTGCGCTCGCCGAGAGTACTCTGACAAGTCCTCTAAGCTCTGTTCAATCTCTTGCGATAGCGTATCAACCCGAGCCAGCGACTCCTCCAAAACATGAAGATCCACTGGAGCAGCCATTTACGAAGACGACGTTTGGCGTGAGGTAATCAGAAGGGAACTTTATGGCTAAACATTTGGGCAAGCTTTTGGTGAAAAAAGTGGCGAATGTTGGGCCCAAAGTACCTGCTCGGACTAGGTTTGCTCCCTCGCCTACGGGGTTTCTCCATCTGGGGTCTATGAGGACGGCAATTTACAACTATTTGCTTGCGCGGTCGACGGGCGGCCAGTTTCTGCTTAGACTTGAAGACACAGACCAAAGAAGGCTAGTCAAAGGGGCCGAGGATAATATTTATCGGTCACTGGAATGGGCAGGGATCGAATGGGACGAGGGGCCCTTGGTCGGTGGACCGTATGGCCCGTATCGTCAATCAGATCGGGCAGAGATCTACAAGCAGTATACTGCCCGGTTGCTCGAATCTCGGCAAGCATACCGATGCTTTTGCTCAAAGGAACGATTGAATGATCTGGCAGAGTCGGCACGGCATATGTACCCCCCATCAACTGCTTCTTACGACCGGAAGTGCTCCCACATTTCTAAAGAGGAGAGCGATGATCGAGCAGCTCGTGGAGAACCGTTTATTGTGAGATTCAAGAGTCCAGAAACTTTCGAACCATTTGTGGATTTACTGCACGGCGAGCTAACCATCAACCCACAGATTAACCAGGAGAACATCCGGTACGACGACTTCACTTTGGTAAAAAGTGACGGGCTGCCCACTTATCATATGGCCAACGTTGTTGATGATCATCAGATGAAGATATCGCATGTTATACGAGGTGAAGAATGGCTCCCTTCCACCCCCAAACATATTGCATTGTACAAAGCGCTGGGCTGGAACGAGCCCAGTTTCGTACACATTCCATTGCTCACAAGCTCTGGAGGCAAAAAGTTGAGTAAACGTCGATCCGACCAGGGTATTCTAGACTTTGCGACCGAAGTATTGCCGGAGGCGTTTCTTAATTTTGTTGCCCTGCTGGGCTGGTCACCAATGCGCAAGAACATCGGCAACAAAGTGTCTGAAGTCATGACCAGAGATCAAATCATCAAGCAGTTCTCCCTGGACCATCTAACTAAAGGCAATGTGCAAGTTGATATGAGCAAGCTTCACTATTTTGACCAGGTCCATTTCAAGGAGCAGCTCAAACTTCCCGCGAAGCGAGAGCAGCTTGTCCAAGGCTGTTGCAACGCCATGAAAAAAGCCGAGTTCGACGTGTCTCAAGAAGAAACTGCAAGGATGCTGGATGTCCTAAGTAAACACGTTGTTGGCTTCCAAGACTTTGTTGACAAAGTAACAGTGTTACTTAGCGAACCAGCCCGGGACAGCAAACCCACTGTGCTCGATATCGAAATAATAAAGGCGGCGATCGAGAAGCTTCAGCTCAGCTCTGCTCCAATGGTGGACGCCAGCGAAGCTAAAGAGGTTCTGGCTCTGCCATTTGAGAAAAAGCACATTTTCCAAAGTCTTCGTTTAGGACTGCTCGGATCAGTTGCCGGTAGCTCAATTGCCGAGGCTCTACAAATTCTACCCCGCAACACTTCGATTAAACGTTTGGAAACCGCTATATGTACATAAATATGAGTATACTCATCTTACCATTTTCCGGATCCTAGGTGTCATTAGTCATGCGACGAAGTGCGCGGTTGGCCAAGGTGGCGGAGGACGAGCCGTCTTTGACGCCATCTCCACCGCCAAAACGCACTAAAAAAGTTCCTTATAAAGAGAGGCCACGACCAGAGGTAGGCTATGAGCTAGTGAATGATGTCCCGGTCTCTATAGAAGAGCCCAACATCGATCTTTTAAAAAATCCTCTAAGCTTCAAAGCCTCCAAATCCTTTGCATACGCTCTTTATGTATCAAGAAACAACTGGCTTTCTGGAACGATGTTTAAAACTATCTGGCAAAGAAAACCGCGAGGCAAGAGGCTCGAGGCTGGTGAAATCAACGCTAGAGAGAGAATGTCTCGCTTGTGTGAGTGCACTATGGTTATGGGGCCCCATATTTTCCCCGCCAAACTATTTATTTATAAAGATGATGAGGACGATGAGAAAAAAACAGAAGACAAAAAGACCCAGGAGGGCAAAGAGAGCAACAAGGAGAATACCAAAGAGGATCCCAAAGAGGACGTTAAGGAAACAGAAGAGAAACCCGCTCCCAAGCCGAATCCAAACCAAGACCTCGTCAAAAGACTTCAAGAGATGGCCAAGGAAGACAAGGAATTGGACGAACTCATGAAGATAGTAGCTACCGGCAAGGCGACGCCGGAAAACATGACCAAGTTTCAGCAATTCCTGGCCAAGGCGCGAGCCGAAACGTCGAGAAAACAAGAGACAATTTACACGCCTCGACGATTGAATCGGAGTACGTCTTTAGCGTTCGAGTTGTTCGAAAACCCCCAAGAACGGTATTTACTACCCAAAAAGGCGGTGGTAGAGGTCTTATCGAATGGCGACATTTTATGGTCTTTTCTACATATCCATGAATCTAAAGGTACAGAAATTTGGACACCAACTACGATTGTTCTCCAGGATGTTCCTGATCGGATGGTAAGTTCACTTGATGGTTGTATTGACAAGTACGACGAGGTGGTCAAGTACATGAAGGAGGCAATGGAGAAGGGGGAAAGAGCGGAAGACCAGTACGTGTGGTACCAAATCGACAAAAGCGACCTTGCTCTCATTGACGAGATTAAGAAAACCAGCCCGCCTCTACAGCACGTACTACCGTCTAAACGGCAGCCCAAAGCTCGGCCAGCCACAGCGAGTGTCAAGGATGAAGAAGGTTCTTCAACGCCTCGCGAGAAAGCCCCAAGACAGCCGCGTATACGGCATACAACGTATCCAGCACTTCCTCAAGGGCATATTACACCGCAACCGTCAACCATCGCCCCGCTACCGCCCAAGCTCAAGTTGCCCGATATCGATAGCTTCTTCATCCCGCCTGGAGGCTTGCCGCCTCTTCCGCCCAGTTTGGCGAACAGTTTTTCGTTCCCGCCTATTCCTGGAGGCCCTACTGCGGCCCGATCGGAGAAACCTGCCGAAGAGAAAGAAGACAAGAAATCATGAAGCGTATGAAAGCTCAATGCCAAACTGTATCGGCTGGGTCCGATCAGCGTAGCAAAAAATAGAGCCGACAGAAACCAGATAGCTTCTAAATCCTCCTTCCCATAGAATTCTAGCTGATTGGTTTGCTAATGAAACGCTCGCCTTGACGACGGAGAGCACAGTTCGTTTACGATCTTCAGGTTGTGCAGTAGCTGATATAGGCTCATTGCGCCATAATTCACAGCCCAATGTCAAGTCTGAAGCGTAAGAATAAAAATTGAATAAGAATCTTGAGGAAAACGCTGAAAGTTTGGTGGGCTTCAGGGCATAGGCGACTGAAATGGTTCCTACCAGCGGGTTCGTCACAAATGTCAATGCCAGTGGGGTTCCTGTGTACCTTGAATACGTTGAATACCGACTGGCAATCGAAATTCCCGGGCTTTTCTTGGAAGCTGCAAAATAAACCTCAAGACCTGCAGCAAGCTTGCTGGGGAACTGACTCTCGCCTTCGTTTGTCCATTCTGCCACATTGTACAGGGTTCGAAAGCCTAGGAGATTTTCGTGGGTTGAATAAATAAATTCGCGAGTGGATTTGTTGGTTGATTGGGTTTGCCAGTTGAAAGTTGCAACAACCGGCTGAATTAGTCGAGGATCAACAATCCACTTTGTGATGAGTTGTGAGGAAGCAGTAAACTTGGAAATAGCCATTGCCTCAAGGGACTGGCCTGGCAAAAACATTCTGCCGTACAACAGCAGGCCCTTGCGGGGGTTATTGCCCGGTTGGGGCTCGGCTACTCGCATAGAGGCCTGACGAAAGCACTGCACAAGTTTTTCAAGGTCGATATCCCGAGACGGCTCTAGCCGCAGATTTTTCGATGTGTACATGTATGCCATTGAACCCTTGATAGAGTCCATATTAGACAGTGTCCAGGAGCTAATGCTTGGTTCTGATGCCTTCGACGTGAGATTGAGAGAGGCCCCCGACGGCACGTCAAAATCAAGAATATTGCGAGACGCAACAACAATATTCGCGTAGGATGATTGAATATCCCATCCACATTTTTGCAGAAACGATTCCTCAAGGTAATCCATGTATCCTCTCATTCTCTGGTGGGAGGAGCCGCTGACTTAAGGATTTGGGTGTTTTTCTAAGCTTCACACCACAATCGTGTGAACCAAACGTTTGTTGTGCGATTGTAACGCTAACAGGTTTACAACAAGATTCCGAAAATTGTGAGTGGGAAGAATAACTACAAATCTAATCAGCGAGCTTTTTTTGATTAGGAATCCAGATGGAGACGGAGATCGACTACTATGAAATTTTAGGCGTCGAGCGTACGGCAGATCACATTGAGATTCGCCGTGCATACAAAAAGCTTGCACTGTCTCATCATCCAGATAAAGTTCCTGAAGACGAAAGGCCGGAAGCTGAGCAGCGGTTCAAATCCATTAGCGAGGCGTACGAGGTTTTGTCGAAGGAGGAGACGCGAGCGCACTACGACATGTTTGGCACCTCAGCAAAGTCAGGAGCTGGCAATGGGTCGTACAGCTGGCAGGACCAGTTTGACCCGCAGTTCGGACCGGAGGCGTTTGCGGAATTTTTTGGATTCAACCAATCCCAGTATCACGCTCATGCCAATGGAGGTGGCGAGCGGGCCAATGGACACAGTCACCATACGAATGGAGGGTTCCGGGGTCGCACAGAAGACGCAAATATTGAAATCGATATTTCTTTGGAAGATATTTATCGTGGAAGAGTTCTCAAACTTGCCTCGTCACGCCAGATCCTCTGCAAAGTTTGCGAGGGTGTGGGGGCTCGTCCTAAAGCCAAGCCAAAGACATGTGGGGTATGCAATGGAACAGGTAGCACGCAGAAGCTTCGCCACCTCAACGGTGGTCTTATGACGGCAGACACAATGCCATGTGACGCATGCCACGGCCGGGGCCAAACGTTCAGAACTAAGGACCAATGTAAACGCTGCATCGGCACCGGCACCGTAGAAGAACGGTCCATTTTCGAAGTTTATATTCCCCGCGGTGCACCCGATGGATATCGTGAAGTGTTAAAAGGTAAAGCCGACGAAATGTACGGATACCAAACGGGCAATATTGTCGTTACAGTTCAGGTGGCCCCTCATGAACGATTCACTAGAGAGGGTCAAGATCTTTACACCAAAGCTAATATCACGCTGGGCGAATCGCTGTTGGGATTTTCTCGTGTGCTGGCTACACAGCTGGACGGTCGGGCCCTCCGCGTAACTGTTCCTCGCGGGTCGGTCACCAAGCCCAACACCGTTTTGAAAATCGCTGGCGAGGGTATGCCCAAGGCCGGGTCTGACATTAGAGGTGATCTGTATATTGTGCTTGAAATCGACTTCCCTGACCGTCTCGACCCTTCTACTGTTATTGCTCTGGAGAATGCGTTGCCTGTGCCTCCTTGTGACAACAATGACAGCGAGGTTGACGATGTCGACGCCGTGCAAATCTCTGTGGACGATCTGCCGACCTATGATCACGAAGATGAGAATGGCGAGTTCGAAGTGCCAGGCGGTTGTGCGACAAATTAAATTGTACAGTATTATAGGGTATAGCATTAAATAGTGCGCCTCGTAAAGAGATTTAAATACTTTCGACCGAGATATCGGATTCGTCGAAGCTCATATCAAAGTCGGGGGCCTTGTCAAGGTCCGGCAGAGGAGGTAGTTTTAGGGTGGGTAGATCGCATTCGAGTTCTTCGTCGAACATGTCGAAATCCAGCAGATTAGGGGCCGGCACGGCAACCTCGGGGTCCAAGTCTAGGTTGGAAAAATCAATGGGATGTAGGGGCCTTGGATATAGGGTTTTTTCTCTAGAAAACGGGCGCGCTGAAGGCGACATGGTAGCAATTGACACAGAAGATTCGAAGCTAGACGATCTAGAGGCAAAAATTGGCTGCTTTGTCGACAAGACCTGTCTTTGCAGCGGTAGACTTTGTTGGCGAGAAGCGACTTTTTGGCCTAGGGCGGGGCGCATCGCTGTGTTTGAGCTCTTGAGCCCGAGCACCGGCCGGCTCCTATCTATAGAGCCATTTGGACGGACCTCTTTTGCCTTGCCTGACCCAAAAAACGTGTTCTCTTTGTTGGCAATCCGACCAGTTGGAGATGGCGGAGGCATCTGGTAATCCGCTGACTCATCGGACAGAGGCTTCTTATGGAAGCTCGAGCGCGTTGCAGGTAGACGCGAAGCATGCGCGTGCTATGCAGTAATTAAGGGACATTAGCGGTTGAGCTGCCATGCACGGCGAAACCCACAAAGAGTTGCTATATCCGAACGAAAGAGCATAACAACGAGATCGATGGGCAGCTAGGTGATTAGCGGTGGTTGGGCTATTAGGCGGTTGGTGGCTGGCGACTGTGGTGCCCCAGAACAAAAATTATTGATTGCAATTAATTATGCGGTGAAAAATTATTTCCACCATTCCAGCTCGCCTCAGGGTCACCAAGCGCCTCGATATTATTGACGACTCACCCCCGGCCAGCCCACAAAATCCCGTCGCTTCTCTGCAGGATTTTGCAGGTTCTGCAGCATCGCAGCATCGCTGCATGACAGGAGGTGATTCCCGTGCCCAGTACAGAGACAAGCGGCAGCATATATGAGCGATTTCAGGACTCTAGCTCATCGTGACCCCACACTCTTTATGTTTTCCTTAAAATCCAGCTTCGGCTCGTTCACGTCGACGAGCTCTGCTTCCACCACTCGCTCCTTTCACGAACAGGATCGCCGACGAATAGAAGACCTGGAGCAGCAGCTCCAGTCTCTGTCGAGCACAGCAGCGAAGGCTCTTGATCGCGTTTCCGAATTGGAAACAGAACTTGAACGCAACACCTCGCCTTCTTTCATGGCCCCGCGGTCAAACAGTAATTGCTCTATTTCCTCAGACTGCTCCAACACCGAGCGGCTGGAAAAACTCGAAGTCGCGTTGGCGGCAATACACCACGCCCGCTCACAGCTGTCGTCACCCGAGCACTACCGATACATCTAATAACTCTAATAATATAGTCGCTCTTTATTTACATTATATATGCCCAATGGCTTGGACAGTATAAAGGCATCCATTACGCGACGGCTTTAGTTTCACAATCAACGTTTGAATCTCAGACTTTTCATTGATGGGCACGATACCAGTAGCTGCGCCTGCAAGCTCAACAGACTGGGTCCCGTTAATATAATACACTTGAGCATCCATTGGCATATCTGCATCAATTTCTACTCGCTGCAAGTGGACTGCAGTTTTTAGGCGGATCCCTATACTTCCGCCTGACTCTCTTACTGGCCAACATGCCTTGGAGTTGGGCATCAGAATTGAATGTGGATCAACCATCGTTTGGGAGCGGGCAAACAGTGCCAAAGCCCGCAAAGGCCAGCCTCGCGGTCCCGCGGGCAGCATTTCCTCAAGCGATGGGGGTGGTGTCGTGACTGCAGTGACGATTTCAGCGGCCATATTGATCGACGCCCAGTTTTGGGTTTCGCCCAGTGATCTCCATTCATTTATTAGGCGCTCCTCAGGCAGCTTGTGCTCCACGTACTCAATTTGTGCGGCCATGCTGTCCAACGCGGCCCTTAGAGCAGCTGTTTCTTCACGTAACGTCTCAAGCTCATCAAATTCGGCAGAGTGCTGTGCGGAGCTGCGCTGAATGTATACAGTGACGAAAAGTACCACGATTGTGGCTATTAAAACAAGTGCAGATATCTGCATAATCAACGAGACGACCTGCCAGGCCTTTTTCCAGAGATGTGGTGCTTCATCGTGCTTTTCAGCAGGCCTTCGCCGCTGTAGGGGGCTCTCTGGTGGGCTTTGGGCGCGCAAAAACGTCTCGCGTGACTTCATTGGTTTGTGCTGTCTCCTCGACCGGGGGAACGAGGGCGGTTCTGGCGGGTTAAACACCGGTTGCTGCGTTTCAGATAGTGGTTTACCACGAATTGTATCCTTGGGCCGTACGTTTCGCTGTGGTGGGTTTATGGGAGACGCCAAATGTGAAGGTATTCGTGGGAACTCTAGGTGGTCTGTTTGCCCGCCCAAAACAGTCGAATTGGCAGGGAGCTCGCCAGGAGAGCTTGGTGGAACAGACGACAGTCTACTTGGAGTCGGGTGCTCAATTTCCTGCTCGTACATATCGTTCAAACTCTCAATATCTTGCTGAGACTGGGGTATTCTCACGGCCTTGGTGGAGCTATCAAAAAGGGTATTCCAGTAGGTCCTATCGTAGTCGCGAGGAGACTCATCTTGCGAGTCAACCATTCTGCTAAAATTAAACCCGAGGGCTTATTAGATCTGATGTTTTTGGCTCCCTTCGCAGACGCGTCTGAATGTAGGGTAGAAAGATCTGTCGCGTAATCAGGAAAGTTTCCCCGTTTAACCATGAAAAGGGCGAGCCAAAGCACAATTGGGGCTTTTTTCAAAAAGCCTGCGGTGGTTTCCGAAGTTAAGTTGTCCACAGTCGCCAAGCCGGGCGCTGTGTTCTCGAAAGAAGAGTGGGTAAAGTCACTGACCGAAGAACAGCGCGAGCTGCTCAAGCTAGAAATCGACACTTTAGACGACTCTTGGCTGCCTGCATTGCACAAGGAGCTCACGAAGCCGTACTTTTTGAATCTCAAGCGGTTCTTGGCCAAGGAGTTTGCCTCAAAAACAGTCTTTCCCCCGCAGAACGACATCTACTCCTGGTCCCGGCTCACGAAGCTGAAGGATGTGCGTGTAGTGATTCTGGGACAAGATCCTTATCACAACTTCAACCAGGCCCACGGATTGGCGTTTTCTGTCAAGCCGCCGACGCCTCCCCCGCCTTCATTGATGAATATGTTCAAGGAGCTGGCCAACTGCTACCCCGATTTCGAACGCCCAGCCAATAATTCTGGCCTTTTGACTCCCTGGAGCGAGCAGGGAGTGTTGATGTTGAATGCCTGCCTCACTGTGGAAGCCCATAAGGCAAACTCGCATGCAAACCGGGGCTGGGAAGAGTTCACTGAGCAGGTCCTGCGGGCAGTTGTGAAAAACAGTCCCAAAGGCGTCGTATTTATGGCATGGGGGTCCCCCGCAGGCAAAAGAGTCGACAAGATTCGTCCAGGACCCGAGCATCATGTATTGAGGTGCGTACATCCAAGTCCGTTGTCTGCGTCTCGCGGATGGTTCGGATCAGCACACTTTAAAAAGGCCAATGTATGGCTGAAAGAACGGTACGGAGCCGAGATCAAGTGGAGTTTTGCCAAAGACGCAGCAGCCAAGGACGCAGCAGCCAGCGCCGCAACGGCCAGCGCCGCAACAGCCAAGGACGTAAGTAGCAAAGAAGCCCCACAACCTGAAGAGCCCAGCGAGATCAAAGCTCGCGAAATAGCCACCAACTAAAACTAAGAAATACACTAACTCAAATACCCATCTACATTCTCAAAAATAACATCCTCGTCATAATCGCTATATCCCATCAAATCAGCGGTTGTAAGGGGGCGAGAATAGACTAGAACATCGCCGCGACGGCGCTTGTCTTCGTGGAAATGGGAATTGAAGAAACTTTTTTCAAGGGTGTAGCCATAAACTTCCAAAAGCGGTTGAATAGTGGGTCTGAGCGCTTCGAAAAATACAATATGAGGGGCCAAGAAACGAGGATTTGCCTGCAAAAACTCCACCGGGTTCTGGTAAAACAGATCAGCCTCATCGTCGTATTGTCCATTCGGGACGGAAAACAAACCCAAGGGAATCACAGGCTCGCACGACAACGAGGTAATATGATCACGAAGATCGTCGCGGTGAATATGGGCATGCATCGGCGTCGAGTGACAGGGCATCAAGAAAGAGGCCTTGACAATATCCTTGTTGCCACTAATATAGTTGACCACACTGATAACACCGCGTTGGTGGAAAAATGACAGGTAGAGGGCAATTGGGATGTTGATCAAAGTGAGAATCTTCATAATCTTCTTGTTGACCTTTGTCGCCATTGCGATGTGCAACAGTGGGAGCAAAAAGTAGAGGAAGCGGGCTTCCTTGTGAGCCACGAAGCTGAAGATGGCTGTCTGGGACAATACAATGTTGAAAATCAAAGATTTTGGACCCAAACGGTACAGTCCGTACGCTGCAAATGGTAAGAAGGCCATCAACAACATTGGGAAGCCCGAAACAAAATAAAAGTACCACGGCATCTCGCCATAGAAAGACGATACATTAACCATACCGTTAATATACAAGAACATTCCAATGGGAGGGATCCACGATTTGTGATAGAACATATCTAGACCGTTTCCAGCAACCTGCAGAACAAGCACCATCACGCAGCTGACCCAATTGAACGCCAAAATCTTGATGAGGTCTTTGCGAAGAATCCACATCAGATGGAGGTACATTATAATCCACAGTGCAGCGTTTGTAGGTCTCAGGAGCACGGTGACATTTGCCAAAATCAGGGTTCCGACGAAGCGTGACAAATCCCCGTTGGTTTGCAAGTTGTCGGCGGTCATTGGCCACAAATACAGCGAAACTGCTGTGAGCGCCATTTCAAAAGTGTTCGAAAATGCCCGCGTTCCAGCGTAAAAATTAAACACCGAAGCGAGCGAGGCCCAAAAAGCTAGCTGGGCCACTTGGCGACTTTTTGTGAGCTTGAGTGCCAATTTGTAGGTGTAGATATCACCAGTAGCAGCCACTAAACCGCAAAATACCTTACCCGGCACCATATAGTTGATGTGGAGCAAGTTGGCCAACCGAAACAAACCGCCAAACACCAAAGGCACGAGACTGGTGCGCACGCTGCTCTTCCACTCCCAAGTAACCTGGCCATAGCCAAAAACATCATTATGAGCCTTCTCCCATGACTGGAAGTACTCGTCAGGTTGGAAAAAGGTCTTGATCAAGAACGCATTTACCACCCTGAACGCGATGATTAACCATACAGTCCTGACTGCAAGATTACCATCGGATCGAGTTTGAGAATCTTTTTGGACTGGAACGGCGACCGAATCCTTTTTTTCTATTCTCCTACCTTTAGCCATGTTTGCGAAATTGTCCGAGCGATTGAAAGCAGGCAAAAATCACCCAAGTCGTCGAAATGCCACCTCAACAATTAAAGTGACTGTGCAACGTGAGAGTAATCACGCATCTGGCGACCGAGATAATAAACGCGGAGGAGGCGGTGACAAAGCGCCAAGTTCGGGCACAAGTCGAGAAAGCACACCTCTGAAACGAGCGAGATCAGAAGATGCCTCGAGTCCTCGTCGATCAGCGTCACAAAGCCCTGCCAAACGGCCAAGCCGTAAGAACTCGCCCAGAAAAACTCCCTCAAATGCTTTATCAGCGATGACTAATCACAGGATTCGAGGCTCTGCTGAGAATTCGGAGGCCTCTCGATTCCCAACTCCTGAGCCTCTAACTCGTCGCTTGGTACCTCTTATTGAAGGAGGTGACTTGGAGCTTGTTTCTGCAGCAGAATGCATCAAGGATGTACCGGGTGAGTGGAGTTTTGGTGGTCCTTTACATGTTTCGGTTCAGCTGCCGAATAAACTAGAGTCTTATCCTATTTGGCACCCTAAAAGCAGTGGAGACTTTGCCCCTTTAGCAGAACTCCGAACTGTGATGGAAATTGCTGCCTCAATGTTTCCCAATATGGAACTACAGTCTAGAATAAACGATCCCTTGGGAGGAGACTGTATAGCCCGTCGCTTTGCCAAGGCCATTAAAAAGGACGATCAAGAACTGCTCAACACCACTATTGATGAGTTTAATAAGCTTATAACAGGGTACCGAGCAGATCTGCGCCGATTCGACCCTATCAAGCCCGAAATGGCTCACGAAATCTTGACAATGGCCTATTGTCGGACTGTTTCGCCCAAGGCGTCCCAGCTACGCGACTACAAATCATTCAGTAACAATGTTTATGGTGAGCTGTTGCCAGGCTTTTGCACGAAAATATTCAACCAAACCGGTCTCACTAAGGACAGTGTTTTCGTTGATCTTGGGTCAGGCGTGGGGAATGTAACACTGCAAGCTGCACTTGAAATTGGCTGTGAATCATGGGGGTGCGAGATCATGCCTTTGGCAAGTGAACTTGCTTCTCTACAAAAGACAGAAGTCGAAGCTCGAGCAAGCGCTTGGGGTCTGCCCTCTGGAGAAATCACGTTACTTAGTGAAGACTTTGTCAACAACGCTCGAATTCAGGGCGCCCTGCGGAGAGCCAGTGTTGTGCTTGTAAACAATTATGCATTCGATGGTGAGCTCAACAACCAGCTGTTGCAGATGTTCCTGGATCTCCCTGAAGGAGCCAAAATTGTGTCCTTAAAATCGTTTGTTCCACCTGGCCATACGATATCTGCGCACAACATCGAGTCTCCAATGAATATTCTTAAAGTCTATCACCGAGAGTTCGGACACGATTCAGTTAATTGGACCCCCGCTGCAGGCGATTATTACATTGCGGTTGTCGACCGAAGTCGGCTGGCCGCTTATATTTAATTAGATCTATACGGAATTAGTTAGGTTCAATTGCATTGTTAATGACAAAATCTCGTCGTTCAAGTCCTGCACAAGCCTTGATTTCAAAGCCTGTTCTTCTAGCATGTTTTTGATCCGCGTCTCCTGCTGGGTTACTAGGTTCTGCGATTGATCCAATAGTGTCTGCAGCCGTTCGATTTCTTGAGTGTTCTCCATGATCGGAGGAGTTGTGTTCAGGATCTGGTCGGAAAAGAGACTGTCGATTTGGGTCTGCAACTCTGTCGCTTCACTCTGCTCAAGAATCGCGTTGATCTTGGCGTGAAGGTTTTGAAGTTGCTTTTCCTTCGTCTCATCTACCAAGGACAGCTGCAAGTTCAATGAAATCACCTCTTCTTGAAGGCTTTCTACGAACTTGACTCGCAATTGATCTTCTTCAATCAGGTTGTTTGTCTTTTGTTCGTATACCAACAAGCGCGAGCGTAAATCTTTGATACTGACCGAGAGCTCGTCAATTCGTTTACGCTGGCCATCAATCAAATCCTCTTTCGCTGCCAAGGCCGTAATTAACCCTGGGGCCCCTGATTTTGCAGGATTCGGTAGCAGCTGGGACGCCTGCAGATCAGTAGGAACAGATACTCTGTCTAACAAAGACGCACGCTCACTCGCAACCTCAAACGCTTCGTACGCTGGTCGCAAACATGATATGCGCTCCTCTGCACTGGCCAATCCCTCCAAATACTTTCCTGACCAGTCCATATAAAGACGTCTGAACTTACGTGAGCAAAAGCACATTTACAAAATGCTCAAACTGCATTTGAGTCGCAGTCCGATAAAACGACTTTTTTCGCACACTGCACTCACAAGAAACGAATATCTACACCCTATTCTAAGACAGCGTGCCGAGCAACTGGAGAAGGAATACAAAACACTCAACGATGCGATCGCAGATAGCTACGAATCGGAAACTGCCATCCGCCTAGCCCGGCTCACGCCTATAGTTGAAAAATTCGAAAGCCTGAAAGCCGCCGAGGCCGAGCTCGAGGAGCTGACAGAGCTTGTCTCCGATCCGTCTCTAGGCGCGGACGCACGCCAGGAGTTGCAGTCGGCCCAAGAACAAATCTCTAAATTATCAAATGGGCTCAAGCTGCAGCTTGTCCCGACGAATCCGTTTGTTGACAAACAGTGTCTCGTGGAAATTCGCCCAGGTATCGGTGGGTCCGAGGCGGGTATTTTCGCTCAAGACTTACTGACAATGTACCAAAACTACTGCTTAAAGCGCGGGTGGCCTAATCAGGTAGTATCACATGTGCCCACTCCTGCTGGCGGAGTGTCCGAGGCCATTCTGCATATCACCCAACCGGGTGCATACGAGCGCCTACAATACGAGGGAGGTATTCACCGGGTGCAAAGGGTGCCAGAGACCGAAACTAAGGGACGCGTTCACACCTCGACTGCCGCTGTGGTCGTGCTTCCGGATCTGGGGGAAAGCGAAGCTGATGCAGAGCGTGCATTCAAGGCAGGCGAGCTTCGAATTGATGTAATGCGAGCGTCTGGCTCAGGAGGCCAGCATGTGAATACCACAGAGTCAGCAGTGCGAATTGTGCATTTGCCTACTGGGTTAGTTGTTACATGTCAAGACGAGCGGTCGCAGCACAAAAACAAAGCTAGAGCATTAATGGTGCTGCGAGCCCGTCTTGCCGAGCGAGAGCGGGTTGCCAAACAGAACGAGGACCGAGCTGCTCGTACCGCCCAGGTTAGCACTACAGAACGCAGTGACAAGATCAGAACCTACAACTACCCGCAAAACCGGGTCACCGACCATCGCAGCGGTTACTCGCAGCATCATTTAAGCGAAATCATGGCAGGAACCAGATTCGATGAGCTCGTTGATTCCTGCAATGTCTGGGCCCAGAGCGAGGCTGTCAAGCAATTAACTGGCGAAACTAACTAACTAACTAACTCAACCCGCCAGCCACCCTCCCCAAAGACTACCGTCACATGACGCGCTTCACTTCCCTCCGCCTTCTGTCAGCATGCGCAGGCTGGCATCAGCGATTCTCGAACCGAATCTCGAAAGAACCCTAGCCAAGCTCGACTCTCTGGGAGATGCACAGACCAGCCTGACTCTCCAACTCGATGCAGTAGAAGCGATGCTGGCTGCAGTGATCGCTGTAGAGCCTTACGAATCAGATGCTGTGGGGAATCGAATAAACAACTTGCGCAAAAGGCTCACAACTCTTGAGCAAAGTCTAAAACAAGTAAACTCGCGGGTCGAATCTATCAAACGAAATGTATATACCATAAGCTAGCATTTTCTTTATGCCTCGGAACACCGCATATCTCGCCTGGAGTCGGGTTTTCTAGCTCCGCTTTGTGCGCTCCAAGTGGGGGAGGTTGGGGTTCGGAGCGGGGGTCGTATAGATTATCCCAGTTTGCGTTTATCCACTTGGCGTTATTATCCCGCACAGCACAACTGGGATAAGCGAAGTAGGCGCAAGGATTATAGCTGGATCGAATTCTTTGCCATGGAAATCATTGAGGTGCAGGCAAAGTCGTTTCTGATCCATTGGCGCGAAGTGCCAGCTGGCTCGGACGTTAAATGGCAAGTTCGTCCGTTGAAAAAGTCGGTCAACTTCGGTCTATATCGCCACAAAATCAGCACGGGGCATATTGAGCACTCGTTATCCAACTCGAACAATACAGTTCCCCTTTCGGAGCGTCTTGCTCGCCAAGGTTTTGAGGCTGTGGCTGAGTTTGAGAGGTTGCCCGGTAACGAAACGACGGTCGGCGGTTGTACAGCTGCCGATGCCGGCATGCTAGCTTTCGTATTTGACAACACATTTTCAAAATCCACGCCCAAAACGATCGAGTTCTGGCTCTCGTGCACAGATGCAAGTGGGAAGGAGGCTCTCACAGAAGTTGCTTCTGATGTTAGTAGTGGTTCTGATGGCTCCACTGCTGCTCTTAGCCAGATTTCTTCGGATCAGTCGACGGAAGGAACCAGAACCGTTAGTATTGCAAGCTCTGTGAGCACCGCCCCCAATGAAGCAAGCTCAAAGACTGCCTCGGCTGCTAAGGATGCAGACAGTGAGGGATCTGGAATCCGTCGCTCACCAGATCGAAGGTACATTACCGGTGTTCTCAACAAAAAGCGTCGTAAGAAGATGCAGGGTTATGCCAAGCGATTTTTCTCTCTAGACACTCGGCTCGGCCAGTTGCACTATTACATCAACCCTGGGTCCTCGTATCTGCGTGGTGTTATGCCAATTCGAATATGCGAACTGCAAACAAATAAGCAGAATCGTGAAATAACCCTCGACTCCGGCTTGGAGAAATGGTCACTCCGCGCCTTGACGACTGCAGATTATGATGCGTGGCTTTCAGCCTTCGAGGAATGCCTTAATCCTACTGTCTCCCACGTTGTTGGCCGCCAGGGCCAAAGTTTAGCTCTATCTACTGCACATTCGCGCCGCAGTTCCGTGTCCATTCACTCTTTGGCTACCGCTTTGAATGGAGAAGACAAGTCCCCAGAAGACACTGATGACACTGCTGCTCCTCAACTCGATGCCGAAACTGTAGCAAACCTTGTGAAACGGCTCGGAGAGGTGGCAGGCACACTGAATGCTGAATCAAGAGCCGCCATATCATCAGTGCTTAAAGACTTTGATGTCATCTTGACACCTCACGGCTATTCAGTGGCATCGCATACTAAGGTAAAGCATAAACGTCCTCATTTGCGTCAAAAGCGACAGCGTGTCCAGAGATTGCTTTTCAATGTCATTCTGGCCATCGTGGTTTGCACACTGGTCGCTACAGCGTTTGGAGTGAGTTTAACGTACATTGTTCTCTCGGTCGTAGTATCGATTCTGGGCGCTGTTGGTGGAACTGCTTTGACATTCCCTAAAATCGAGGATCTACAAGAAACTTACGAGGATATTGTTTCTGGACTACCTGATGATGCTTATGATGAAGTATACTCTAGCGATGGAAACGAGTCTGATTCCGAGGAAGAAGAACAGGATGAAAAGGCTGCTGCCGCCGATGAAGCTGCTGCTCAAGCTGCCGCCGCTGCCAAGGCCCAGTCCCGTGAAAGCACGCCGCCGGTTCCGGCTATCCATGTTCACCCGGACGTCGCTGCTTCGTCGCCACGTCTAGCTGCTGCGGCCGCTTCTGCTGCTTTGTATGGCCATTCTCGCCAGGCTTCTGTCTCACCTATTGAAAAGGTTGAAGAAACTGATAGTGATGCACTACCTCCACTTCCCCATTCTGCGGTGAAGCGTCGCCAGGACATCAAGAGACCCACACATTCTCCACCTTCTTTGTACTCGATGATTCGTCGTTCCGCAGGCAAGGACTTGTCGTCTATGACTGCCCCTGTCACTTCTAATGAACCTATTTCGGTTCTCCAGCGATTGTGCGAACAACTCGAGTATGCTGAACTTCTTGACAAGGCGTCCGAATCTCGTGGTGAACAGCGATTACTGTATGTTGCACTGTTTTCCGTTTCAGCTTTATCAGCTGCTAGAATCAAAGAGCGTTCTCTTAGGAAGCCTTTTAATCCTTTACTGGGAGAGACCTACGAGTGTGTACGTGAGGACAAGGATTTCAGGTTCATCTCTGAAAAAGTCAGTCACCGACCTCCTGTTTTTGCCACTCAGGCTGAGTCCCCCCGCTGGACTATGCATTGGACTTCTCGCCCTCACCAAAAGATTTGGGGCAAATCAGCTGAGATCACTGACAGTGGACCTTGCTTGATTTCCTTTAAGGATGGCGAGGTCGTTAACTTCATGATGCCTGATTGTTTCCTACGCAACCTTATCGCCGGTGAAAAGTATCTGGAACCAGTTGGTACAATCACAATCGAGTCATCTGCAGGTCAGACCATGACCATCCATTTTAAACAGGGTGGTCTGTTCTCTGGCCGTTCCGACGAACTCCAGATTCTCCACGGAGACAAAGTAATCGCAGAAGGCAAGTGGACTGAAAGTGTATCGACGCCTAGCGGCACCACCTTGTGGCACGTTGGAGCTTTAGTCGAGAACGCTAAGCAAAAATACGGTTGGACCAAGTTCACAGTTTCTTTGAACGAAATCACCACGCTCGAAAATGGCATGTTACCCCCCAACGACAGTCGTAACCGACCAGATCAGCGCAATTATGAAGAGGGTAATGTGGACGAGGCTGAAAAACTCAAATTGATGCTTGAGGAGCACCAGCGCCAGCGCCGCAAGAAGTATGAAGAAAGCGGTAAGATCCAAGAGCCGATGTTTTTCACCAAGTCCAAGAACTCTCTTGGTTATTTCCAGCTTAAGGCAGCGGACCGTAACTACTGGAGAATGCGCAAAAACAAAACATGGGAGGGAATTCCCAACTATATGAAGTAGACGTACAAATGAATAGAACTGAAAGCTTGAATGGGTTATAAATTAAAACGAGCTAGAAAATAAAACCAAAAAAGACACTTGATACTAAGAGCCTGACCAAAGCTTCTTCACTCGGTGTTTTAGACCAGCCGGCGGTTTGTCTTCCGGTTCGGCCTCTGTGTCAAGAGTCTGTTCTTCACTAAGCCCATCCAAGTCACGACGACGACCTGTATTCAAATCAATCTCTTCTAGCTGGAACCACTTGAACTGTTTGGTCCACCAAGCAAAGCCCAAATAACCTAGGACTGATACTGGGAGAAGAATGTAGGAGTCGACAAAATTGCCAGCATCGAAAGGAGAGAACACAGACCAGCCTTGAACAAATGCAAGGAAAATATTGACACAGAACCCGAAATATGAGTTGAAAGGATTCAGCCGGAAGCGGTACGGCAGCTCCTCTACGGTGTGCCCCTGCCGGATCCATGCGGATCTGAAGCGAGCCGCTGTGAAAGCAATACCTGCCCACACAATGAACGTTGAAACACCCGAAAGGTTCACAATATAGTTGTAAGCTTCAGCGGCACCTGTGGAAATGTTCATAAGGGAGAGGAAGCCAAACAAGTTTGTGAAAATGATGGCATATACGGGAACACCGCTCTTGGTCGTATACTTGAAAATTTTTGGCGCACAGCCCATGTGGGCAAGATGGAGCACTGTACGTGAACCAATATAAATTGAGGAGTTGATAGCGGACAGACAGGTAACAAGGATGAACGCATTGATTAGGTTGTGACCGCCGGCCCAGCCAGCATGTTGAATAGCACAGGTCATGGGGCTCTGAAGGGCCTTCGTCGCGCCACCCTTGAGCAGAGGATCATCCCAGGGACAAGTCATGCCGAAAGTGATGGCGGAGCCCATATAAACAAAAACGATACGCCATAATACCTGACGGATGGCATTCGGGATAGCCTTGGAGGGATTCCTTGATTCAGTGGCCGTCAAGGCTACAGATTCGACTCCAGCGTAAAAGGTTGAGCAGAAAACAAACACAGTGGCAACACCGCGAAATCCGTTTGAGAATGCTCCCGGATCATTCCAGTAATGGAAGCCAAAGGCTGGATGGCTACTGACCCCACCGGCGGCATAGACAATCGCAAAAATAAAAAAGGCAGCAAGACCCAACAGTTTGATCAAAGCCAGCCAGAACTCACTCTCACCAAATGCCGCCACGCCTAGCATTTGAAAGGCGCCAAACGCGGTCCAGAACAAGAGGAAATAGCCGTAGATGGGAACCTTATCAGACCAGCTGTAGAGCACGGAGGAAATCGCATTGTATTCGTTTGCTAGGACTGCAATCCAGACAATGAAATAATTCCAACCAACAACAAAACCAAAAGCGGGGTTGATGAATCGTGCGCCCAAAGTAATGAACCCACCTCCCGAAGGATAAAGAGTGGTGACTTCGCCCAACGACTGCATTATACTAAAGGCAATAACTCCGATAACGCCAAAGCCGATGATCAGGGACGCAGGCCCTCCATTAGCTAGTGCACGGCCCGCTCCAACTAAAAGCCCGGGCCCGATGATGCCCGCCAAGGCCATCATCGAGATGTGGCGGTTTTTCAGGCCACGCTTCACGCCAGAGTCGGGATCTATATTTCCGCCGACGTTATCTGCGGATAAGTCGTCACTGGCTACTTCCTCCGTAACCAGGTTGTTTGGCTCTTTATCGTTTCCGGTATGGGATTCCTTGAATTCCTGCATTGCATGGGCGCTGTAGCGTGAGAGAAAGTGGGGTTATAAAAACTGTGCTTCAATGTGAATATTCGGCCTTTTTTGCCCGTAAAATAACAGCTCGATTCAAGCTGAGTCCTTTTATAAATTAGACGATTTTCTTTTTTCCGCTTGCATGCCTTTGCAGCCCCTACCCACGTCATTTCACATCCAGTTTCGAGATACAGCAAGGCACTCCTACGCCTGAAGGCCATCTGGGAATTATCTAAGGTCACGTGCCCAGAGGGACTGAGGTTTTTATCGATTAAAACGAGCCAAATCCGGTGGAAATTTGGAGCATATCAGTCGATATTAACAGAATTGACAGATCGCAGTACCAGTCCGTTAAATTTCCGACAACTGGTTCTATCAAAACACGAGCGATGCCTTTACACGTACCCAGTTCGAGGAAGGGTGGAGTGCAGGATGCATGAATCTCGTCCTGGGCGCTACAGTAAAATTTGCACTACTGGGTACTATAGTAAAAAAAAAAAGGGCTCCTGCTAGTCCTTTCCGATCTACGGCTACTTTGGCTCAATGTATTTATCGTATTCTTTCGTTTGCCACCAGAATGTTTTTCTTTTTTTGTATTGATCCTGTGCGTCATCTTTGGGAGCGTGTACGCAATCGGGAATGGCACGAACGAATGCCGAGGCAACTGATCCCGCTCGATAAAAAGTCTTTTTGGTTCGGTTCTAGTAACGGAATCACTCGAATTTACCCAATTCTAGTCAGTCCCGAGTAGAACTCGTCGAATTTCTGATTCGTTCTACTAAATTGTTTTGTCCTTGATCAAGCTTGTCATCGTACGTGTGCCAGCTTCGAAGACTGACCCAACCTAGTTAGGGTTTGGCACGATTCGGGGCTGTGGCTCAATGGTAGAGCTTTTGACTCCAGTTTGCGCTGACATCAAATGGTTGCAGGTTCGATTCCTGTCGGCCTCAATATTTTTTTCCACGACCCCTACCTCATCTATACAAATGATCCGTATTTAGTGATACCTCACTTTGGGTTCGCAAAAATTGTTTTTATTTTCGGTGCCCATGTTCACTGATGCAAATTTCACCTGTCGCGTATAAATTTAGAGCTCTCATAGAGCCTAGATATAACTTTGGCCTTGTCACACTTATTTTCTCCACAAGCATACTTCCATACATACGGCAGGGTTCGGGTATGCAGCGAGTAAACAGCATCCTACATGTCCGTCGAAACCTCTACCCCTACCTACCTCAACAAGCACCGAACTTTTATGGCTGAAGACTTTGACAGTGTATCTGAGCGGCGTGCTTATGCATCTGAGACAGCGTTCCTCAAGGCACGTCGCATAATGGCTAACCTAGCCGACTCCACTGACGCGCTATCGACGTCCGAAGCGCATATGCTGCTCACGGAGCTCTGCGAGCTCTGCCTAGACTCCGATATGGCACTAGCAATGCTGGAGAACGGGTTTTTGGACGAGTGTGTATTACTTTTCCGAGGTAACCCCACCTATACCGTACAGCTGGTCGTAACTACGTTTATTTGCATCTGCCTCCACTGCCGCGTCGGAAGGGCATACTACAGTCGGAACCTCACGCACACCACTAAGTTCCTGGTCGAAATGCTGAAAAACACCCGTGCTATACCGGATAAGCTCAATCGCTACTACGAAAGCTCAAACATTGCCAAAGCGAATGTACTTCCGTTGGCGTTCACTGCTTTTGCTTGGCCACACCTAATTATCCCAGAGTCTCCAGTTACTCCAGATGTACCAAAAGAGTATGAGACCATGGGTCGTCAAATTTTTGAGTCTTCAAAGTCTTACATTGAAGACAATCAAGTTCTCCCTCCGCTGCCTCCTTTCGCGGAATGTGAATATGTGAACGGCACTATAAAAACTTGTGGCGCAATAACCGAAGACTTTACCATCTCGAACCTAGCAGTTCATTGCCTGTTTATGCTATTGGATGCTGGCGAACTTACCCGCTTTGTTTTTAAGCGTCAAGCGCCTTACCTGCATAAAATGCATGCTGTACAATCAGTGTTCGAGCGAAATTCTATGAACCACAAACTTTATTTGATCGAGTTGCTCAACTTGAATCGATTAGTTCAGGATAATGATGCTCTGTCCAGTTTTGAAAATACGCTTTGGAGAGCGTTTCAGCAGTACGCACTTGACCCAGCAAAATGGGCTCTTCAAGGTAAATATGCCCTACAGGCTCTGATTATTCTGGAGAGCAACTGCAAGTCAAGCGTTCTGAAAAGCAAGCGCCATAAAGTCCTTCTTCAAAAGTATCTCTTGGAGCTCGACACCTCGGGCGTGGACGTTCAAGACCCCTGTGTTGCCATGGCTTGGGGGTTGGCCCTGCTTTTAGGCGAGAACTTTGTCTCGAAATCATTTTTGGGTTTGCTGATTTCCAAGATGATCAAAGGTTTCCAAAACAGTCGACCTTATAACCCCCATCATGCCTATATTTGCTGGGTTGTGGGGGCATTTTTCCTCCAGGGTTATCTGGAGATCCCCGCAGTGGTTTTACGTCGAATGATTGACTGTATTGAACAGTTTGGTGCAGTTGGAACCAAGTTGGAAATGATGGCTAAAGAGCTTGAGAAGAAGTTGCCTGAGCAGAGATACTGTAAATCTGGTCAGAAACGAGCCTCGGAAGGTTTCAACCCCCCTGCCAAACATATAAAACGGGCGCCGAAGTTTGCGCACGTAGTAGGCCCCAGTTCAACCTTCTTTTGGGGGCTTGCATCCCAGCTTTATCTGTCGAGAATTCACACCGTTTGTGAAGACACAGTTTCGCCATGGAACATTGTGCCAGAGTACATCGTCACAGAACAGCAACTGTACCCGGATACTCCTTCTAGCCCCAAGGTGAAACCTACCGAAGCCATAATGCCGCCGAATCCAGTGGAAGAGCTCAGCCCACCGTCCTTGCCACCTATCCCTGAAACCACATTGATTGCCCCCAAAACGCCGCAGTTCTCTTCCGAAGCTACAGTTGATTGGACACCCCAATCGGTTAGAGGGTTTGGCGAATCCAGACACCCCACGTCGATTCCGCCCCCATTGCGGTTGAATAGTGGTATAACTGAGCCAAAGATTGAAGAAGAGGTGTCAGATTTGTCGCACGCGATGCCGACATTCACCGCTATGTTTGGGCTTCAGGAAAGCGCTTCGTCACTCGGTTGCCAATCTACGGCCAATGTTTCGGGAAAACTTCTTCCTCCTGCCGAGATTTCGCAATGCTTCTTGCAAGACTCTGCAGTTCTATTTTCTGTATCGCCAGCCAAGTTTCAGACATTTAACCCTTCCTTGGAAAGCGACTCTCGGGTGGAGCCTACCTCAGCGTTTTTGAGGGTTCCATTTACACCAGTATCTGCTTCGTTGGGGCCTGCGATGCACTGAAAGCTGTGGTTTCCTTTAGTTGCGGCTTGAAAAGCGCTTTTTGATCGGTAAGTGGTTGATCGTGGCAGTTTTCGATGCTAGGGGCTTGGAACGGTGACCTGGGTCATAATGCCGAACGCGGCGTTTATAAGAATCCCACAAGAATCCCGAATCCACCAACGCTTGGGCATGATCTGGGTTCTTGAAAGGAACAATTGCAGTATAAACGCCATTGCGGCGCCCTACCGCTAAAGGTGTTGATGCAGTTGGGAATTTGTAGCCATCATCCAGTTCCTTTTTGAGGAGTTTTGGTGTAATATGGTCAGGCAAACCGGTGATAACCACTTTGACCCACTTTGTTAAGTCGAGAATTGTGCCTAGTTTCTCAAGCGTTTTGGTGTCTAACATTGTATCTTTATCCAGGTACAATTTCCAGAACCTATGGGCCAGCAATTCCACTGAACGGACGGTGCTAGGTGGGAACACCTTCGCGGCGGCGCTCAGCATCTGTTTGGGTGTCTTATTTTGCAGTGAGATGTTTGGTCGTATGACAACAAACGGGTATGCGCTGTCGTCTTCTCGTGCTTGGAGTCCGTCGGGTGAGAGATGGTCGAATGTGAGCTCTTCACTAGGCATATGAACTCTGTCATTACCCAAATATCGGCGCCGACTGTGGAACTGGGTCCAGTCCAGGTTCTCGATTCTTTTTGAGTTTTCGCGTTTGTGATCTGCGCAATCAGTCTGATCCTCGTCCGATTCGACATCCATCCCTGCATCCTCATCTTCAGTCAACCCGATAGTGGACTCTTCGTCAGAGTCACCTTGATCGGAGGGGCAGCTAGACTGACTGGGCTCACTGAGATAATGTGTGTCGTCAGCCTCTTCATAGGCGCTCCATTCGCTTTCTCGTCCGCTACAAAGCGCATCAATGGGTTGCTTTGGTTCGCTTGGTGCATGCCTTACGTGCTCGATGGCTTTCTGATCCGCCCTGACTAGCGCTCTTTGCTGGAATTTGGGAGGAATCCTTGATATTTGCGTATCGTTATCAGGGAAAAAGTCAGGGTCATTTATTGCGGCTAGATCGAAATTTCCTGGCTGTCGTTGACCCAACCGGTTACGAAGAACTTCCACTTCTCGCTTGAGCTCGGCATTCTCGGCCAACAAGATTCTATTTTTGAGGGCCAATTCCTTATTTTCATGGGCCAGTCGTGTGTCTGTACCGCTCAAGTTAAGTGGGCTTTGGTTGTGTTTGCCTTGCTTGGTTTTCATGCGATACAGATCAAGTGAAATTGCACTTATGAGATGAGTGGTCGTTGCCTTGTATTCTCTTAGCTCGGACTTGAGCTCATCAAGCTCAATTTCCAAATTTGAAGAGGTTTTGGGTCTACTGGTTTGCCAAATATTTGGCAAGCCATGGGGATTGGACATGCTGGGCGGCGTGGAATATCCCGGCGCATATGTTACACGGGCACCTATTTGGTGTCCATTTTTTTGGTCCACATCATTCGTGCGTCCCAAAGATAACTTGGGTGAGAAATTCATCTTGTTTTCTTGGAAAACTTTTGCGTAAGGCGTTTCTACAGTACCTGTTTCACCGCCGCCGACTAAATTTTGAGAGACCATCTGGTCCATTTTTTTGAGCTAGAGTTGGAAACTTTGGAAAGAAAGAAAACCAGAAATATCGGAAAGTGTCTCGCTGAGATAGCTTGACAATTATATTTCCCTGTCAATTCCAAAATGTATCTCTTTCTGGCAGAATTTTTTGTGCGTGGGGTAAATCGCACCTCGTTAGTAATTTTTGTTTGAATAATTTTTGTTTCAATTGAACATTCACAATAGTCCCAAGGTTAATACTCGGTTTGAGATCAGCTTGATGCTCAATTTCCAAGCACGAGCCTAGTTCTGCGATTGGCGAGTTTCGATTCTGAACTCGAAGCTATAAATTCACACAAACCTTTTTTGTTAAGAGATGGGGCTGTGGCTCAATGGTAGAGCTTTTGACTCCAGTTTGCGCTGCCATCAAATGGTTGCAGGTTCGATTCCTGTCGGCCTCATTTCCTTTTTTCCCCTTCAAGACTCAAATGCTGAATCAGTTGAGACACCTGGAATAATACGAGCATCCGTTTTTACAAACTTCTAGCACTACTAAATACAGACTACGAAACTCACGGCTCCGTATAAAGTAGCTCTTATATGTGAAACACAGAATTTTTGTCAGAAATGGGGCTGTGGCTCAATGGTAGAGCTTTTGACTCCAGTTTGTGCTGTCATCAAATGGTTGCAGGTTCGATTCCTGTCGGCCTCATTTTCTTTTTTGTCCCCCCGTTTCCTGACCTAATTAATATTTTTCTCATCGTTGAAAAATTATTGTCAGCTTCATTTTGCTTGGAATATGCAATCACAAGATGATTTGGACTGGGTATCTCAGCATACACCGGCACCTGACGGTAATCAGGATAATGTTATAAAAGAACCAAGCCTTGAGCCAGAATCCAAGGAACCTTCAAGAGTTGAAAGAGGTGACCGTCCTTATGAGTTTGGAAAACGTTTTTTGACTGACGAGGAGGATGTTTGGAAATTCAATGCCTGGGACCACGTTGAGTGGGGGCCTGACCAAAAAGAAGAAGCCGAAAGACAGTTAGCAGCCCAGGCCCAGACACCGGTGAATGAGTTTGACAAGAAACTGTACCTGGCCAACCCGGCAAGATACTGGGATCTATTTTACCGCAATAACAAGGAGAAATTCTTCAAGGATAGAAAGTGGCTTAGGGTGGAGTTTCCTGCGCTGTATGAGGCATGCAAAAAAGACGCTGGTGCTGTCTCAATCCTGGAGGTGGGCTGTGGAGCCGGGAACACTATGTTCCCAGTTTTGCAGGAGAACGAGAACCCCGAACTCCGGATTAGCGGCGTTGACTTCTCACCACGAGCGGTCGAGATTGTGAAAACGAGCCCTAGCTTCGACCCAAAGTTTGCTCACGCTGCCGTGTGGGATCTGGCCGATCCGGAGGGTAATCTACCAGAGGGAATTGAGCCACATTCGGTGGATATTATTGTGATGATTTTTGTCTTCAGTGCGCTTGCTCCGGACCAATGGCCCCAAGCAGTGTCCAATCTACAAAAGATCTTGAAGCCCGGCGGGCGCATTCTGTTCCGCGATTATGGTCGATACGATCTGACACAGATTCGCTTCAAAAAGGGCCGTCTCTTGGACGAAAACTTCTATATACGTGGCGATGGCACACGGGTGTACTTTTTCACCGAAGAAGAGCTTGTGGAAATCTTTGGAACTGCATTTACGCCCGTTAAAATTGCTACAGATCGAAGACTTATCGTCAACCGGCAGCGTAAGATTAAAATGTACAGAGTTTGGTTGCAGGCTGAGTTTTCTAATTCCAAGTAGATGGATCTATTTAATCGATAACAGCAAGCAAACCACCAACCATCAGAAGACTACCAGTCACAAACACTTGTTTATCTGGGATTAGACCGATCATATTATTAGCTTCTTCTAGGCTGGCACAAATTCGAGTTTCACACTCTGGGTCAAGTTTTGACCAGGTTTTGGCAAGGTCCTTCTGGATAACAAGCTTATCAATGGCTTCTTTCGACACGTTGTGGGAGACCATGTCTGCTTGGAACCCGGACGCCCAGGTTTGGTTTGTGGAAAAAATCGCAGTAGATGCCGTGACGCCAAGAGATTTGAGACTGCCATAAAGACCGGCCAGCAGTTCTCCTGCATTATCTCGTTTTTGTTGATTGAAAAGCAAGACAACCGGCTTTTTTGGATCGTAGGCAGATGCGAACCACTTGGCGGCCTCCACTAAGCTTTCGACTGTGTGGGCACCATCGATGTACCACCGGGCATTGTTTTTTTCCAAAATCTGACAGCGGCCGGCCCAAGCCGCCTTTTCAAGGCCGAGAACAAAATCTTGAGGCAGTTTCTCCGGCAAGTCCATGCCCAGTCTGGTGGCTACTAAATGAGCAGCAATGGTAGCATTTTTCCGTTGGAACTCACCAGCCAGCCCTAATTTGAGTGTCTTGATTTCAGGATGAATAGGCACAGCCTGAAGGTGTGCCCCCTTCTCGGCCGCACGTTCTTCTAAAACTTTCAAAGCTGAAGCAGGCTGGTCGTCGATTGTAAATACATTGGCATCCTTTTTGAAAATGCCCGCCTTGTTCCATGCAATCTCTTCAATGGTGTTTCCCAAAACATTCACATGGTCAATCCCTAAGGAAGTCACAGCACAAGCGGTCGGATGAACAAAGACGTTTGTAGAGTCGTATTCACCGCCAATGCCAACCTCATATATAGCAGATTCGACTCCTTCCTGCATAAAGGCGTGGAAGGAAACTAGTGTCAGATAGCGAAAGTAGTTGGGCTTGACGCCTGGTCCCATTCGACGGAAGCGATTTGGGTCCGACTCGGTGTTTTCGATTCGATCGTACACCTGGAAAAAGTACTTGGCGAATTTGTCGGCGTCAATGGGTTTACCGTCGATCATTATGCGCTCTCGAACGCTTTTCAAATGAGGCGAAGTGTACAGGCCGATTTTACCGAAATTCGACCTTCCTGCTGCCCTGCTTTGCAGCAGAATGCTCTGAACAAAAGCACATGTAGAGCCTTTACCCTTTGTGCCAGTTACGTGTAGAACGTTCATCTTATCAAACTCCTTGGGCTCGTACCCCACACGCCTGATCCATTCTATCATCTCAGGAACAAGGTCTTCATCTCGTGTGGGCTCACCTTGTGCTTTGATTTGTTCAATAACCGCAAAATTGGTCTGGAGCCGGTTCAGAGCCTCGATGGCCGCGTTATAATCCCTGACTGCGGCGACCATTCTATTCATGATTAAGCAGTGTGCGTTGAGAGGGTTATATGCAAGAACCCATCCACGCACATGGTGGTTTTGTATAGCTCAATGATCGGGGCCCACAAATCAATAGGCACACCATGGACGAGCGGGACGAGCTCAGAACATGATCTTGCGGATGGGAAGAGTTCTGGCAGCAATAGATTGAGAACAGCTCCGAGGGACCGCTCTTCGCCGTCAGACTCAAAGGGTCTCATTGATTTGCGAAGTGGAGCCATTTTGAGTGGTTCATAGATCCGTATTGGTATATTCAGCGGCTGTGGCCGAAGCAGCGGGTCCGCGATCGCCCAAAAATCGCGATGCGATGCAGAGGGGTCTGTAGCAGCAACAAATAGAGCATGAGACTTGTCGCGAGCAAGATTCATAATGGCATTGGCATTTCCGTCGCGAGTGTAGCACGCCTCTTTAAACTGGTTCCGCCAAAAGTCGGTTAGAATGTCGTTGGAGATGGGTAGGATGGTCTCTGGGTAGCCGGAATGACGTATTCTGATATTCCACACTGGCTCACCCGCCGCCAACGTATCGTACAGAACTCCAACTGGTCTTGACCATTGCAATGGCATGTCGCCGTGCGAATACCACCACTCGTCGTCGCTGGCGTCCTCAATCGCGAGATAGCGTTTAAAATAGGCCACAATCTTAGGCGTATAGCATGGTAAAAACAAATTACGTCTAGCCATCAATAAATAAGTGTACTCATCGTACGTCTCAGGTGCCCTAATGGAAACTTGGATAGGAATCGAACTCCGCCATGTCTCCTCGCGTACCCTGTCCTGCGTAGTCATGAATGCAGGCTCCATGCATGTTGGCGCCTTCAAGTGGAGGATGCGGCATTAGTGCTTTTGAACAAAACTCGGCCACGAGCAGATCCAAACCAAAATTGAGTTCGCGGCCAACCCTATACTGCAGTTGGACCAGCCGCCCGCTCTGATCCCGCGTCTTTGTTTAGAAATATGGGCCCAGAAGCCCGTGCCCTGCCTTATCCGCTAAGTAATCGGGCCCGGATTTCCAAGTTTCTTCAAATGGCGAATTGGCAACAGCCAGGTTTCTCCAATGAAGCTTTAAACAAAATGTACTCGGAGGTTCAGCAAGAGCTTTCCCAAACGGGGCCGCCCAAGCGGGTTGGAAACTATGAAATCATGAGGAAGGTCGGAGAGGGGGCCTACTCCAAAGTGTACCTGGCGCTTCATGTTATCACTCGACACCAAGTGGTTTTGAAGGACACCATCAAAGACCAGGTGAATTTGGCAGGTGAGATTGTGCATTTACGCACGTTTCGGCACCCGCACATTGCCAGGCTGTACGAGATCATTGTGCAGAGCGACCGTGTTTGGCTGGTCATGGAGTACTGCGCGGGTGAGGAGTTGTACTTGAACCTGGCACGCCATGGCCCCTTCAACATCGTTGTCGCCAGAAGGATGTTTACACAGCTAGTCGGCGCTGTAGCCTATGCCCATATGCAGCAGTGTGCCCACAGAGATCTGAAGCTGGAGAATGTTTTGCTGGACAACGAGCTGAATATCAAGCTGGGCGACTTTGGGTTCACCAGAAGCTATCAATCAAAGAGCATGCTTGATACTGTCTGCGGCACAGAACCGTATATGGCGCCAGAACTGCTCCTCCAAAAACGGTATAATCCCGAGGCGGCCGACGTTTGGTCTTTGGGGATTATTTTCTATGCTATTTTATTTGGTAAACTGCCGTTCGATGAAGACAATGCTGCAGAAACCCGCAACCGCATCATAAACTGCGAGCCCGATATGTCGGGTCCTGCTCCTGATGATCTCAAAGATCTAATAAAGAAAATGCTCTGCAAAGATTCTCGCCAACGCCCTCGATGTGCTGACTTACTTCGAAGTGAGTGCTTTGGTGCCGATGGTGAAATTCAAATGAATCTGTTGTCTAGGCCCGCTCCTCAGCCTTTTCAAAGCCGCCAGGAACGTGAGATTTTGAAGGCAATGCGGGCTCTCGGAATGGATTTATCAGTTGTCGCCGAATCAATCAATCAGATGAAATGCGATCCAATTCATGGCATATTTTACACGGCTCTCGACAAAGCAATGCTGGGCGAGTCGCGACTGACTCGTCGGCATTCAGAGTCTTCATCATTGCGACATGTGGCTCGGGCCGCCAGGGCTATACTTCCTCGTCGCTCTTCAGAGAGAGAAAGGGAACCCTCAATTGTTCAAGCCCAACCAGATCTTTCTGCTCGTCCCCGTCTGGACACAGCGGTTAGTGCCCCCCAATCACAACGAGAAGTCGAACCGCAACGAGAGTCTGAGTCCGCAAAAGGTCGTTTGCGCCGATTGCTTCACTCAATGATTCCTCGGGGTGAAAACAGGTACCTCAATGTTCCTGCTCTGGCTGCTCACCAGGAAGTCTCGCCCGCCAGTTCCCAACCTTCTGAAACCCAGACTCCTTTGCAGTCAGAAGTATCAGTTTTGGTGACTGAAACTCTTCCTGGCGGACGGGGGCGAGCTATGTCTCAAATGTCTCAACTGTCTGCTTTATCTGCTTTATCTAGTACGTCCAAAGACACGTTGGACCAGCTGAATTTCAGAACGAGCTCAATCCCCCACGAGTCTGAAAAGTATGTCGCTCGTCTCTCCCCAGTTCCTAATAAGCTCAAGCGCCGATTGTTTCCTCAGGTGGAACCTCTAAAAGAAGAGTAAGTACATCCTTCTTTTATTATTTTTATTATTATTATAGTGTTATTTATATTTATTCAGCGCCCTCTGCCATTGTTTTTGTAGTAGAAATAAATAGTAATTTACTGCAGTGCTACAAGGATGCCCGTAACTAGAAGCGTCGCTACAACTTTTAAGGTGGCCTGAACAAGTCCAATACTTTCGATTAGTGCCAAAGGAAGGAATCTTATAACAGATTGAGAGAACGGAACGTTCTTAGTTTCATTAGCTTGAGTTTTTGTCGGTATGGAAGGCAAACTCTTGAGAGGAGCATCACGCAGAGCATGCACCCTTTGCGAGTATGGCATTATAGTCATTGTAGAAATTTCTGATGCCACGGACTCCTTCTCAACTGGATTTGACAACAACCCATTAACCAGCTCTAATGAACTAGCACATGCCAAGGGTTCTTGGCAAACTAAAAGCTGTTGATCACCTCGATACATTGACATGAAGGCTGGAACAAAGTTGGGTAACGCTATTGCGATTAAAATCAGAAAAATTTGTTTGAATGCCTTGTATATCGGTTTGTACTCAACATGGAAACTCGACTTCGCCAAAAATATAGGTGTTTTTCCCGGTGATAAAGTTGGTACTTCCACGAGTTGAGAAATCTCATTTGAACAAGTATTGTCAGGTACTTCGAACTGCCATGCGACTGTAACACCCGTAACATCTCTACTTTTTTCCATATTGCTGAAGTGGACCGAATCTTTCAACAAGGTATCCATACCCAACAGCAGGTGAGGCGCGAGGATAGTTAGATCCTGGTAATTTGGTTCGTCAGTTTTGTTGGTTAGCTCCTGAAACTTTGATTCTTCAGCTTTGGTTGGTTCCTGGTAATTGGATTCTTCAGCTTTGATGGTTAGCTCCTGGTAATTTGGTTCCTCAACTTTGTTGGTTAGCTCATGAAAGTTTGATTCTTCAGCTTTGGTTAATTGCTGGTCATTGGATTCGTCAGATTTGTTGGTTGGCTCCTTATAATTTGATTCTTCAGCTTCCTTGGTCGTTAGACTATGATCATTTGGCTCCTCGCTGGTAGCTACACCCTGTTCCTTTGTTTCCTTCACTTGTTTGTTAACAATATCACCACAATTTGGTTTTTCCACCTTTTTTGTATGTCTGAGGGCAATATCTCTGCTCAAAACTTCACCTTTACTTTCTTTTGGCACTGGTTTTACAGCACTGGCTGCCGAATGTGGCACTACCACTTCGGTCGAGACCCTTCTAGCTGAGATCTTGTTTATTGTACCACTAATGGGCTTGTACTTTACGCGAATAGGGGTCGCATTGACTTCGATACATGTAGGCTTTGGAGGAGGGCCAGGTGTAAACGCAGGGTGGAAAGCGTAAGGCGGGAGTTCGCGCGGATAGGGTGGAAGCTGCAATTTGAACTCATTTGGAATAGGTGTTACACGTCGATCACAGGCGGGCAGGATGGTACGCTTTGGTAGAATTGGCATCGCTGGAAGTAACGGAAGGTCAGTGGTAGGAGAATCGTTCTCAGCCAAGTCAAGCGCAAAGCCGGACGGACGGTTAGGGCGCATAGGGGGGATTAGTTTGCGAAAGAAAAACCGTGGATTGTATTTAAGTTTTTCTTGGTTGAAAATAGGTGAGTCCAGAATGAGAGTGGCTGGACGATTGGGGCGTCTTGGTGGAGTTAGTCTTCGAATGAAAATAGGATGTTTTGAGACCAAGCGCCTGGAGCTGTATTTGATAGGTTCGATAGAATTGATTTGTTGTTGTCTGTAAAAGCGACCATTAACCTTGACAAATCCTTTGAGCCATCGTAAAAACCTGACCCCTTCAATATGCTCGTTTCGAGAAACGGCTGAAGTGCCAGCCGAGCGCATAGGATGTGATAGCCCGCTGATATCTTTCGGATTGGTCGTAGTCTATATCTTCGAGAAGGTGCCGAAAATAGCATGTTATATTATCTATGCGCTTTGATATTACCGTATGCAAGTCCCAGCATTAAACACTCGCGAACACCAACAACATCTAGACTACGCAACTGAACTCGATATCATATCAAGATCAATCAACCAAGAGTGCTAAATTTGACCTGTAGAGATGATCAGTTTGATAGGCAAAAATCGGCGTGCTAGTGGTTGCCTCCCAACTAGTGACGCACCGCAACTAAAACCTTAATTTTTAGATTGCCAGGTACGAGACATTTTTTCAACTGTCCACGTATTTTGAAAACCGTATTATCTCACAACTATTGTATTAGTTATTAGCAATGATGATGCCAGGGGAGCCAGGTGTCGCGTCTTGAACAGGCTTGGAGGAAGGAACCTCAACAGTCTCACCAGTAACCACGTCTTTACCAACACCATTGGCAACAGATACAATCTGGATGTTGACGATATTGGATGCCATGGCAGACTTCTGGAATACAGAGAGTGCCTCCTTGGCAACAGCGGGCTCATTGAAGCTGAGCTTACGATCGAGAACCTCGGCAGCGGGTTTGCCGCCGAGAATAGATATGCGCAGAAGCGATACAAACTGCATACCGCGCTTAGGGTCACCCAATTTGGAAACCTTTTGCTTGAAAGCACCAGTCATATCAGTGAAATCAGCGGAATCCAATGCGTCGCGAACCAACTCGATGTAGCTCTCCTGCCATTCAGGGAAAGCATCGGCAATGTAAATAGTGAGCGAAGAAGGTGCCTTGGGGTCGAAGGAAGTACCCTTCTTCTTTTTCTTCATCAGCTGGCCCTCAGCCTCGCGAATAGCACGGGATACGTCGCGAACATAGTTGATAGAGTCAATGACAGACTGATCAACAGGTGCATCAGGAGTGGGGAACTTGGCGTCATGAACGGTAGTTTTGTTACCGAGAACCTCGCGCCATACATACTCACCGAAATGGGGAGCAATAGGGGTAAGAAGAAGCGCCTGAACCTCAATGTAACGCTTGACCAAAGACTGGTGCATGCGGAGACCCAAAGAATTGGTGACATCACGGTAGTAGTCACGAGCAATCTGGAGGTCAAACAAGCCGCTCTTAAGAGCAGCTTTGTAGTGTGTAGCTTCATAAGCCGCCTCAGTATCCAAAATGAGCTGATTCATTTCACTAGCGAAAGCTCGGTCATAAAAGTTGAATTCACCACAGCGCAATTCCTCAGGGTGAGCAAGGACAGAAGTGGTCCATTCTTTGAGGGTATGCAAACGAAGGATAGCGGCATTGGCATTGGCCTCGTCGAAGTTTGCATCCTCAAATGTGTCACCAGCATCAGCAAGAGCAATACGTGTAGCGTCAGAACCAAACTTGGTGAGCATTTCACGGAGGGTCAAAAAGTTACCAGTACTCTTAGACATCTTTTCGTTATTCAGCATCAAATGGCCATTAGCACGAATACCGCGGGGCCAGAACTCTTCACTAAACAAGGCGGTGTGGCAGTAAAGGAAGAAAGTCAAGTGGTTGGGGATCAAATCCTTACCAGAAACACGCAAGTCCAGGGGATAGAAGAAACGGAAAGAGTTACGCATGGTATCAAGCTTTTCCTTGGAAACCTTGCACTCCGCAGAAATATCATTGGAGCGGCAGAAAACATAGTTCCAGACCTCATCGGTCATATCCTCGGCAGGAATTCCAAGCGAGCCGAGCTCTTGTCCATAGTAGTCCTTGTGTAAGAAATGGCAGATGGTGTAATACGCCATGTAAATTGTAGAATCAGAAAGAGACTCAACCAAGTACTGTTCATCCCAAGGAATACGGGTACCGAGACCGTAAGTACGAGAAAGAGCCCAGTTGCGGAGCCAGTCCAAGACCTTCTCAAAGCCATTGCGAGCTTCGGGGCTGAAGGTTTCCAAGCGAGCAAGCGCCTTTTCGGTGACAGCCTTCCATGAATCCTCGCCATAGTCGTTGTACCACTGATCTTCAAGAGAAACAACGCATTCATCACCAGATCGAGAAATAACAAGACCCTCAGGCTCAGAGTAAACAAAGGCCTGTCCTGCCTTGACCATATCCTCACGAACCTTGGGCTTTGCGTCCTCAACCTTCTCACCAGCATACTTGCCAACAGCCATGACACCCATATAAAAGCCTTCCTTGTAGGCAATCTCCTTGGCCTCGGCGAGCTTATCCTTGTCCTTGGGAGAGTTGATTTTGAGCTGCTCGACCAAGGTCTTGGCAGTTGTAGTACCATAAGTAGGAGTGTCAACAACAGGTACGGGATCAGCAATCCAAGACGCTTCGATGTGGTAATATTCGGGCTTCTTAGCCAGATCGACTTGAGTAATGTAGTCATCAGGAGAGTCGCTAGGAACACAAGTGACAACACCTGTACCCTTATTGGCAAGAATAGTCTCCATGGGGAGAACACGGAGCTCATCGTATTGAGCCAAAGGAGCAGAGATCTTGGCACCAACTAGCGCTGAGCCCGGAATCCAAGCAACAGGCGCATAGTGCCCACGTCTAGGAGTAAGGTCCTGGAAAGCCATGTTGCGGAAAGCACGTTCAGTGGTGATAAAGTACTCGTTGTTACCAGCATCGAACAAGCCATAGGTGATTTTGGGCGAAACAAAGCAGCAGGTCTGACCGTACATGGTCTCAGGGCGTAAAGTAGCGGCAACCAAGTAGACCTTGCGAGCAGAAAGATCGCTGACATTGACCAAGGCATGCTTGGCTTCTTCAGGGAACTCAGTAATTGCGATCTTGATACCAACGTACTCCTGGGGGTTAACAGCCTCACCAACCTGACGGTCGTGATCCATGCAGGGCTGGCCATCCTTGGGGGAGTAGATAGTGTAACGCATACCGAACTTGATCTTGTCAAGAGCCTTGAGGGCCTTCATCTGCCAGCGGATCATAGAATCGTAGTAGGGGTTGACGTCGGTGGTGACGAACGAACGGCGCCAGTCGATGCGAGCACCGAAGAGCGTGCAGTCGGCCTGGCACTTGGGCGGGAAATACGTGATCCAGTAGTTTGCGTCGGCAAACTTGTGAACCTCCTCACGGGGAATACCAAGCTGCATCATGATCTCGTGCTGGTACTTTGCCTTGCCCTGTTTGGCAACTGCCTTGGATTTTTGGGCCCGGAACTTGGTCGGATCAGCCTTGGCAGCAGGAGTGGCTTCCTGAGCAGCCTCTTCCTCTTCCTCCTTCTCCTCAGGAACCTCGAAATTCTCGCCAAACTGCTCGATTTCACGCGCTAGCTTATCGGCACTGGCTCTGATCGGCATGCCTGTGCAGTGGAACCCCATGGGGAAAAGAGCTCTCTTGCCCTTCATACGCTCGTAACCAGTGGCAAACTCGGCCTTGGACATTGTGTAGGAGTGACCAGCATGAAGCACACCGTTCATATACGGATAGGCCATCGTGGCCATGAACTTGGGGTACTTTTTATGCAGCTCCTCCTCGGGCATCTCGGGTAGGTTTTCGACGGCGTCAACCTCGAAAGTCCGCTCCTGCTCCCACGTCTCCTGGTATTTCTTCTCAATATCAATCAAAACATCTCGGCGCGTGGTATTTTCCAGCACCAAAGTCTTGGCTTCTGACATGGCTGAATGAAACTTTTTTGAGTCATCAGCCTTACATAAACCTGCCCGATCCGCGGACGCCAATACCGGCAGGTTATCTATAAACATTTAGCAATTATACCTAGAATATGAAAGATTAACCACGGTCGAAAAAGTCGTCTTCAGCGTCGTACTCTTCTTCTTCGATTTCATCAGCGTCGCTGGACCCTTCATCGGCGTCTCCGTCGTCCTCGTCCTCGCTCAGCGATTCGTAGAGATTTTCATATTCTTCATCATCCAGGCCAGACATGGACAAGCCCTTGAGCACATCGTTCTTTGCTTCAAAGCCACTGGGCACTTCGTAGCCACCTTCGACCTCGCAGGACGTCAGACGGACTCTGTCGCGAATAACTGCCGCGCGGCCAATGATACAGTTTTCCAGCACCACGTCGTTACTGATTGTGGTTCCGTCGAGAACGACACAGCCTGTAATGCGGCACTTGGTGCCGATTGTGCAGTTGCTGCCAATCACCGATCTCTTGACGCTTGATTTGGCTCCCAAAGCAGATTCGTCGCCTACCAACGAATCGTTACCGACTAAAGCGGCACCTTTCTCTTTGGCAGCAGGAGCAGCAGCAGTCCCTGACTTGGCCATGTCCCGAGCTCTCACTTTCATTATGTGTCTGTTGGCCTCGAGATAGGCAGGAAGATTGTTGGCCCGGATATAACATGCAGAGGCCGGGAGCTGAGCCACGGCGATTGTGTCGAGCTTTTTACGATGCTGCCATGTGCGACGAGCAAAGTTACGCATAAGCTTGTGAACGGTCTTGTTTTCAACCGCTACGGAAGCGTCTTCATCGGCCTCTGAAAGAATATCCAAAACCGGCCGGCGGCATACGTAGATCGAGGTGTAAAGAAGATCAGTAGAAGCAACGGCGTTACCGAATTTCCACAGCATTGCCATGCGAACGTCAAGGTGCTTGTTGTCTTTGACAAATTGGCGCTCATATGCATCCAAAAGCACCGCCTGTCCGTCCTTGTCGAACGGGGTGTGAAGTAAGACATCGGGTCCCAGAACCTTTTTGGTATCGATACTCTCAATAGTGTTGCGGTAGTAAAAGCCGGTCACTAGGTTTTTGATATCGCTGGCTCGATGCACACTAAGAAGCTGCTCAGGATCCAAATCAGTAATGAAATCACAGGGCAGCACGACGAAGTCAGAGTCGATCTTGGAGGCTAAACAGGCGAGCGTCTCTCCTGTGGTCGATGCGAACTCCGCAATCTCAATGGGGATGCTTCGGGAGCCCGGCTGCAGCTCAACGTACGCCGTGATCTCACGAATCGACATTGGCGTACACACCAACGTGATCTTTTTGAACATCGCCTTTTCGCACCATTCGAGGGTGTGCGCAAGCAGAGGCTTGTTGGCCACCGGCAGCATGGCCTTGGTCATGGACTCGCCAGCCACAGGGCTAAGCCGTCGCCCATCACCGCAGAATACAAGCGCCTCGAACTCCATTTTTTTCTGGCTTTCTAGGCAGGGTTAGTCAGCGGAGGGAAAGACACAGTGGTTTCTGTTGCTGGCAAAAGTTACTACTTTACTTATGTCAGACGACCCATTGTTGGCGGCCCTTGAGGCGGATTCTGCGGTGCCGGTTGCCCAGGAGGACATTGAAAGGACGCGGGCGGTTGAAGAATACACGCGCAAGCTGAGGGATCATCGAGAATGGGAGGCCAAGCTGAAGACGTTGCGGCAGTCGATCACAAAACTGCAAAAGGACTTTGACAAGACCGAAGAGGATATCAAGGCACTACAATCGGTTGGTCAGATCATTGGAGAGGTTCTTAAGCAGCTGGATAAAGAGCGATTCATTGTCAAAGCCAGCAATGGTCCCCGGTATATTGTGGGCTTCCGCAATTCCATCAAGCCTGAGGATCTCAAGCAGGGCGTCCGGGTGGCGCTAGATATCACCACGCTCACCATTATGCGCATCCTGCCGCGCGAAGTCGATCCGCTGGTGTATAATATGACGACCTTGGATCCTGGTGATCAGTCGTTTGCAAGCATTGGAGGTCTCAGCGAGCAGATCCGCGAGCTTCGTGAGGTCATCGAGCTACCTCTGAAAAATCCCGAGCTGTTCTTGCGCGTCGGTATTAAGCCACCCAAGGGTGTCTTGCTTTACGGCCCGCCTGGTACGGGCAAAACGCTACTTGCCAAGGCAGTGGCGGCCCAGATTGGCGCCAACTTCATTTTCTCCCCTGCGTCGGCAATTGTTGATAAATACATTGGTGAATCAGCGCGAATGATTCGTGAGATGTTCAGCTACGCGAAAGAACACGAGCCCTGTATTATTTTCATGGATGAGGTCGACGCCATTGGTGGCCGTCGCTTTTCCGAAGGTACTTCAGCCGATCGAGAGATCCAGCGCACATTGATGGAGCTGCTCAACCAAATGGATGGCTTTGACTACTTGGGCCGAACCAAGGTTATTATGGCCACCAACCGACCCGACACACTCGACCCTGCTCTGTTGCGGCCGGGTCGCTTGGACCGCAAGATCGAGATTGCCCTTCCGAACGAGGTGGGCCGGTTGTCTATTTTCAAGATTCACTCAGAAAACGTCACAAAATCGGGCGACTTCGATTTTGAGGCTCTCGTCAAAATGTCCGACGGCTTCAACGGTGCTGATATCAGAAACGTAGTGACCGAGGCAGGCTTTGTCGCCATCCGAGACGACCGCGACTACATCACTCAGGCCGACATGATGAAGGCAGTGCGAAAAGTCGGCGAGTCCAAGAAGCTAGAGGGCCGCTTAGAGTACGAAAAACTGTAGACTAATTTATATCTGTCTTTGCCCAATTTCTCGAAGCACTAGTGTGGTATTTTCGGGAATCGGTACACACCCTAACCCTGCTAACTCCCGCAGATGGTCGTTCGGCTATGCAGTTGAGAAATAGTTTGCCTAAGACGAATGCCGGGGCAAAAGGTCCCAATTTTTCTTTATTCGGTAGGAGTCCAAATTCCTGAATGTCCACTACTTCCGACTCTGCGTCTCTCTCCCGCCTCCTCGGTCTCTTGTCTGAGTTCCCCAACGCTGCGGTTTGATCTAATGTAGCGACCCCGCAGTGGGGTCCCAGGGCCGGGCGAAAACCCTACGTATAAAAGCCCCACAAATCGACGAGTGCTGAAATCAACCTTTTAGATTTTGAAAGAAAACATGATTTTCACATCTCCCTGGGGTCCTTTGAAAAACTGGCCTAAGCGTAACGGCGCGCAGTACATGGTTGATAGCCCTTTCCGTGAGTCTCTGGACAGGCCGGCTTTCATTGATGCGCCAACTGGCGAGGTCATTACGATCAGAGAGCAGAGAACCGCTATCAGGCGCTTGGCTGCTCGTTTCCAGGACGAGTATGACTTGAAAAAGGATGATGTGGTTCTGCTGTTTGGTTTCAACACTATTCACACCCACACCATTCACATGGCAACTCTCAGTGTGCTTGCGGTTGTTTCGCCTGCGAATATTATGTACAACGCCAGTGAGCTTGCTCACCAAGCCAGCGTCGTTCAGCCGAAACTTGTCATTGCTGCAGACAACAAGCTCGATATTGCTCGTGAAGCGATAAGGCACGCCAAGATCGACACCACGGTTGTCTCCTACTCTCAAATGCAGAACGAGATTCGCCATCTCATCCACAACCCCTCTGCTCGTGAGCAAGCACCGATCGATTGCGACGGCACTACCCAGCATGCCTACTACTGCTTTTCTTCCGGCACAAGTGGTCTGCCCAAGGGTGTGATCACCACACATCTGAACATTGCTTCCAATATCGGCCAGCAGGTCGAAACAAACTCTGGTATGATTCGTGAGTTGCATGTGTTTGGTGCTGTTCTGCCTATGAGCCACATCTACGGTCTTAACAGTTTCGTTTGGCTTTCACAGTATCGCCAAGTCACCTGCGTTGTGTTCCCTAGTTTCGACTTTGAGATGTTGTTGCAGTCAATTGTCAAATATCGCATCTCTATGTTGGCTCTGGTCCCCCCCATCATCCTGCTTTTTGCAAAGCATCCTTTGGTCGCAAAGTACCCAGACATCAAAAAGTACTTGAAATTCGTCAAGTCCGGCGCTGCTCCTATTTCCAGCTCAACAATCGACTTGGCTAGTAGTCGGCTTGGTAACCTGGACATTACCCAGGGTTACGGCTTAACCGAAACCTCTCCCGTCACTCATACCACTGGCTGGGATGAGAAGGGCTATGACAACTCCACCGTCGGCTGGCTTGTGCCTAGCTGCGAGGCTCGCTTAGTTGACCCTGATACTGGCAAGGATGTGGGATACAATGAGCGTGGTGAGCTTTGGGTTCGTGGCCCCAACATCATGGCTGGCTATCTCAAGGATGAGAAGTCTACCAAGAACACCTTCTCTGACGATGGTGAGTGGTTCAAGACAGGCGATGTTGCTGTGGTTGACAAGAGTGGCCAGTTCCAGATCGTCGACCGTATCAAGGAGCTTATCAAGTCCAAGGGCCACCAGGTTGCCCCTGCCGAGCTTGAGGCTATTTTGCTTTCTCACCCCAAAGTCAGCGACGCCGCTGTTGTAGGTGTTCGTGATGAGGACGGTGTCACTGAGCTCCCCCGTGCATATGCAGTTTTGCATGCCGATGCGAACCCTCGTGATGTTTTGAGCTGGTTCAATAAGAAGGTTTCCAAGCACAAGAGATTCTGGGGCGGTATGGTCGTTGTGGATGCTATTCCCAAGAGCCCGTCCGGCAAGATCTTGCGTCGTTTCCTTCGTGACAAGAAGGAGGAGCCTAAGAACGTCATTGGCATGGAACTCGCTCGCCTCTAACGACACAATAAAAAAATGCTTGATCTTTCAGTTCGTACTCTTATTATTATAGATGATCTTCTCTACTATTCAGCTCGTCAGCATCCAAAGAAACCTCGTCATGAGACATGGCCACGAAGATTGCGTGAACACCACTAGCTATTGGTGCGGTAAAGACACCGCCGACTTCTATTCCCAGTCCAAGAACATAGGACAATATAAACGGTATCCCCTCAACAGGATACGGAATAATATGGCGCAAATAAATGTAACAAACAAAAGTGGCACTCATGCCTATACACCAGGAGCCAAATGTCAGGATACCTCCAGCCAAGCACTCATTCAACAGTGCAGGATATGGTCTTTTTTTGATTAACGCAATGGTTTTTTGCACACCAGTCAAATAACTGTCGTTGTAAAGGGCGACGTGAGTCAAGACCAGATTGTGGAAGTGTCCTAGAATCCAATCAGCAATGGTAATTCCGTGGCTCAAAGATATCGTGAGCATAATTAAAGACAGATCGGACCCCGTACCCATGAAAAGCTCCGCCAACGAAGCCATTATATTTGCCACTAACATTCCTATGGCAAGAAGAATTGAAGCAAAGCATAATGATCCAAACGAGTATGTTAGAGATCTTAATATTCCCCCAACAACCGGGAAACGAGGTGGATTTTGTTGATATATGTACCAGCCGTATACGGACCCAATGGCTGTTCGAACAACCACCTTGATCAGACCCAAAAATAACGAGTTGGAGAACGAGACCCAGATCAAAGATCCAACCAGCTCTGGCTGGGTCCGCTGTCGTTCTTGAATCGAGCAGTCCGGGGAATCGGCCTTGGCGTACGAGGCCATGAGTGCCATACCGGTCAGCAGCGCATAAGCTGTAGATAGTACTGCTCCAAGAGCAGACACAATGACAATGGATGGGTTGCTTTTGGCCACTGTCATCACTATCCTCAGCATTTCCGTTGCCCTGCTAATGTGTCTTCGAACACACCAGTACACTATAGTGCTGAATACTATCCATACTAAACTGGATCCAAGCGATAGCCATTGTCCCATGATAATTGCGTATACTGCTTTTGATAAAGAGAACCCCAGTTGTAGCACCATTGTTACAAGAACGAACTGTGGTGTCACAAAGCATGCGAGCAGATAGTATATCAAAGAAAAAATAACAGCAGCAACAGCTCCAGCGATTAAAACAAAAAAGCAATTCATATCAAACAACCGCACCACATTTTCAAGCTTGTCGTGTTTGAAACAACCTGTTTTGACATAGTCGTTCAGGTCAACTGAGCAGATCACCATGTACCCCACAAAGATTGCAAAGGTTACAGGCACCCAGAGCACATCTGTCCAAGCAGCCTGATAATCCTGGACCGGTGTATCAGCTTCCTGTGTTACTTTTGGCTCATCTTCGGTATTCTTAGTTTCCGTAGACATTGACTTCCAGCATTAACTCGCGAGGCCCGAAAAAGAGGCCTCCGCTGAGACCTAATGCTTTACCTAACCCTGATTCGATGGCCCGTTCCGTCCCAACCTGCGATGGGTTTGTAGGTCAAGGGTAATCAATAAACACTAGGGCTTGGCCCTGCTGGACGTCACAACATACTCATATCCCCTGTCTGTGGCAACTCGTCTACCATCTGAATCATGGGTAAAGTCCACGGAAGTCTGACCGTAAGTATTCCATTTAGGAAGTGAGAAACGAGAAATGAGCAAGTTCAGGGTGGATGCGTGATATTGCACAGCAGCTATACTGTTTTCTGGAGGGCCTTTCGACGTCTCATACTGCTGCTGAAACAATACTAACTATAGAACGCTGGTCGTGTCAAGTCTCGTACCCCTAAAGTTGAGAAGACCGAGAAGCCTAAGCCTCTTACTGGTCGCGCCAAGAAGCGCATGTTGTACACCCGCCGCTTTGTTAACGTCACTTTGACCAACGGCAAGCGCCGTTTCAACCCTGCCCCCACCTCCTAAATGGGGTTTCTAGCATGCTAATTCTGCTGTTAAAAGATCTCATATAGTATATCATTAAATACGGTCACGTTTGCCTGACCGAGTAACTACGTATTGTCGGCGACTGTTTCGATAAGAATCGCGAGTGCGACTGCGACGATTGCGAAAGTTAGTGTGAATAATACAATGATCATATACCTCGTTACCGGGAACTCGCCCTCCTGAAGAACCTGCTGCACGTGGAAGTACCGAATGAGCCCAAGGACTGTCGTGATGATACCCATTCCGACAACGACACTGCCCATTATAGAGCTTGCACGCATTGCTAGTGGATTTTCAACTAGACTGGGCAGCCGAAACAGCTGGGTCAGTGCCACCCCCACGCTGGTGAAGGTCAGGCTTGTGCGCAGCCACGCCAGGAATGTTCGTTCGTTTGCAAGCTAGTTAGAGTGCCCAAGTAGATACAATTCTTATACTTACATGGTCCCGCGCTACAGACGCTGTGTTTTTCAACCGCAGAGACAATGGCATCCAGTTCTTATGGCTCCTCAGGGCTGGTCGAAGATTGGGCGAGATTACATAAATTCTAGCTTTTCAAGGGACTCCCTGATTCGGCTCTGTCGTCTGGATGTCTGAAGAGTTTGGTGATTTGTTTGCCCAGCCTGAGCCAGAACCTCAGCCGGTTGACCTGCCTAGTTTCGTTGACTATGAACGCCATTTGAGCAGCGTTGTCCCGCAAAAAATAAACCTTCGTTTAGTTGGTAAAAATCCCCTCTGGGGCCATTTGCTCTGGAACGCTGGCAAAGTATCCGCAGAATACATTGACGAGCACAGCAAAGAGCTCGAAGGCAAGACGGTTCTTGAGCTTGGTGCTGCTTCGGCGCTGCCTTCTTTGTTAGCTTCTTTAAGTGCACAGAATGTCGTCGCTACCGACTACCCTGATCCGGACCTACTTGAGAACATTGAATGCAACATTAAAACGCTTAAGAAAGACGCGGGCCGTGAACTTCCTATCTGTGCTCAGGGTTACATTTGGGGGAATGAGACACAGGCCCTACTGAACGCACCCGGTCAGAATGGCCGCAAGTTTGATTTCATCATTCTCTCGGACGTTGTCTTCAATCACACTGAGCACGAAAAGCTTATCAGGACCTGCAAAGAGACGCTAGCTCCTGCTGGTCAGGTTTTGGTGGTGTTTACCCCGCATCGACCCAAGTTGTTCGAGAAAGATTTAGCCTTCTTTTCTTTAGCTGAGGACAACGGCTTTGTCTGTGAAAAGCTCTTCGAAAAAGAGCTCAAGCCCATGTTCGAGGAAGACGAAGAATCAGTGCATATCAGAAGCATGGTCTTTGCCCACCTCTTGCATTGGTGACCATAATTATAAATCAAAATGTTTCACTTATATAGTACATAGTCCTGAAGATAAAAACAATAAAAAATAAAAGAGTGAGCGTTCGTGTTTTTAACTTTTTTTATTCAGGTTCTCAGACAACAATCCCTATAGGACTGCGTGCGTGATGACGATGGTGGAAGTCATACTTGTTGTATACCTCACGTTTCACAGGCTCGGTTCCATTTTGAGCTGCTGAAACTGCGGGTGTAGCAGCCGCACTTGATGTGGGAATCGCTGTTGGCAAAATTGTGGTAACAAATACTCGGTAAGATGTGATCAATCGAGGCGAACCACCATCAGTAGGAGAGACCGTCTGTACGATTTGCTGCGACACAGCAGTCGAGCTGGGAGGCAATGTCACCGTGATAGTGTTGTCGACAGTGGTTGTAATGTACGTTGTGGGACCATCACCAGCTGTGGCAGAATTGCCGGCAGGCGTTGTGGTAACAGTTGCACCATTCTGGTTCTGTTTATCAAGATTTGCTGCAGCCTTCAGCTCGCCGTTGAGACCAGTGGCACTGGGATTAACACTCACAGTCACAGTCATAGTCACAACATGGCTTCGGAAAACGGTTGTATATTGAGTGTCGTTCGACCACTTGGGTGTAGTCACAGCACCAACAGCAGCATCAACGTTGTTGTTAGAATTTGCTGCGGTGGTGTTGGACCATGATCCTTTAACTTGACCAGGCGTGTACTGATAGTTAGCAGCATTTGCTGCAGTGGCGGCAGCGTTGGTAGCAACGGCATTAGCAACTGAGGTGACACGTGTCTGAACATTGTTCTGAGTTGCCATGACTGTCACTGTATACTGGACAGTCGTCGTCGGGCCACTGGAAGCTGCAGGTGGTACCACGGTAGTATCTGCGTTAACCACAGCATCGCCCTGAACTGTTACTTGTAAGGTTGTGCCTGCACCACCTGAGGATTGAGCTGCTGCCGCTGCTGATGATGCTTCTCCTGCTGGTGTGGATGATACCGCCGCTGATGGTGCGGGACTAGTATCACCGCCTCCATTGAGCATTTCACCGAGCAATGTAGCAAAAGACTTGCCGTTGATGATATTTGAATCCGCCTGTGATGCATCCCAGACTGATATGCCGCCATAGTTTGTACTGCCAGAGATCTGAGATAAGGTTTGTTTGACCTGATCTGGGGTGGCATAACCAGAGCCGGCAGCTGTAGAAGAACCAGGTAGACCCAAGAACAGCTTAATGCTCTTGTTAGGAGAAGTGTTAGTAGCAAAGTTTTGCCAAGTATCCCAATTGAATTGCGAGCCAGTCGTCGAGCAGTAATTGTTGTAGAACTGAATGAACGCATAGTCCACCTGGGCTTGGGAAAGCAGGTCACCAACTGATGCATCAGGATATGGGCACTGTGGAGCAGCTGAGATGTAAAACTGTTTGGATGGTGCGCTGCTAAAGAGCTGGCGAAGTTTGTTGGCCAACGCAACGTAGCCAACTTGGTTATTGTTCTCAATGTCAAAGTCGAAGCCGTCTACAACAGCATCGTCGAAAGGACGCTCGGCAGTAGAGCCACCACCAAATGTGTCCCAGAGAGTTTGAGCAAACGCCTCACCATCGGCGTCACTAGAGAACCCATAGGCGCCTGAGGCGCCGCCAAGGGAAAGAAGCACTTTCTTACCTTGGGACTGGCAAGTCTTGATGTCCTGGCCAATTTGGGGGCAGTGGAGCAATGAGCTACCGCTAAAGGTATCGGTACAGGCGCTTGCGACGTTCAATGTAGGAGTGCCGCTTCCTGAAAAGGCCGAAAGGAACGAGACGATATAAATGTCACCAGGGGTCGAAGAACAGTAGTCTGCCAACGACTTCTGGGAACCAGCGGAGGCTTGACCCCAGTAAAGAGCCAGCTCAGCCGCGTGGACTGTCATAATAAGGTACGACAGGCAAAATGTAAAAGCAATCATTTGTGAAGAGCGAACGAATAGAATATATAGGCCCGCGAACGAAAAGAGGGAATGGTGCGTTAAAAGAATGGAACGCTAATACCTAGCGGGGTTGGTGAAGGCTGAAACAAGCTTGCGGCGAACGGCAATCGAATAATAAATCACGACGTCTGAAGGGTGTTCTAGATGTCTCCTGAATATATGTAACGAACGCTACTACATGCAGGGTTATGCATTTCTGCAGTCCTAGCGTCTGTGCAGCAGGTGTTCCCAGATGTACTACTTCTCCTTGATATTCTTTGGACTTGTATATCCAGTTCAATGGTGCATAATGAAATATCTCCTGTATTTCAATGATATGTTTAAACCAACTGATTTTCGGCTGCAGTTCTCGTCTGGTCTCGACCTTCCTGCGCAGTGACCACTGTTCCCACCGTCAAACCCCTCGCCCCGTCGCGTAAAGGGGTCCACCCCTTGGCGTAGTAATCGCGTCGCGCTTTGCGTGCAAACTGAAGCCAGGGTTACCAAGCGAATGCTTCAAAGAAATTCGGGATAAATGTCAGATAAGATATATAGAGAAAAAAAAACGAGGGGTAAAACGAGAGATTCTTGGATGAAATTGGCCAAAATAGACTGCTCAGTATTTAGGATTTGACCATCGCCGACCCCCTCATGCTACCTTTTTTCAATGTCAGCCCCCACATTGAGAGTCTTGTACACATTGACAGTTTTCCAACGCGGATTTATTTCAATTCACTTCGACATTGTGAAAAATAAATACTGTAGATCAACCTCATTGTGAGTATATTGATAACACTTCAAAATAACCCTCTACTTCACTTTTCCGTAGGTGCTGAATTGTCCTACCGGTTTGCTGCATAATGACGACAATTGACGCTAACTCGGAAGAACGCACAGTTTCAGAAAACGTTAGGTGGGATTTAAGGGGTTAAAACTATTCGACGTGTGGAAAAGTTTCACAGAACTTCCTCGAGTAAGAAATTCTTGAAGATCCAACACATACTAAAGTATTATCTTTAAATTTATTGAACAGCAGAAACGTGCTGGTCGCTAATGATTTCGAACTTTTAATTTTCGTCCATCAAAAGAAAAAAAAAAAAAAACTGCAGCACCTTCTGTTCTCACATGGTCTCCCACTGTAATACTTGGTAAGGCTCTCAGATGGTTCAATAGGACTGATCGGACGGGAAGTCTTGCTTTCATCTGGATATGGCCGCAGCCGGATGTGTAATAAACTTTGAGTATTTGTACCGCAAATTATTCTTAGCAAGGTCTTAGGGTCCTCAAAAGTTTAAATAGTGCAAATGGCCCCTGAACCTAGCTCCCAAACTATAGAATCTGCCTAAATATGCATAATCCACACTTTTTTTCGATATTTTCTGGTTGTGCCTATCCCTTCAATTTGACTCCAATTTGGATCTGTAACTTTTTTATCCATCCCGTACATTTTGGCAAACTTGGTGTACTTTATAGAACAGAAATCACAGCAGATATTCGGTACTTTCACGGGGCAAATTATGAGGCCCAACAAAGAATCCAACCCAGCATGCATCCTACCGTTTTCTAATAGCACAGGGTTTGCGGTGGTACAGGTAGCATCTAGTAACGTGAGGTCTTTTTTCACTGCTCAGGTATAGTGTGGCTCGTCAACTGACATGGTTTCAACATTGATAGTAGTAGCATTGCTAGTAGTAAAATTGATAGTAGTAAGATTATGAATGTTTAGGCTACAAGCAGGTGGGAACTACGTTGATGCTACCTAGCACTATTTTCGCATTAGGTAGAGTGGGTTTGCGAAAAATGAGTGGCTCTAAGAAGTGTCTTTTTTATCTACAGCTACATTTCAACTTCGTGCAAAAGGATATGCTGTATTTCAGTGTTAGCTAGCATTGATACTAGAATGTACATTTCAGTTAATTTTGCAGTGCTAACAATTCAGATACTGGAAAACTTTAATACCGAATGAGGGCTGAATATAGAGCGTATAAAAAAGATATTGACTGTTGCGAGTACGTTGTGTAGGTAATGAAATTATGGTTTTCAGTGCAAAGATGTTGCGCATATATTTCAGTTTTTTTCTTGGCTAGAAGCAAGTAAACACCTTGCGAAAGACCAGAGAGTTGAAAAGTGCACCAGTTCCAACTTGAGCAATGGATATCCCCATGACATCTAATCGTAAATAATATTTTCACAAAACAGCTTCTATCGTCGAGGATTTTGAATTATTCCACTTATGCGTGGAAAATCTCTTGCCGACGTATGATCAAAAAAGTTTATACACGTTCGGCTGCGGCCATATCCAGATGAAAGCAAGACTTCCCGTCCGATCAGTCCTATTGAACCATCTGAGAGCCTTACCAAGTATTACAGTGGGAGACCATGTGAGAACAGAAGGTGCTGCAGTTTTTTTTTTTTTTTTCTTTGCAGGAGTGCGTCAGATTTATTTAAAGTTGAAGCAAGCTTTTTTGTCGTAGGTTCAAAGATTCCAAAGCCAGCTCAGATCTTTCACAGAGTCATAATAAAGTAGTGTGGTATCATACAGTGCGCTTATCAGGGTCGGTCGTAATAACCACGATTACACGTGCTGCGTTGAATACTGAAAGCCTACGTATCTACAATTGTGCTTGAAAGGATTATTGGGAAGCCCTATGGGGACCAACCGAGGCCTATACCTCTAATATCGTGCCGTCCAAAATCCGATAAACGACACAACTTCTGACCTGTCACTTGGTGTTAGGCTCACCAGTGAAGCCATTGAACAGGTTTCTACTGAGCCGGTACCAACCACAAGTTCTTATTAGCGGGAATACCCTGCTGCACATTTGCATCTACAATTTCCACACAAGGTCACCACCCAGTGTTACAGAGCCTAACCCGATAGTTCCTTGGTTTCTGAGACAACCAACAAAGGGCCACCATACTTCACCTCTAGTTTCCATCTTATGGTTTTGTTCCAAAAAGCATCATAGTCCCTGAGAAAGCATAGAGCTCAAGATGGTTTAAATTGGTCTGCGCAGACAGTACGTGCAAATGCTGGTTCCAAGGATGCCGTAGTCTCCACGCAGGTCTCTCCACTCAAGTCTCGGACCACATCATCATGCTTCAATAACAAAGAGTACTTTATATATTTCAGACTGCATCGACTGTTGGTGGTAGTTCGTACCATCAACTGCGACTAGTAGTACCTGGTCGCTCCGCCGCTAGAGTGAGCATTTTGATCGCTCCGACCGCGCTAATTATACTATTTTCTATAATGATAGCTTGATAACTTTTGAATAGGTTCTCGTTTGTGTACTTTTTGTGTTCGTGGTTTAATATCAAGTTTCATCCATCCAAAAAAAACTGCAGCACCTTCTGTTCTCACATGGTCTCCCACTGTAATACTTGGTAAGGCTCTCAGATGGTTCAATAGGACTGATCGGACGGGAAGTCTTGCTTTCATCTGGATATGGCCGCAGCCGCTAGAAAATGGTTGTTGTCATACATATTCTCAAAATATGAAACAGGTTTGACTGACCCACAGTCCCGTTAATGCTCATGGAACATTTTTCGGTAATACTTACTGTGCTCTAAACAAACACTTTTTTAAAGTACCTGAGCTAAAAACCCCATGTTGATCGCCTGTTTTTACGGCCACTTTCCCTATGATCGATATGCCTTGTGCCCATAGTTGGAGGACCACGGTAACCACTTGGGCAAGGGTAGCAATGTGCACTCATATATAATATTATGCGCCTCGTTCGGCCCCGCCACTAGAACACAGTTTGAGATGACACTTTACTATTCTATTGTTTTCGCGCTTCTCGTTGCAGAAATGTTGGCATTCCTGCTACTCGTGGCACCTGTGCCCACCAAGTTCCGTCACTCGGTTGTGCACGCTTTAAGTTCCAACGTGCTTGTTAGCAAGATGGCGATTGGCTTGAAATTCACGTTTGTGTTCATTCTTGTCCTATTTATTGACTCTGTCAATCGTGTTTGGAGAGTCCAGGAAGAAATTGAGCGCAGCCGACTCAATGCAATCGCTCAAAGCTTCCAAGGAGACCGGGGCGATATCCTGGCTCGGAAATTCTATGCCCAACGCAATATGTACTTGTGCGGCTTTACGTTATTCTTGTCTTTGATCCTCAATCGCACCTACAGCTTAGTGGAGAAACTTTCCCTGAAGGAACAGGAGGTAAAGCCCTCTGGCTCTTCTTCCGACGAGGTGGCCAAGCTCAAGAAGCAATTGGCTGATAAGGAGCGCGACTATGATATCTTAAAGAAGCAGAGTGAGGCCCTCACCAACGAATACAATCGGGTTAGCGACGAACTGAATGGCAAAGGTACCACTGACAAGAAGAATGCCTAAATAAACTATGAAGTTGTTGCCTGGGTTGCAGTAGCCTTGGTGTTTTTCGCGTACGAGTTGCTCTTGTGCTTTGGTTCAAACTCGAATGTGTCTGCGGCAGGTCCCAAGAACATCTCCGTGATCTTGATCCAATCTTTGTAGTTGTTACTAGCAAGTAGTGTCTCCATTTCATTGCGTCCTTGCCACGGCGCCGGGCGATCGTTCAGTTTCGGAGGCAAGTACTCGAGAATGCCTACAGGAATGTATCGATGTGTGAATGACATCCACTCACACAGGTATCTCCGAGTTAGACTAACGCCGTACTCGTCCGATCCCCAATGCTCCAAGCCGTAGTTAGCGTACTGTTTAAGGTATTCTAGGCGTTCTGAAGCAGACTTGTCCAGGTACTGCTTGCTATCAATCTCCTCGAAGATCCAGGGCTTGATAAGAGCGCCTCGGGCAACCATGCAAGTGTCGACCCCAGCATCCTCTACGTGAGAGTACCAGTCCTCCCATGAGTAGACGTCGCCATTTCCAATGATCCAGGGCTTTAATTCCCGGTCGGCTCGTTCCTCCTTGACAGTTGTTGCAATTTCCTTAATGTATTCCCAGTCTGCTTCTTTGGTGTACCTCTGGGCTCGAGACCGGCCATGGATGGTAATGGCCGCGACCTGCTGCTCATCAACGAGCCTCTTTACCAGATTTTTAGCTGTTGGGTGACCATCGCGAGTTCCAGTACGGATCTTAATCGTGATGGGGATATCACCGCTTACCACGTTCATGCCACGGGTTATCCGCATAATTTTAGCAGGGTTGTCCATCAAAGCACTTCCAGCGCCCTGGCGAAATAGTAGGTCAATAGGACAGCCACAATTCAAATTGATTTCATTGGTTTGCGGGGCAAGCTCAGACACAACCTGAGTAGCTTTGATGGCATGCCAAGGTTTGGGCGCAGCGATCTGCACGTTAAAGCTTCCGACCTCACTCGAGTGCGCTCTAGTTAGTGCCCACTCTGATTTGGATCCCTGAACAAGAGGTAAACTCAAGGCCATTTCGCTGAATGTCACATCCACACCAAGCGTCTTCATGAGACGGCGGTAAGGTAAATTTCCCACGGTGGTCAGGGGGCTCAGAACCTTGGCGCGATGGTAGTTTAATCGCTTTTTCTCGGTCGGTTTGAGCTGGCCCTCTACGAATGCGGCCACGTTGTCGAGTCGATCCTCGGAATTGGCGTCTTCACGTGCTTTCCGCTCCTGCTCCATTTGGCCAATGTAACTTTCTGATCTGGACATATCGTAGTGTTTACGCTGGAGTTTGTGCTGCATTTCTGCGTTCACTCTGTTAACTTCGAAATTGAAGGCTGCCGCTGCGGCCCTCTTGTCTTCATCCTCAGGAGTGAGCTTGCCATTGTCGAAATGCGAGCTCAGCCAGCGGCATTTTACACCGGCCGGACAATAGCCTAATGCTTCGAATACTGGGCACATGCCGGGAAGGTCAGCTGGTTTGCTTTCAATATACTTTTGGATATCGTGCTCGAATCTGCAGGTTTCGCCAAACCGGCAGCTACCTTTGGTATCTTTGACGCCTTCGCAAAGTTTTACAAGCTCTCTGTGTTGCTGAATGCTGCGGTTTTTATTCTGTCCGCGATTTTTCTTCTTCTTACCACCTGCTGCGCCGGGATGCGAGCCTTCTCCCGCTCGCTGGACAACCCCGCTGCTCTCTGCATCCTCGTCGTTGTAAACTTCAGCCGGCTGGGACGTTTTCTCAACCAAGTACTGCGGTTTTATAGGGGTAATTCCCTTGATCCGATCTACTTTGATCTTTTTAGCTTCCGGCTCAGACATGCAAAGTTGGAGAACTGAAAAAAAAAAATATTAAATAAGCAGCTAGATTAACGTGCGTAAGTTGCAGGGCACAGAAGCAGAATTACACGGCAGGCTCCGGTTCGATATCATTTTCGTTGTCTCGTTCGCGTTCCACCTTCCAAGGCCAATTGTCTCGTTCGCCGAATCCTTCGTCACCTCTGCGCTTAAGATCGAATCGTTCGTCAAACCAATCCAGCAGTTCGACGGTTGACTGAGCAAAGTTCAGGCCTTTTCGTTCTCTTCTTGTGAGCTCAAAGTTCAGCATCTCGTTCATATGATGCTGGATTAACTGGAACGGCAATCCGTATGCCATTGCGTAGTCCCAGAACAGCTCTACGGCTCGCCATGGTGTAACATCGTAGCCGGCAAAGATTGCCGGATTGGCAAGGATGCCTCGCACCGACATGACGCCATCGGCATTAGTGGCACTAACAATGCGATTCATATCACTGGGGGTAAAGCAATCACCGTTCGCAACCACCGGACAGGACACTGCCTCTTTGACGCGACGAATACCCTCCAAGTTGACTGGCAAGCTGGATCGATCGCATTTGCGACGGCCATGCACCGTGATATAGTCCGCACCGGCACTCTCGATCATTTTAGCGAACCTGACCGTCTCGTCCAGATCCGTATGGATTCGAATCTTCACCTCGACACAGAACTCGGGGCCACAGGCTTCTTTCACGGCCCTCACCATTCCAGCGACCTTTTCGGGCTCGCTCATCAGCGCTGCACCTATGCCTTCGCGATTCTGCTCCTTAATTGGACAGCCGCAGTTGATTCCAATCCCATCACAGTAGGGTTTTATCATCATGGCGGCTCGGGCGAGATCCAGCTCGTTGTTTGTGCCGAACTGCACAATCAGGGGCGAATCGGTCTCGTTCGTGGTAAAGTCCGAGTCTCGGGCAACTTTGGCCCGCACAAACTCCCTGGCTAAAATCATCGGGGTATACACAATGACATGTGGACTCAGATCGCGGACGGTTTGACGAAAGGGCAACTTCGAGTATCTGACCATGGGCCCGGCCACATGCACAATCTTGCCCTGCTCTTTGGCCCTTTGAAAAATCCGTAGCGGGTGGTTGGCCGGGTTTCGCGGGTGCATGAAAAAAAGTCTGAAATTCACTCTTAGTAAATGGGGGATTTAGGCCTGGAAAACTTTTTCCGTCAGCACCCAACTATGGGGAGGGATCCAACCAGTAAGTATGGAGATGAGGACAAACTTAAATCGTTTACCACAGTGGCAAGACACGGTATATGTTCGTTTTGGACTTTGCCGCCACAATGATTTTCTAATGTCATAGTTACACTGATCCTAACCAGTTTTTCTAGAAACCGCCGTACACGACTCCGACAGCCCGTTGTTAGAAAGTACATACAGAGCAAGCAAACACTCAGTCTTCTGGGCCTAAACACAAGTAATTACCATCGATCGATCCACCGACCCCGTCTGGGCTCGCCCTTTTAAGCAATGCATCTGGGACCGAATGATGACTCTTCAGTTTATCAACCTGAAATATTGTATGAGATTTTTCTCCTCTACGACTAGTTCAGATTATATTGCGTCATTATTGTGGAAATCCGACCAATTTTAAAGAAACCAACTAGTATGTTAAAGACTGCGTATTTGAAGTCCTTCAGCAAGTCTGCCTTTGCTTCCCAGCGGGCTTTTTCCGCCGCGGCCTCTCGGGCTGCTTCGGCTCCCTCTCCCACGCTTGATCGCGCAACTTTCACGATCCGCGGCGGCCCTGTGCTTCACGGCAAATCGTTTGGTGCCAACACCAACATTTCTGGTGAGGCGGTTTTTTCCACCGGCATGGTAGGCTACCCCGAATCGATGACCGACCCATCTTACCGCGGCCAGATTTTGGTGTTCACCCAGCCTCTCATTGGTAACTACGGTGTGCCTAGCTCGACCGCTCGCGACGAGTATGGTCTGCTCAAGTACTTTGAGTCGCCCCACATCCAGTGCAAGGGTATTGTTGTTGCCAATGCCGCCATGGAGTACTCTCACTGGACTGCTGTCGAATCACTGGGTGACTGGTGCAGGCGCGAGGGCGTTGCTGCTATCACCGACGTTGATACCCGTGAGATTGTCCAGTACCTCCGTGAGCAGGGCTCTTCGCTTGCTCGTATCACGATTGGCGAGGAGTACGATGCCGACGAGGACGAGGCCTTTTATGATCCAGGCGCTGTGAACCTGGTCCACAAGGTTTCTACCAAGGCTCCTTTCCACATCCCTGCTGGTGTTACTGGAAAGAACGAGAACATCCACATCGCTGTTCTGGACTGCGGTGTCAAGGAGAACATCCTGCGCTCGCTGGTGTCTCGTGGAGCCTCCGTCACTGTGTTCCCCTACGACTACCCCATCCACACGTATGCCCATCACTTTGACGGCATCTTCATCTCGAACGGCCCTGGTGACCCCACCCACTGCTCCAACACTGTCCACCACCTGAAGGAGACCATGGACACCTACGAGGGTCCCATCTTCGGCATCTGCCTGGGCCACCAGTTGCTGTGTTTGGCTGCGGGTGCAAAGACCATCAAGCTCAAGTATGGTAACCGTGCCCACAACATCCCTGCTCTCGATCTGCAGACGGGCTTGTGTCATATCACCTCCCAGAACCACGGTTACGCCGTAGCCACCGAGACCTTGCCTGACGACTTCAAGCAGTACTTTATCAACCTCAACGACCAGAGCAATGAGGGCATGTACCATGCCACACGCCCCATTTTTTCTACCCAGTTTCACCCGGAGGCCAAGGGCGGTCCTTTGGACAGCGCCTTTTTGTTCGACAAGTACCTGGATTACGTCCGGGACTTCAAGGCAGCCAAGCGGTCCCAGGGTATCAACGACACCCCCACCTCTCCGCTGTTCGTTGACGTTCTTGCCAAAGAGCGGGTTGGCGTTGAGGTTAACCCCCAGTCCTAAATAGCCTAGGTCTTACTTGAACTAATTTTGAATCACAACGCGACATTAATACTATTTACATAGCTCGTTACTTGCTGTAATCCCAACCACCCTGCTGGTACTGGTCGGGATACTGGTAGTACTGTTGTTGCTGGGTCTGATCGTGACGCAAAAAATCAGCCTGACCAGGGACCTGGGAACCCGGAGTTCCAGGAGCGCCTTGAGCGGAGGGCTGGCGGTAGAAATCGTAGTAGCCACCGTAGTTCTTGGGCTGCTGGGGCATAGGGCCGCCGAAGGGCTGGTGAGGAGCAACTGGAGGAGCACCAGGACCTGCGTATCCGGCGTAGTTCTGATAATAGTACGCAGCATATGCGGGGTTCATGTAGATAGGCGCACCGGGGTGACCGTAGTGGGCCATGGAGGGGGAGGCACCGGCCGGCATACCACCCGGAGCAGCACCAGCATTCTTCTGATCATACAACGAGTCCTGCTGTTGTTGCTGTTGGCCGGGTTGACCGGCTTGCGGGTGTGGATAAGGGTGCATAGGGGGCTGGCCGGGCATCTGGGGGGCACCGTAAAAGGCCTGCTGGTTGGCGTCATAGCCGCTCAAATCACCGTAGTTACTGAAGCGCTGAGCCATGGGGTAGCCGTACTGCTGGGCATAGCCGTACTGCTGGGCATTATAGTCGTATGCACCGCCCATATGGGGTGCAGGACCACCCGGCGTTTGGGTGATTTGCTGAGCAGCGGGCGCCTGGGGGGCCTGGGGGGCCTGAGGAGGGGCCTGAGGAGCCTGGGGAGCATGAGGAGCATGAGGAGCCTGAGGGGCCTGAGGAGCTTGGGAGACCTCAGAAGTGGTAGCAGGAGCAACTACAGGAGTTTGAGATTTGGGAGCAGACGGTTCAGAAGAAAGCTGCGAGGCAGAAACACCAGCAGCACCAGTCTGCTCGGCGTCAGCCACGTTGGCCTTATCAGCCAAATCAACTTCACTCATCTGTTGGGTGACATCGTTAACACGAGCGCTGTCGGCCTTCTTGTTTCGCCGGCGTCGCTCACGCTTGTTAGTGTCCTTTGCACCGGGTTCGCCGGCTTCCTTCTCAGCAGGAATAGCCTCAGTGTCAGCGGCTGTCTCGGGCGCTGGAGGCGCCGGGGCGGCTGGGGCAGGCTCAGGTGTCGCAGGCTTGGCGAGAACCTCTGCCCATGTCATTTTCTTGGGAACAGAAGGTGCCGCATCAGTAACCGCGATTTTGGCTGCTTGGGTGGCCGCATCGACAGCAGGAACAGCAGCTGCCTTGGGACCCTTGGGGGCCTTAGGTGCCTTGGGAGCCTTGGTGGCAGAGGACTCTTCAACAGATTCGTTCAACACGCTTTGGGGGGGCACCGGTGGCTTTGTAGCAGTGGGCTGGGCAAGGATTTGGGCCCAGGTCATCTTGCCTGGCTGAGCAGGAACCTTTTCGCTCGGGGAAGAAGTGTCTGACGGACCAGAAGAATTCGAGGTAGCAACAGCGGCGGCTGTAGCAGCAGCGACCACCTGGGAGGCCGAGAGTTTTGTGTCTTTGGTACGCTTCTTGGGTTCGGCCGGCGGCGTAGTTTTGGGCTTGCCTTGACCACGCTCAGCGCGGTCGCGACGGGGTTGTGTGGACTTGGCAGCCTCTTCGGGTTGCTTTTCGGTGGCCGCATCGTCACGCTCCTTGCGCGGGGCCTTCTTCTTGACTTGGCCCCACGTATTGGCAAGACCCTCAGTGATACGCTGGACAGCCAGCTCGAGGTCGCCGTGCGTGTCCTGCAGCACACCGACCAAGTCTTCTTCCGCCCAGTCGGGGAACATTTCTTGTAGTGTCTTAAGAGAAGAGAGGTGCTGTTGCTTTGTCTTGGAAGCCTCCTCGTCTAGAAATTGGCCTGGGGTTTTACCAGGTGCCGGACGGCCCCCCTTTTTATGGGGCCGGCCCAACCGTTCTTTCCGTGGTTCGGACATTACTCGCTAGGCCAAAAATAGGTTCCTGTGTGTCAAAAACTGCGATGCTGTGAAGATCGAAAATTGGAACCTAACTTTACACGCAGAGAGGCTAGTCAGATGGGTAGGATGAAAAGACCAACCCTGCGCCCTGGTGAAAAACCTATGCTCGAGGCGAGGGAAAAAAAGGCACTGACCCAGGGTTGGGTCTTTCTGGGGGTCACGTGGTAACATAGGCTCATCCCCGAGAAAGCCTGCTGTACCCATAGCCCGCAACCCCGGGGACTCGTATGCGAGCGAGCCACTATCTTGCAGAGCGTCTTTTCTGAAGACTTTCGGTGTTTGGTGGGGTTCGACCGGGACGACTGCAAGCGGAATTGAGAGTTGCGTTGCTGAGTTTCCCATGGATTTCGTAGAACTGATTAAATAGACTATGATCTAGGCATGGTGTAGAAGCAAATGAGTTACAGATTGGCTGGATTTTGACCTGATTCCAAGGGTGACTGTGGAAAGCTATGGTGGGTTGATTCGCACTGGTCAATTATATGCGGTACTCTAGGTTTGGCGCGGCTGGTACTAACGATGGAGGCCAACAAAAATCTATGTTCTATTCTACTTTGGTCGAGTTTCACTGGCTTGTGTTGCAAGGCTTCAGTGAATGCTGTGGTCGGATGGACATACCCCTCACGCGTTTTGCAGCTAGCCAGGCTGCCATTATGCGGCTGCCAAAAACACATGCGTTTCGAGGCTTTTGCAGCCTTGACCTCACCTATTTGACGGATCTGTGTTGCAAGTCTTCACCGACAAGGCTTCACCTAGAAAGCCTCACCGAGTACCGTGGTCGGGTGGGGCATGTAACTCACACACCGCTGCTACCCAGACTGCCATTCTAGGACCATCAACAACATAGCCTCTTTAGGCTTATTGGGGGTAGTTTGTGTCTCATCACTTGATGTATCAGTGTTGCAAGGCACCGAGGACCGTGGTTGGGATGGGACATGTCGCTTCTCAAACGTTGCAGCATAGCTGCTCACCATGTGGGCATCAAGTATATATGCATTTCTACGATTTTGCAGCTTATTCTATTGGCGTGCGTTTACTTGATCGTTATTTGCGGGCCCCTTCGTGTTGCAAGGCCACCGAATATGCGGTCGGAAAAATGGCACATGCCACTTCTCACGTTTTGTCGTTGCCTACACCGCTTTTTTGGCCCATCGACAGAACACACTTTCGTTTTCGGTACCCATTCTGGGAGTGAGTCTTATTTACTCACGGGATCGTTCTTTTCTCGCTGACCGAAACTCGACTCGACTAATGGGGCACATAAAACCCAACCAAACACTTGTCTAGCATAACCTCATAATTTACCCATGCATGAGTGAGCTGAAATAGCTTAGTGCCGTCTCGTCCGGCACATCTAAGAAGCTCGCTCTCCCCTCCAGGATGGTACTCCATGTAGGGGGTAATATTGTACACTTTCCCGCCCAAAACTGTCCACGCATCATCTTTCGATTTATGCTTTGCCAATTCTTCAGATGAAACTCGTAAAGGGCCCGGAAACGAGACCCCTCGGAGGTTTTCCCCAGAATTTCTCAGCCGGGCCCAATCCAATGGCGAACGACCAGGCTTCAAAGCTACCTGTCCTCTTGGGCCCCTTGAACTAGCTGCCCCCAACCTTTGCGGAAGTGTGCTATTGCCCACTGGCCGTAACCCTCTTGGCGGTGGCTCCATTTTAGTCCTCCAACCGTCGTTATCGTTTGTCATCTTCGCATGAGCGATTCAAAGCTTTTGGGGCTGGGTGTAGGAGCAGTCGGGCTGTACATTTTATATCCAACGATCTGTGAGTGGTTTTCGGAAATGAATTCACTGAGTCTACTGACGAATCGCAAAGTTGAGGACGAAATCGAGGACTATGAACGCCATACCACTGGACTGGTGAACGCCGGTAATTTCTGCTATATCAACTCGGACATCCAAGCACTAGCTAGTTTGCCTGCGACTTTTGGCTACCTAACCAAGTTTGGCTATCTGTGTCCGGCTGATGGTGCTGCAATGGCACCAGTATCGTCCTCGCTATTCTATTTCGTCCGAGAGCTACATCGGCCGGTTACCAAAAAGAGAACTATCAGCCCAGAGCCCCTGATCACTGCCATTGAGCAAACCTACAAATCAAGAATGTCGAGACGCCAACACGACGCCCACGAGTTGCTGCATTTGCTCCTGGAAACGCTCCAAAAGGAGTTTGTAGCGCTAACGCAAAAGAGCAGATCAAATCATGACCTGGAGGCGGTACTGGATTTCCCTTACGAGGGCACATTAGTGGACGAGATTATATGTGGAAATTGCCATACTCATACCGAAAAGGCTTCTAAGTATCTCATTTTGAGTGTGGCGGTCCCGAGTCAGTCTAAAACTACGCTGGCTGATTTATTGAAAGAAAACACCCAACCAGAATACATCAACGATTACGCATGTATCACATGTCGAGTCAGAAATGTCATGGCATCCGAAAATCCCCGGTTCAAAGAGCTGCAAGAGCAGCTAGCTGATGCGACGTTGCCATTACCAGCTGACCTCGAAGAACAGCTTCCAAAAATGTATTCACCTGTTTTCAAGACACAAAGATTCGACTCAGAACCTCAAATCCTATGCATTCATCTCTCACGCTCAATTTACACGGGCAGTTTCGCCGCTCGGAATTCCTGTAAGGTGGAGTTCCCGTTAGAGCTGTCTCTTCCTGGGAAAAAGGCCCGTTACCGACTGTACGCCATGATCCGTCATTCGGGAACACATCAAACTGGCCATTATGAATGCAGTCGGCGGAAAAACACAGGGTTCTGGAGAAAAATCAACTGGTCAAGCCTATTTGAGTCTACAAGCACATCAGGAGAGGTCGAGGCGTCTGAAGAACCCCAAGAGCCAGGCCCTGAAGAATCAACAAACACGGATCTCCCATTCCCGCACAAAAGCAAGCCCTCGACATCGTTGTCGACAGAACCGGTCACCGCGGCGCAGCAGCCTTCTTCTGCTCCGAGGGAGGAACCTGCTCGGCCGCGGAAGCAAAGTAGCAAGCAGTGGTGGGCCATCAGCGACAACGAAGTACGTGAAACGACCTCCCGTGCAGTGCAAAGTTTGCAAAGTGGCGCATACCTACTGTTCTATCAGCGAGTGTAGGCAGTTTTTTTGGCCAAGAAACCCGCTGATACACAGAACAAAACGAATAAAAGCCCTGGGCTTTTAGGTCCCCAGGAGCGAACAACAAAAACTACGAGAACAAGGACAAAAATACGAAAAGAGCAGAGGATCAAGCCTCGGCCTTGTAGGCAGCCTTGGCGTCCTCGTAACGCTTCTTGTCGGCAGCAGCCTTCTCCTCGTAGGGCTTCTTGTCGTCTGCGGAAAGAGCTTTCCATCTCTCGCCAATCTTCTTGTGAACGTCACCAAATCCGAGGTCAGGAAACTCGGTCTTGGTAGGCTCACGCTTCTCGTTGGCATAGTACATGTAGGCGGTCATAGGACGCTTAGGAGCATTAGGATCCTTCTTACGGCCTTTAGTCGGAGCCCTGGTGCGGCGGGCTCTAGGAGCAGATTCTTCTTTTGGCATTGCTGAGCGTTAGTAGTAGTTCAAAGACCAGCAGCGGCGATTTATTGGAGCCCGACAGTTTTGGTTGCCCACAGTGACGCCAGGACAACCCCCGGGATATGGGGGTTGCGGACTTGGAGTTTGCATGGTGATGCATGTTGGGTTTTGCACGCGTCAGAACGTCAGAGCCCCGAAATTTTCTCACCAATTGCTACCAAAGTGGCAATTGCGCGCGTTTTTTCGGATCTATACTTACTTCAACTAAGAGGGGTGATGAAAGGCTAAGGGGGGGAGGGCTCTTCACCCAATATCGTATTCGTTAGTCATCAAAGAATGGGCAGCTTAGTCACAGCATAACAAAGGCAAGCCACACCTGCCCGCCTTGCAATCCCGTTCCGTTTACGGCAGCATAGCTGCATATTCCCAAGGTGGTGCAAATCCCACAAGGGCTGGAATATCAGCGATCCAATGCGTGGTTAATGCGACACGCCGGCAGTGCATTTACGCGATCAGAATCTCGAGTGCTGGGGTGCTGGACGGCGGGCCAAGTGCCAGCGGAGGCCGTATTGCACCAGCATCGTTCGAACACAATTATCCTGCTGGTTTCCCCGCACCGTCATGCAGTCTCAGACGCCACCTCACCTGACTTGGCCAACTTAACCCAGGTAGATCGGGCCGTATCATTGCTCAAACGTAACATGGTCAAATCACTGCCAATTGTGGACCTGTCATTGGCGAGCTCGCCGGATACCAAGCCTGAGTTCCTTAGGCAGCTCAAGGATGCGTTCTTTAAAATCGGCTTTTTGTACCTGGTAAACCACGGTGTCGAAGAAAAGGCCAACAAGTTGCTGGAATTGAGCCCTGGACTCTTTGAAGTGCCGCAAGAAGAAAAAGACAAGATTGATATGATCAAGAACCCCCATTTCACAGGGTACACTCGACTGGGGGTCGAGCGAACTCAGAAAAAGCTCGATCTTCGAGAGCAGTACGATTTCGGTTCAGCCACAACTACGACTTACAAAAAGGGTGATCCTGAGTGGAAACAAATCCACGGGCCAACTGCTTATTTACCCGATAACGTTTACCCCGGCTACCAGGCTGCCGTGCAGGAGTACCTTGATGCAATGAGTGATCTGTCAGACCGGATGCTGCGCTTGACTGCAGAATCCTTGGGACTGAGCCCGGATGAGTTTGACGATTTTAAAGGCGATATGAATCGACTCAAAATCATCAAGTATCCCCCACCTCCGAAAGACGGATCGGCACTGCAGACCTCTCAGGGTGTTGGTGCTCACAAGGACTCCTCTGGAATGTTTACATACATTGCCCAGGATAAGGTAGGAGGCCTGCAGGTTCTCGATAGTGAGGGTGACTGGATCGATGCAGTGCCAATTGAAAACAGCTTTGTTGTTAACATTGCCCAGGGGTTCGAAGCTCTCACCAGTGGCCGTTGTCAGGCAACCACTCACCGCGTAGTGGCCCCCTCAGATGTCACTAGATACTCGATTGCGTATTTCCAGGGCATTCGATTGTCGCTTACACTTGACGAGATCCGAAAGGAGCAGGATATCATTAACGAAAAGCTTCCTGATCTACCGGAGGACTTGAGACGACGCGAGCGGGCCACTGCGAGCGAGTTCCTTGATCCGCGGTACTCTTGCTTTGGAGAGGCGCATTTGAGAAATCGGGTGATCAGCCATCGTGACGTATCTGAGGTCTGGTATCCTGAACTTAACAAAAAGTATGTTGCTGAGCTCGAAAAGTGGACATATCAGATATGAAAAAAAGATCTTCCCAACCAGGGGTCGAACCTGGAATCTTTCGCTAGGACCAAATCGTAGGCGAACGCCTTGCCATTGGGCCATTGGGAACAAGATCTGTTGGTGAAGTTTTCTATTGGTTCAAATTGGTGGGCTTGATATTCCGATGGACAGCGGTTTTTAGAATATTCAACACTGGATCAAATACGATAATGATCAGATCAATAGATTGTGTAAATAAAGGGGCCTTAGATTTACACGATCTGGAGATAGCGCGTAAAACTTTTTGTACCAGATACATTAGAGACTTTTTAAAGAAACTATATTAAAATAACCCCAAAATCGATGATTTGAGCGTAGTTGTGAGCAGTCATCAAGCAAAGATCAATTGGGATCGGACCCAGGTGACCGGCTGTAGTCGGGCCGGTCCCGAAGTACCTGATGCTAAGCAAAATGCTTGACTAACTGTCTAACGAAGCAAAAAAAAGTAGATCTTCCCAACCAGGGGTCGAACCTGGAATCTTTCGCTAGGACCAAATCGTAGGCGAACGCCTTGCCATTGGGCCATTGGGAATAAGATCTTGTCGTATGGGCGAGGGAACACAATATACGTCTAGTGCCATATCAACTCCGAAAGTTTGTTCTGTATAGTCTGAATTACTTTTTGTGATGGTAAATCTAGAAATGTGTTAGTACAATCAACAAGCAAGTGATCGGCTTGGCGAAAAAATTGACAAGTCGGCTGGAGGTTGTCATATTTAAAACCTAAGACAACCTAAAGCCTAGGAACCTAAAAACTCAAACCGCCAAAAAAATCCCGAAAAAATCCCCAAAAAGTTCCCAACAAGCATTAGAACCAAGCTAGCGGTTCAGCCTAGCGTCAATTGCCAAAATCGCCGTCTGCGAATTTTCAACTTTGTAATGTTCCAAAAGCGAAAGGTAGTTTTGACTAGGCCTGCGCCCAATCGAACACAGTCGTCGAGCACGGCGCGTGAGCCTAAACCAGAACGCTTAAACACTGAACAGCATCAGGGACTACGCCCGTCGCTGGTAAATTCGACGCTCTGCGTTTCCTCGAGCAGCAGGTCGCTCGACCAGCTTTTGCAGCACGGAGGGCTTCCGCTGGGATCTATAACACTTTTGGAGGAGCATGGAGCTACCGACTATGCGTCAACCGTCCTGAAAGGGTTCTGTACATTGGGAGTGAGAGATCAAAGGGCGGGTTCAGACTCTTTGGTTGTATGTCTGGGAATTCCAGGCTGGGTGCGAGGGATCCCAGCGATTGGAAAGACTAGTGTCGACACGGAAAAGCCAGAAGAGCTGCAAAAAATACGGATTGCTTGGAGGTACCAATTGTCTCAGAACACGAACCGACAGCCGCCACGGGCCTCCACGGGCCTCTACACCAGTGATCTGAACTTTAAAGCTAACATGACCCCGGCCCCGAAACAGTCGGAGGTCGTCCATGTATCTGGTGCCACATTGGCTGACATATTGGCGAAATACGCGAATCTGCTAGCGTCGCAGCCCGCCAACCGGATCATTCGGGTGGTAGTTCCCAGCCTGCTCCATCCCGCGGTCTACCGAGAGGAAAGCTCCCTGCCGGAGAACCTTGTTCCGTTCATACTGGGGCTGCGTAGCTTATCTCGCAAGTTCGGCACGGCAACAATAATATCCCTACCCTTGCAGCTCTACCCCAGAGCCAATCCGGTGATTTCTCAGATCGAGGCACTCTGCGACGCGGTTATTGAGCTCGAACCCTTTGAAGATCCCAACGTTCAGGGATTTGCCCACGTACACAAAATTGCCGAGCTAAGTGAGCGTGGGATAGACGTGTACCGTCGGCATGAGTACTCGTTCCGACTCGGACGCAGCCAGTTCGAAATCGCCCCCTGGGGCATACCCGTGGACGAGAGCGAAATAGAAAAAGACCTATTTTAGATAATTTATTGACCACTATTATCCTTTCGACCGCCGCTTTGCGCACGTTCTTACCCCTTCCAATATTCGGCGGGGTTTTTTCTTCAATCTTCATGTATGACATCTATCTACATGAACCCCTTAACTAACCCTACCCCGCTTAGCTTACTATCTTTTTAATCGGCCAAACCAGCATTGTTCAACAGATAGCCTGATACATTGATGGATTCAGGTGGAACACACCACAACAGGCATGCCGTGGGGCGCCGTGCGTCTGCTTTCTGGAAAGCAATGCTTGCGGAGGCCATTGCTCGCAAGATTGTGCCTCTATCGCTGGTTCCGGATTCCCTGCGAGAGTCCCGCCTTGATTTGGAACCGTTCCCCGTGCTCGCCCAGAGCGGGGGCCAGGATGGCAATGCAGTGCCCGCTGAGCCCCCTCGCTGCCGTATAGCGCGCACAGACAGCCAGTCCACCCAGGACACCTTTTGGACGGTCGCCAGCGCATTTGCAAACACCGACGCAGCCAGCACGGTTGATCGCACGAGCTGGGTCTCGCGTGAGAGCGCGGTGATATTCGACGACAGATGGATGTTAAGCCACAATAAAGACTTTACCAAATTGTTGCCACCGGAGATTCTAGACAAAGTCTTTGGCTACGTCCCTTACAAAGCGCTCCTCCAATGCCAGCTGGTTAGTCGGAACTGGCGGGATGTGACGAACTCAAACACAATTTGGCGGGAAAAGTACGCCCAGGAATGGGGGCTCTCTCCGACCGTCACAACTCTGCCCTCTGGCAAATCCCGCGATTGGAGGAGGCTATACGAGGTTCGAACTGCGCTGGATCGCAATATGCTGAACTCGCAATACGCTTCATACCATTTAGAGGGCCACAAAGATGGCGTTTACTGCGCAAAGTTCGACAACAAAGAGATTTTGACCGGATCAAGAGACAACACGCTGAAAGTGTGGGATTTCAAGACGCGGAAACAGCTGCATTCCCTCGATGGCTACGGTGGCTCGGTGCTTTGCATGGCAATGGATGACAAGATCGTGGTTTCTGGCTCGTCAGATACCCGTTGCTTGATTTACGATAGAAAGACCTACCGCCAGATTGGCAAGTTGGAATTCCACGACGCACCGGTCCTCGATGTTGCATTGACCGGCAGCCGAATTATTTCCGCAGGCAAGGACGGCCGAATCGCCGTGTGGAGACGCAGGGATATGCACATGCAATACTACCTGAAAGCTCATAGAGGCCCCGTCAACGCAGTCGCAGTTTGCGGGTCAACATTTTTAACCGCCGGGGCAGACGGGCTCATCAAGCAGTGGTCTACGGCAACCGGCGAACACATTCAGACTCTGAGAGGACATACTAGAGGATTGGCATGCATCGATGTTTCATCGTGTGCCAGATATGCTGTCTCGGGTTCAAACGATCGCACCCTGCGTATCTGGAACATGGAAACCGGCGAGTCGAGATGCCTCGAGGGCCATTTGGACGTTGTGCGTTCGGTTTGCATTTCTGGGTCTCGGGTCATTTCTGGGTCTCGGGTCATTTCTGGGTCTCGGGTCATTTCTGGATCTTATGACAGCATGATCAAAGTCTGGGATCTCAGATCGGGCAAGTTCCTCAGCGAGTATCGTCAACCAAATGGCAACTCCGTTTTCTGCGTCCGAGCAAACGCCCGTTACATTGTAGCCACATCTGTAGGTGTGCACCCGACGATTCTGGATTTCGGTGCCACCCTTGGGGCATCTGCGCCAAACAATTGAGTTATAGCATAGAACTGCTTCCTTTTTTTATTACTATTATTATTTATGAAAAAGGAAACAGTTACGAATTTATATTTTTCAAGCAACTGGTTCGATCTTACCCTGAACCTTGTTCATCGTCTTCCGCCATTGGACGCCAGTATGATAGTTTGCTTTCAAAATCTTGCGCGCGACGTATTGCATGAGGAATACAAACGATCCAGTCGCCCGCATAAAGGCGAATGCAGCGGTGGACCACAGTACAATTTGCAAGTAAACGTTTTTCCCCGGGTCATCGAGCGAAAAGAACTGGGTGATCAAAAGAATCAAAAGCAAGTTGGCCGTCATCCAAACCAAGACGACACGAGTTCTAATCTCACGGAAGTAGTCTTGGTCCACGGTCGTTTGGCTAGGCTGAGCCTTGGAGACTGGAGCCTTTTCACGCAAGCAATGCAACGCATTCTCGTACCCGGTATCGATATCGACCTGCTCAGAGGGCATCTCGACCTCAACGACGTCAGTACCGTTGATTTTGTTGACTACTGCAGCACCAAGATCCATCTTCTGCTCGTTGTCACCTTTGGTACCCCAAGTGACGTCGTGGGTATTGCAAAACGCGTAAATTTGCAGCGTAACACTGTATAGTGGGAGTTGCAAAAAGTACTGGATAGAAGATGTAATCATATGCCAAGGATCACAATAGAGGAGTGACATGAAAGCGTACACGCCATAGGTGGCTGCTAGTGAAAACACGATAGTTACCAGGACGCCTGTGGATTCGCCTGCGGGGTCTAATAGCGTCTTGATCACGAAATACAAACTGATGATCATGGTGTAAGTCATTGTCAAACTCAGCATGACTGTGGTTCCAACAAATAACGTCTTTGAGCCTTGAGGCCGGTTGCCGAGAGAAAGGACAAACTGGGCTGAGATGGCAATAATAAGGATGTACTTGAAAAGCAGGAAAAGGGCCAACCCCACGCCGTCTCCAATTGCTGCGGAGTTGTGTCCCGACACCGAACCAGCAAGGAAGTAGAATGCCAAAAAGTAGTTGGCAATGGAAAAAAATGTAAAGATGAGGGTCGCCGCTTGGTACAGGAACTCCACATGTAAAAAGAATTTGCGAATCGGAGAATGGTCGGTGGCCCAGATCTGTTTAAAGTGTGTCAATGAATAAACTGCAGCAAACAGAGCGCCGTTGAGCCAGCGACGACGCTGTGAAATCAATTCTGGCATGCTGTCGGGAACATCCGTGATACCTTTAGCAGATTTGACGTATTTAAGCACCCACTTGTCGCCTCTCTTTGCAACAAGCTCCCAACATAAAATACGATCCTCGGCGAGATACATATTCTTTTCAAAAATTCCTGCGTTAACGCTGTCGAGTTTCTCACCTTTGAAATATGAGGCGAGCGGACCCGTTCCATCTTCATGATTTTGGAGTGCACGCCAGCGATAAGCAGATAGTGCACCGGGCAAAACAGAGATATAACCAAAAACCGACTCAAAGGGCTTGTCCAGAATGTTGGACATTTTATATTCAAAATTTTGTGCAGCCACAAGGGGGTTGAGAAGTGATTTACCGAACTTTCCAACCATTGACTTGATTTCACCACAAGCACCCGCAACATTAGAGTCTTCATCGAATGCTTTCCACAGATGATACAGGGTAGCATTTGACGGACATGTACCGACGTCTAACAAGACGACGACGTTGGGGTTCAACTGAGGACAGAGCGCGTTGAATAGCCAACGATGGGAATTGATCTTCTTGGCATTGCGCTCCTTGAGACAGAAAATCATTTGCACAGGCACAATGTTCTTTTCAGCACCCTGAAACTTGAGGTCAGGCGTGAGCGATACTTGGGCAGTGTATTCGAAAATGTGACTTTGTACTTCTTCGCCATTGACGTAATTCTTCGCCACGCCGTCCTGGAAAACGCCCATGGCCGCAAGACAGTCGAGGACTCGAGGGCTGATTTTACTACGCCCATCAGAGATGATTGTGACCACCACTTTTTTCCATCCGTTGGGCCCCCACACCTTGGACTTGGAGCGTTGGCAAAGATAGGCAATGTTTTTGAAAACTGCATGCAGCGTGCGGGTGAACAGAACCTCGTCTTCATTGTACATTGTGATGCACACACAGATTTCAGTTTCGCGCTTGTAGATTGCCGGGCGAATGGTGAAGCCAGACTCGGCAAAGACATCCGGGTCAGCTGTGCAAGCAGAGTAACGCATATATACATACTCATCGCTGTCACGGCGAGGAAGAAATGAGTACAGTTTGGTGGGCACCGGGCAGTCGAGGACAAGGTTTCCGCGGACCAACTTGACCTGCTTTCTTGACATGGACTTGTTTCGGCGAGGCTGCTCAGAGGGAGGAACCATAGCGCCCGACAATGTCTCGAAGCTGGCAATTGAGCGGCCATCGTAGTCTGTGTCAAAATCGTTGACGTCCTGGTCCTCGTCATAGCTTGTATCGGCTGCTTTAGATTTGGATGCTTTCCAGGACGGGGCCATTGAATTGGCCAGAGTCTGATCAGATCCGTTCGAAGGAACGCGCTCGATACCAGCTGTGAGGTTCGTTGAGGAGCCAATGTCGATGTTTTCGAACTCGTCGTCGAACGGAGATGCATGGGTCGGGCTCTGCGGTAAAGGACGTAGTGCTGAGGGCACGGGCGACGCCAGGTTTTCGACGTTGATAACATCCGAATCGTCGTCGTAAGAGAGCTGCATTCGTCGCACCGGCGAGGTAGGGCTTGCGTTAGGATGGAACAGTGTGGGCGAATTGACGCCATGGCTATCGAATGGATTCTGCGTGCGAGTAGGCGAGCGAACAGGGGAGGTAGAAGGGGTAGAGTACTGAGACCTGGAGGGAGAACGGGACGGAGAGCCCGGGCGGGAGCGCGAGAACATTGGCGATCTGGCCACCGGCTCCGGGATCTGCGGCAGTGCCCGTTTATTGTTGTCCATTAGAGAAGGATGGGAAAAGGAGACGTGAGAAGTTAATTGTTTTGTTTTGACGCACCGCCTGCATGAGCCCTAACCCATATAACAAGAAGGCTGGACGGTATTTTAAGCTATAGGCACCTGCCACTTGGAAATCTTGGCGGCTGGTGGTAATATTTTTTAATTGTCTCAATTCCTGGTACGGGCTCTGGTGAAGACGGGCCAACCTCCCTTAGATGCACCGCGCAGCGTGATGCTAATAATAAGCCTCGACTACAGCCATCGCCCGGAGTGGTCTAATTGGCACTGGTTACCTAAGTAGCCAGGCCGAACCCACCGGTGTGTCAGCAGCATGATGTCTATGAAAATGCTCATGAGGAGCCCAGTTTTGCGCACAGTGCGGCCTGCGGGTCGGCTTGCGTTGCAGTACTCGACTAATGCTCCCCCGAACGGTAACCAAAACGAGAAAGACTCTGTTTCTTCTGGCGTTGGAGACAAGGGAACCTCGACCCATGGGTTTGATCCGCTAAAGCCTCGCAAGCCATTGAGTCGGGTGGCGATCGGCGGCACTCAGGGTAGCCGTGTATCGAAGGGCGACGACGCGCCTTCGTTCAGATCCAACTGGATGGCTGCCATTGGCTTTGTCCTTGCTGGTGGCGGTCTCCTGTGGTGGTTCAAGCGAGAGCGACGCAGATTGGAAGTTCGACGCCTTGAAAAAGAGCACGCAGGCGTTGGCAAGCCTCAAATCGGCGGCCCGTTCAACCTCATTGATGACGATGGCAAGCCGTTTACTGACAAGAATCTTTTGGGCAAGTTCAGCATTCTGTACTTCGGGTTCACCAAATGCCCTGACGTCTGCCCCGAGGAGCTCGAGGTGCTTGCCTATGTTCTCAATGAAACCAACAAGAAAGAGAAGAAGATCCAGCCTATTTTTGTGACGTGCGATCCTGCTCGCGACACTCCTGAAGTTCTTAAAGAGTACCTTGCTGATTTCCACGAGGACATCATTGGCTTGACCGGCCCCCACGAAGAGATCAAGAACATCTGCAAGCAGTACCGGGTTTATTTCAGCACCCCGCCGAACCTGAAACCAGGCCAGCAGTATCTTGTCGACCATTCGATCTTCTTCTACATCATGGACCCCGAGGGCAACTTTATTGATGTAATGGGCCGTAACTATACCGGTCCTGAGGCGTTGGCCAAGGTCCAAGAGCATCTGGATGCCTGGAGACCTTCTGGTGAGGATTCGCGCTCTTGGATCCAAAAAATCGTCTCGTAGGATGGCAGCTCATCCTTTGTACATAGGCACAGAAATTCTCTAGTTAGGTGTGTTTAAAGAGCTATAACTGTATATAATAATATTGAAGACCGCCTGAACGATACCACCAAATAGATTAAAGCATGTTCTTGAACTTGCGAGCAGAACTGAACCACCAGCAGGTGTCCCAGAATGCCTTCTCCATAGCAGCCATGGCCAGCTTGTCAGATGGGTCACCACGGCAAGCAAAGCCGTGGCTGGTATTGGAGTAAACAGTTTGGACGTAGCGTGCACCGATCTCCCGGAGCTTTTCCTCAGTCTTTTGACGCAACTCGACGGTGTAAATCTCATCGGTCTCGGCAGCGCTGATGAGCAATGGAGCCTTGATGGCGGCAATCTCCTCGATTGTCACAAAGGACGGGTGGAAAATCGACGAAGAATCGGCCCTGCCGTTGCCAATGTCCCGCACAGCAGATCTGGCGCCAAAGCAGTAGCCCAACGTACCGACAAAGCTAGCAGATGTGTTGGCTTTGATCCAATTCCACGTCTTCTCGGTAATGGCCTGCACAACTTCGGGGCGGTGCTTGTACATGTAGGCGCCCCAGTCGAAGCCCTCGAGATTCTGCGGGACGTAGTCGCCATCGAAAAGATCAGGAACAACTACAAAGTAACCCTCCTGAGCGTACATATCAGCAAGAAGCTGAGAGTTCTTGTACACGGGGCCAAACACGTCGGTGTAGAAAATAATAACGTTTTTGGACGACTTGTCGCCGGTAACGTAGGTGAGAACGCCGTCTAGCGTCTCGAGCTTGCCGGTAGGAGTACCAGAATGCAGAAAGGTCTTGGCGCAGCAATCACGGGGGAGGTTCGATGCCATGGTGATGGGTGTTACAGGTGCCTCCGTCCGCATCCCAGGCTGTTTTATAGCGGCCGATTGTCACTTACAAATTGTGCAGCCGCGCTGCTGGACTTGCAGGATTGCTGTTGGACGGACCTCAACGATCATGTAGGAGGGCGTAGAGGAGTCGAGCTCCCTAAACAAATTGCGAACGTCGGTTATTCTATTGATTCGTGGTATGTGATTCAGAGTGTGAGCATGTATTTTTCAAAGACGCATTGTCAAGATCGGCTTCGGCTGAAGCTTCCGCTTGTTGATCTAGCAACTAGATAGTAGGTGCATGTTTCGACGATACGGTCGCCTGGGAGGGGCAAGGTGCATGGCTGAAAGTAGAACGAACGAAAATTCATCGCCACTACGCAATGGCAGCGCTGTACAGCTGCCAAACTTGGCCCGCAATGGCCACTATACGTTCACGCTTACCATGCAGGATCTAAACTGCCAATGCAGCTCCTTAGCCCTATGGTCCCAAACCTCTGGCGACGTGTTCCGCAACTTCATTAGGGCACAGCCCTACCAGTCACAAATTTCATTTTCCTTTTGTAAGCCCCATGCCCCCACTCACTCTTTAGCTGAGCAGTAGAACTGTCGAAGAAGCCAAATTAGAAATGTCTGACACTGAAATCGAAAACGTCGTTGAGGCCCAGGAGGTCGAGGTTGCCGCTGGCTCCGCCGCCCCCGGTGAGATCTCCATCGAGGAGGCCATCAAGGGTGTTCTCCGTAACGCCCTTGTCCACCAGGGTCTTGCCCGTGGTCTCCGTGAGGCCGTCAAGGCTCTTGCTTCCGGTGAGGCCGAGGTCTGCATCCTCTGCGAGTCCATCACTGAGGACGGCTACCTCAAGCTTGTCGAGGCTCTCTGCAACGAGCCTGAGACCAAGATCCCCTTGATCAAGGTTGCCGACGCCAAGCAGCTTGGTGAGTGGGCTGGTCTTTGCCAGCTTGACCGTGACGGCACTGCCCGCAAGGTTGTTGGCTGCTCTTGTGTCGTTGTTAAGGACTGGGGTGTAGACTCTGCTGAGCGCCAGGCCCTCCTTAACTACTTCCAGTCTGCTTAAGCGGATGAAAAGTAGTCCCTGCTATTTTTTTTTGTAGAGGCGTTTTTAAATAAATTTAATTTGTCACCGCTGCTTGTATCGATGGAGCTTGTATTTTTTTCGGCTGCTATTCACTATTCAATTGTCGTCACTGTGCGCGCTGCTGCTGCTGTCACTGTCGGACTCTTCGTCGCTCGAATTGGGTGCAACAGCAACAACAGCATCGTCGTCGTCGTCATCTTCATCTTCTGCAATGGCCTCCTCAGGAACAGATGCAATAGGCGTCTTTTCAATCGTAGGCAGCTGAACGTCCTTAACCGTCAACAGAGAGCCAACCACCAGAGGGGTGCGACCACTGACATTAAACGTTTTGACGTCGAAAGCAAGCTTGCCCTCAATACGATTGCCGTTGCTGTCGACCCAGTAGCCCAGAGACTTGGAATCAGTCTCGTCGTCTTCGGAGTGCACAAACTGCCATGTCTCAGGGATGTCGGCCCGCTTGATTGTGGCATTGAACGTGTCATGAATGAGCAGAGCAATGTGTCCAGGGCTTTGCACGCTAACCCAGCCTTCGATGTGATCGCCGGAGGCAGGGGACCACACCAAAAAGTCTGACTGGATCCATAAATAAGAAAAGGGGCTGTCGTTCATGATCTTGGCAACCGGCGCTCCTGTGCCCTCTGTGTCCTGGCCCAGCAGCTTCATGTTTTGATGAGCAATAACCACACCCTCGGCAGGCGCAAAATAAGTCATAACCAGCCGATCTAGGTGGGATTTACGGATGCCTAGCACCGGGTCAGCCGCGGAGCTGGGCGGCACGCAGACATGCATTTTCGCAGTCACCGTTTTGAAACACTGAGCAAACCCGTTGGAATCGCTCGGATTGGCATCCTTGCTTGATATTATAGATAGCCGACGCTTTTTCGTCGATTCTGACGGAAGGTCCAACTTTCGTTTAACCATGAAAAAATATTTTATGTCAGCTGGTGTTTTCTACAGGCAGGAAGCGGAACTCTACAAAGACCTTTTGCTCGTCGAATTCGTAAATTAGTTGGGTGCTCAGAACGCCTTGAGAATCAACCCTCATGCTCACTTGGCTGGCGAGTTTCGCCGCCTCGCGCGCTTTGCAGACGGTCTTGAAGTTGTAGGTGAACCCTGCAGGCTCCTGGACGTTCAGGGCAGTAAGTAGTTTAGGGTCCTCGCGCAGGGTGATTTCGGTGGCAGCCAGGTCGCTAGGCGCAGTGAAGTGGAGTCGGCGGGGTGCATTTGAGGAGCGAACAGTCAGTTCCGCGGCTTCAAGGGCAGCGAACTCCCGCAACAGGTTTTCAAACACACTGCCGGGCATGATGGCATGAAGCACCACATCGTCGGCGTCGAAAGCCACATCGGCGTCTAGTTCGGGGTCTGCAAACACAGTTAAAACGCAAACCGATGACATTGAGTCCTGCGAAAACCTCAATTCAAACTGCCCAAACTCTTTGTACTGGAAAACGCACTGCGACTCCGCAGACCGTTTTGTCCGCCGATTGAGCGGCGACCAGTCAACGTACATTTTCAGGCATAGGGCAAGCTTTGAAATGTCGATCTTGACTTCGTGGTGGCCGTAGCAAGCGTACAGGGCAAAGATCTCGGGCGGTATAAAGATAAACGCAGCAAACGCGTGGCTGGAGTCGGAGATCTGGATCTTGATTCCGGACTCGTCCAACACGAGCTGCCCCTCCTTGGAAACAGCACTCACCGCCTTGAACACACGACTCAGCGGCTCAACATACGCTGTGCTGGCTTCAAAGCCGGACATTATACCATGGGGTCTTTGGCCTAATCGTTCGAGCTTACCAATGACCTCGAAGAGAAGAGGTGTCGCAGTACCCGTGGCGGTGATTGGGCTGGTGGTTGCGATTGGCGTTGGTACCTACAAACTCGCTGTTTCGCGTAGCTACACTAGTGACGAGATCCCTGCGGTCAAAAAGCTGGGTGACAGCGTGTGCGTGGTTGTTTCAGAGTCCAAGGACTACTCCAAGCTTCTGCAGGCTTACCCCAGATTGGTTATCGTGGGTGCCCAGAGTATAGCGTTAAAGTCGGGGACAGCAGACGATTACCGTCTGATTGAGACAGAAACGGCAGAGGGCTGGATCCATGTCGTCAAGCATTTGCGGCCCGAAAAGCTGGTTGTCGAAGACGAGCTGTCGCCAGAGCTGCCGGCTGGAATCGAGCGATTTGTGAAAAAGATCCTGACAAAAAATGAGGCTGCCAGCTACGGTCTAGAATATTAATAAATAGAAATACGGCCCGGGCACCCAAACTAGCGGTGCCATCTGTATTTGCGGGCCTTATGTACAACACGGTTGGAGAGGCCCTGGTTAGTAGTCCCCAGCCAGTGGATTGACGACGGTTTGTCTTTGTGCGGGAGCGAAGGCGTTGCGATTCGCTGAACAAACCGTAGGTGCTTGAGGTTGTAGATCGTGCCAATAGCGGAAAACCCAAAAACAGCCGCTATCACCAGTGGGAAGCCAAAGTTGGTTTCCTCAATGAAGTTCTCCAGATTCATTCCGTACATGTCGGCAATAAACACTGCCAAGGCAGCAGAGACGGTGAAAATAGAGATGTGCAGGCGGAACAACAGCAGCCGGTTACGGTTCGAGTCCAGAATCATGTTGATAACCTCCTGGGTCATGTCAACTTCTCTGGACACCGCCCCCGTCTGTTGAACTAGCTCGTCGGCCTCCTTAAAATAGGTTTCTAGCAAAAGCTCAATGTCATTGTAGCTGTCAGCTTCCTTCCGAGCAGAGAGGTACATATCCTCCAGCCCTTCGTCGTCGTCCAGGGCATCGTCCAAAGCGTTTCGCACCGCTAAACACTGCCGATAAACTTTGCCGAGAATCTTGTGCTCGCCAGAAAGCTCGCGGAGAACCGTGCGGTCGATACTAGACTCTAGCACCTCCAGGTACTGGTCAATAGCCCGAGTCGTCCGCCTGACCTCTAGTTCGAGATAGGCAATAGCATGCACCAACACGATTTCCAAAGCGGTTTGTTCGTAGGGCTGAACATGGCCACCAGATTGAGCGGTCGGTCGCTTTCGGCCGGCCAGTTTGCTTTGAAAATCATACATCAGCATGCTCAATCGTTCTGAGACTTTGGGATCCTGCGACTCAAATACCATAACTCGTTTTTCCTTGATCAGAACCCGCAGTCCGCACATATTCACCAGAATAAGGTCGCCGTGCACGAGAATCCGCGGCACGATTCCAGACAGATCGTCAAGGTGGCGAAGATCGCGAGTGTTTAGCTTGTTGTCGCGAACAAACTGCTTTCGGCTGACCTCGTACGAGACCTTCATCACCTGCCCGTTTTCATCAAACACCGTGCATCGAAGCGGCGGCTCCACTCGGCCGCCATTGCCGGGAAAGCTGATGGCCAAATTGGGGGCCGCGGCTGCACTGCCAGTATAAAACCGGCTGCGCCATTTCACGGTCGCTACTGGGGTCCAGCCACCCTTCCGGCAGCCCAAAAACCTGCGCCCCAGCACAGAGCGGAAAAGCATGATTACAATTTTTTTTGGTGCCAAAGTCCCAAAAAAAGGTAGGCTGGCGAAGGAAGCGCGAAAGGGTCAATTGAAGAGAGCAAAATAGAGGTTATCATAAATTCTACATTTTAATCAAAGAATCTGCGGTTTGCAGAAGGCCCGAAAAGTTCTAGACGGATAAGAGGCAGACCGTTTGTGCTTAAAAGTTTGAGCCGCTCGTCGAGAGTGTTGTCGATAGACAGGCGTTTGGTCCTGTCGAGAGCAACTATGCCGCCAATTGAGGACTTGGGCAGGAACTCGGTGTCGATTTCAGCAGCAATGTCCGAGTTCTTCTTGGACTTGAAGGTCTTGATTGCGGTCACCAGGGCGGATTTGGCGACCTCCGTGTCTGCCTCACGGACGCGAACGATGACCGTTTCCTCTTTGAGCAGCACCATGCACTCTTCAATGAGCTCTGAGAGCAGCTGCTCGTACTTGGCCTTGTTGGCAGGCAGCTTCTTGATTTCGTCGTGCGCCTTCGAAACGACGTCCTCAAAGAGCTTTTCTTTGGCATCCAGCACCTTCAGACGTGTCTTGTTGGCTAGCGTCGACTTGGTAATCTGCTGTGCCAGCTTATTTTGCTTGTATTTCTGCTCGTACGCCTGGTCGATAGCGGCAATCTCAGACCGCACAATGTTGGCCTTTTCAATTTCGTACTCCTCGTTGGCCTTGGCTTTAACTTCCTTGGCCTTCTCCTCGGCTTCCTTCTTGATGAACTCCACCATCTTGTTCAATTCGCCAGCGACCTGGTCGTCGGTCAATCCATTCGTGGGCGGCATTCTGTTGCAACTGACTAAGTGGCCAGCGCTATCTTAGGGGGTAGATCATGTGATGTCAACTTCTCGAATGTCAGTATTAGAGTGGAATGTGTTTCCAAAGGAGGTTTGCGTACGTAATAGTAGAAAATAGCACTTGCACTCATGCGTTGAGGCAGGTCGCGTGTCAGTTATACAGCCGCCCCTCTGATGAGAAGAAACAAGCACTGTATTAACTCGTCGGCCTTTCAGTATATTGTCCTTACGCAGTGTTTGGCTAAATTAGGCACTTTGGCCGAGCGGTCTAAGGCGCTAGCTTCAGGTGCTAGTATCTTCGGATGCGAGGGTTCGAATCCCTCAGGTGTCACCACTTTTTTTTGGTTTTAAATTTTAGTTCTTTTTCGATCCTCACTAAAGTCCACGCCCTGCTGAGCAGCACTTATGTGCTTTGCGGCCTTCCTCGGAAAGTTTAAAGTCTGTTGGCTAGACACTACAATATATACACTATGCCTGTTTTTTGTTCAATGGATTAGGACGGAGCTCCAAAGGTGCCTTCTTCTTGGGCTCGTACTTGGGCAGAGGAGGAAGAGACTCTAGCTTTTCATCGGTATAGAACTCGTTCTTCATGAACTCAACTTCCTCCTTGAATCGACGAGTCGACTCATCATCACGGCAGATCTTTTCAACATTAAGCTTGGTGCGGGGATCCAAATCAGCACCCTGGCACTCCAGCCGAGCAACGATACGTGCCGTAAGAGCCATTCTCATATCACGGGGTCCACCGACTAATTCGAGAATGGACTGGGGGGCATTGTCGCCAACCCGGTTTTCAAGCTTCAGAACTCGAGTATACCCACCGGTGAACGACTTGTAGCGAGTGGAGATCTCACCAAGAAGCTTTGGTAAAATGACCTGTGGTTTGTAGATATCGTTCATTAGCCGCTGCTTTTTTTCATTGTTAGGAGTCGGCCCGGCCTTGATGGCTTTGGTGATCAGCCGCTCGACCGCAGTCTGCGCCTCCTTGGCCTTGGCGTGCGTGGTGATAATAGACTCGTGCTCTAGCACATTCGTGACCAGGTTGCGCAAAAGCGAAGCCCGGTGCTTCACCGTACGATTCAAGTGTCGATGAACCATGGAGAGATGGAAATTTTGTCAGCAGGCGGAAATTGTATAAAGGTGCGATCATTAGCTAGTCGTTAAAGTGGTTTAGTTTCGTTGCGCTGCGTTGCGTCTCGCTTAGCCTGAACTACAGAACCTCAGCTGATTTTGGGGATGTATAAAACAAGCACTTTTTGCAAAGCGTCTTATACTCGCCTCGACACCGCCAGTCTCTCAGCTTACCTCACCAATCATGGCCCGAATTTACGGCTTGTTTGGCGGCATTGTCACCGGTCTGTCTGTGACGTATTGCACAGCAGTCAAGATCCGCAAAAACACCCAAGACGTCTGCAGCGAGCTCCAGCTATCCCAGCTGCTTGCAGAGAACAAACCCGTGATCACGCGGCCCTACACCGACCCCATCAATTTGCAGACTCGCAGTCGCAAAGACATTATTGTGGACTTGTGGGACTCTGAGGTTATCAAGGCGATTCAGTGGGTCTATTCTCTCGGTAAAGCATAGGTGTGCTCATCTATTTGTCTACTCTTCGGTGCCCTGTTTATTAGCGTCGCGCAAGATATCACGGTCGATGGACCAAGCGACGATACGACCGAAAATCACAAAGAAGAACCCCACAAGGGACTGTAAAATGCCCCATCCGGACCGCGGGCTTGTGCCCATCATCGAGCTGCCCAGAATCCAGGTCACGGTGTCGGTGTAGACTGTATCATCCCCCATATCTAGTCGTTTCATAATGTATTTTGCGCAATTGTCCGGGCTCTGGGGCGGCGACGGGCCCTCGATCTTTTTGGTGATGGCCGGCTTTGTTTGTTCCTCGACCGTGTAGCCCTCGGTCGCCATAGTCCCCGGCACAATGTGTGATACGCGAATGTTGTGGGCCAGGCACTCTTGGCGGACGATATCTGAGAGTGCTCTTATAGCTGCCTTTCCCGGTGCATATGCGGAGTACCCAATGAACGGGAACACAGCCAGCGTAGAAGAGCAGTACACCAGCTGACGGCGCTTGTGCAGCTTGTCGGGCGAATTGGCCATTACCCTGAGCGCGGCGTGGCTAAAGTACAATGCAGTGTCGTAGACGGTTTGCATGTTCTGTGCCAAATCCTCAGCACTCAGGTCAATAAACATGCCCGGCCGAGAGGCCCCAGCACAGCAGTACACAATGTCGGGTATTTCACCTATTTGGCCAAACACTTGGTCGCACTCCTTCGCATTGGACACATCTGCACTCACGTATTTGATGTATTGGTCCTCGTGGCCAGGAGAGACATGCACAAGCTCTAAATCATTAACTGCCGCTTGCAGCTTCGACTCCGTCCGGGACACCAGCACTATACTGTGTCCGCGCTTGACGTGCTCCTTGGCAAGCGACAGACCCAAGCCCTGAGAGCCACCTGAAATAACAACCAGCATTTTTTATTATCCTATCAATATCTTAAACTCGGAAAGTGGTCTTAAGCCAGACTCTCCACGTGACGTCAGCAACCAAATGCATCCCTTCAAGCTGCTTGTGCTAACGGGAATCGTTCCTGTGCTGGCGGTCAAGGATTATTTGTTTCGAAAATGCGACCAGAACCCGTTCTGCCATCGCAATCGTCACTACGCAGTCGAAGCGCAACGCCCGGACTTTGTGACTCCCTACACGTTAGCAAACTTGGATACTGCCGACCCGGCGCACATCACCGGCACTTTGGTCAAGTCTGTTGGCGATCAGACGGTCGACCTCTCGCTGCTGATCGAAATTAAAACTGACAACACTGTGCACTTTGTCGTAGACGAACCCAATCGCAAGTTGGATAACCCGGCGTTGCAAGCCTCGAGGTACTCTCCGGCTGGCGACATTTTGGATCACAGCCAGGTGTCCAAGCTCAAACCGACGAAAAATGTCAAAGTTTCAAAGAAAGATGGTGCCGTGACCATATCCTTTGGCGATGGAAATGAGGTTGAAATCACTTTGAGTCCTTTCAAGGCCAGACTTCTCCACAAAGGCACAGAGCAGGTTGCTTTAAACAACCGCCAGCTTCTTAACTTTGAGCAGTTGCGCAAGAAAGACAGCAACGATGGCTGGAACTCGTGGGAGCTCCAGGACAATGCGTGGTCGGACAGTTTTGACGGAAAAACCGACGAAAAATCTCGGGGCCCGGAGGCTGTGGCTCTGGATATTGATTTCTCGAATTACAAACACGTTTTCGGAATTCCTGAGCATGCCGACAGCTTGTCGTTGAAAGAAACCAATTCCGAATCGGGCCACTCCGAGCCTTATCGTCTGTTCAATGTTGATATTTTTGAGTACGAAACCCAGAGCCCTATGCCCATGTACGGATCTATTCCGTTTATGATGGCCTCTAAGACTGATAGTGCTACTGGTGTGTTCTGGCTGAATGGTGCCGATACCTATGTCGACGTTTCCAAGTCTTCTCAAGGTGTTGGAAGTCACTGGATTTCAGAGGCCGGTAAACTCGACTTTTACTTGTTTGTTGACGACAAGCCTGCTCATGTACTCGAGGCTTATGGTAAACTCACCGGTATGGCAGCCCTTCCCCAAGCTTTTGCAATTGGATATCACCAATGTCGCTGGAACTACAACAGCCAGTCGGATGTGCTCGAAGTGAATGCCAACTTCGACGAGGCTTCGCTTCCTTATGATGTGATCTGGCTTGATGTTGAGTATACTGATGCCAAAAAGTACTTTACATGGAACAAGGATCAGTTCCCAGAGCCTGTGGAAATGCTGGGAGAGCTTGATGAAACCAAAAGAAAACTGGTCACTATTATTGATCCCCATATCAAAGCTGAAAAGAGCTACTTTGTATATGATGACTTGGTTAACAAAAATTTTGCTGTCCAAGATCGGGCAAACAAGCCGTACGAAGGACACTGCTGGCCGGGCAATTCTGTTTGGGTTGATTCTATGAATCCTGCCGCATCAGAGTATTGGGCATCGCTTTATGCGTTTGGAAACGATTTGGGTGGAGACGCCTTGAATCTTCATATTTGGAATGACATGAACGAGCCATCTGTGTTTTCGGGTCCTGAGACAACCGCTCCTAAATACTTGTTGCATCACGGCGGCTGGGAGCATCGCGATCTCCACAATGTATACGGTCAAACTCTCACCAATCGTACATTCGATGGTATGCTGAGCCGATACAATGGTGAGCAGCGCCCTTTCATTTTAACTCGCTCCTACTATGCTGGCAGTCAACGTATTGCCGCCATGTGGACTGGTGACAACCAAGCTGATTGGGCGTATCTGAAAGAAGCGACACCAATGATCCTTACTTCTGGTATTGCTGGTATGCCCTTCTCTGGTGCAGATGTTGGTGGATTTTTCAACAATCCTGATTCTGAGCTGCTCACTCGTTGGTACCAAGCGGGAGCCTTTTATCCGTTCTTCCGCGGTCATGCCCATATCGATTCGGCTCGTCGTGAACCGTATCTTGCTGAAGAGCCGTACAAATCCGCTATTTCCAACGCTCTTCACCTCCGATACCAGCTTTTGCCCCAGTTCTACAGCGCGTTCTACGAAGCATCGCAAACCCTGGCTCCGGTCATGCGTCCTTTGTTCTTTGAGTTCCCCGAGGAAGAGGCGGTTTATGCGATCGACGATGAGTTTTTGATTGGCGACTCGCTCTTGGCAAAGCCTGTTGTTGATCGAGGCGCCAAAAGCATCGATGTTGTTTTGCCGGGTGGAGGAGTGTACTACGACTATTTCACCGGTAAGGCGCACCGGGCGAACAAAATCACGGTCCCCACCGAGCTTGAATCTATTCCCCTGTTTGTTCGTGGCGGAAAGATCATCACTCGTCGTGATCGCCACCGCAGGTCTGCTGAATTGATGGCTAACGACCCCTACACACTGGTGGTTGCAGTTGACGACAGTGGCCGGGCATCTGGCAAGCTATACACTGACGATGGTATCTCCTACGGCTACGAAAAGGGTCATTATGCCCTGGCTGAGTTTGTTTACGAATCTGGTCAACTTAAGAATAAGGTTACGCATGCCGACAAAGCGTTTAATGATCTTAACATTGAACGCATCATTGTGTACGGAGCCCAGGCTTCCACGGCTCACGCGGGCAAAACGAAGTTCGATCTCGAGCAGACCGACGCTGGCTTTATTGTTCGCAATCCCCGCTTCAAAATCGCCGAGAACTGGACGCTTACTTTTAAATAACCTCATCTATAGCTTTCAGTCTGATTACATTTGAACTCACTGCCCACGCGACGTGACCTGTCAGCAGAAATGACGATGCTGGAAGATAAGTACATTGGCCTGGGACTGGCGATTTCCAGCTCCCTGGCCATTGGCACGTCATTTATTATCACCAAAAAGGGTCTGATATCTGCACAGGTATCGGGATTTCAAGGTGACGGATACCAGTACCTCAAGAACCCCTTGTGGTGGGCCGGTATGCTCACGATGGCTATTGGCGAAATTGCCAACTTTGCCGCGTACACTTTTGCGCCGGCAATTCTGGTCACGCCTCTTGGTGCCCTCAGTGTTATTATTGGCGCCGTGCTGGCCGCCTTCTTCCTCAAGGAGGAGCTGGGGGTTTTGGGCAAGCTCGGGTGTGCTATCTGTTTAATTGGGTCTGTTATCATTATTCTGCACGCACCCCCGGACAAAGACGTGCAAACTGTGGACGAGATTTTGAACTACGCCACGCAGCCGGGGTTTCTGTTCTACGTCACGTTGGTCACGGTTTTCTCGGTGTACATGATCTACAAAGTTGCTCCTCGCTACGGTCGCGTGCACCCCATGGTGTACATTTCGATCTGTTCTGCGGTTGGCTCGATTTCGGTAATGTCCATCAAGGCGTTTGGCATTGCTCTCAAGCTCACATTTGCCGGCAACAATCAATTTTCGCACCCCAGCACCTACGTGTTTGTAATTGTGGTTGCCGTATGCATTCTCACCCAGATGAACTACTTCAACAAGGCATTGGACCAGTTTGACACCTCGATTGTCAATCCCTTGTACTATGTGAGCTTCACGACCTGTACGTTGTGTGCGTCGTTCATCCTGTTTGGCGGGTTCAACACTACGAACGCTGTCAACACCATCTCGCTCATAGCGGGCTTCATTATTATTTTCACCGGTGTCTACCTGCTGAATGTGTCGAGATCCGAAGACGTCAGACACCTGCTACCGTCCAGATCGCTAGATGGCATCCCTATGGACAATACAGTGGCCGGAATGCAGACTCGCCGCAGCATCAACCTGCAGCGTCGGTCCCGCTCGTTCGGCACGCACGATTTTGAGGAGGAGGCGTACGGCATGTCCTCTTTCAACGACAACTCGAGCCGCAACGGAAGCCAGAGCGGCAGCAGAAGTGCCAGCAGAGAGCGCAGAGCCGCCCACGAGTCGCTGCTGCACAATAACTAAAAAAGAATTGACAAGGGGACAATAAATCTATATGAAGAAAAAAGACTAAATATCATCGATGTCGAGCTCCTCTTCGGACTCGCCCATATCGCTCTTGTCGTCGTTGTCGAACTCGAACAGCTCGTCCTCGGAGCCGCCCTCCTTGTCGCCCTCGTTGATGTGAGTGTTTTCAGGAAGCTCGCCCTGTGCCTTGAGTGCACGGGCCTCGTCGGGGTGGTACTTGAGAATGACGTCGGCCTGCTCAGGCTGGAACTCGCGGATGGACACCAGAACAATGTCGCCTAGGGAAATCCACACCTTCTTGCGCATCTTACCACGGATATGGGCATGACGCATGTCGCCATCAAAGCACTGGACCTCGACGCGGCCGCTGCCGAGCATTTTAGTGACCTGGGCGTACTCCTGGTCCTCGTCGCGGAGAACCAGCTCGCGCTTGAATCCTGTGTCGTTCTTTCCGCGTCTCCGGTTCTTTCCTCCCTTTCCTTTGGATTTAGGCATAATTAATGAAAAAAGTTACTGATTTGTCATAGGGGCTGGATATGAGTGCCCTGGCATGGCTAGTGGACCCATATTAAGGAGCCTGCCTGGCAAATCGGTTTGTTTCCAAGTTCGGCTTTGCAGCTAACCAGAGCTACGTTTACAAGCAAAGATAGCAAACCACCCAGTTTCTGGAGTTTCGAAAGTATAGCCGCCCGTCGCAGTTTTTCCTTAGCGTCTTTGTCATGGACTCCTTTGAAGCGACGCTTGAATTTGCAAAAATTCTCCGGAAACTCAATGCATCCACAAAGTCTCAGGATGCGGCAATACAATTTCTCATGAAAAACCGCGACCTCATGGAGGATTTGTACCGTTGTATCCTCTACGAGATGAGCAAGGGCACCATCTCGCTGCGCGTCAGCATCCTGTTCTTTTTGAGCTACCTGGCCGGCGTTTCCGTGAGCAAATCGCTGCCTTTCCACGGCTGGATTGCCCGAGACATCCCGCAGATAGTAGATCTGGCCGTTCCGCGCGTGCGGGCCGGACTTGCCAACGTCGCGCCCACTGAAAAAGTCTTGCGGGACCTTGTGGCCAAGAAGGTCGTTGAAGAGCGCCATCTGGTCCGGGCTCACGAGCACCTGGTTGAGCGTGCCATGCACATCCAGTCGACTCCTGGGCTGGTGGATCCCAACGTCCCCGAAACCAACAACGACGAGATCCTCAGGCGAATGGAAGAGGACCGGGAACGCGGCAAAAAGGTCAAGGAGGGCCAGTGGTCGGTCAATTCGGCAAGCGAAGAGTTTCTGGCGGCATGGGACAACATTGGCGGGCTCACAGAGCTCGATTTCGAACAGATGGACGAGGACAGCGAGATTTGTGCTGATTCGAGACAGGGCGTGCGGGCCCCCTGAGCTAGTGTGTTTATTTATTATATAGAGGGTTGCTCTAATTACGGGCCTGCTGCTTGGGCAGATCCCGCTCCTCAGCCCGGACTCGTTCGCGTGGGCTTAATACGCTAATACTTGTCCATAACTGAATCACCTTACACGAAAACGGTTTTTAGGCGCCCTGCAACCAAAAGCGGACATCAGCAGGAACACGTCGAAAAGTTTCTTGGCAAGCAGCCAATGCCCGCTTTCTTGGCGTACCGCTAAGCGAAAAGCGACAGGTTGTTGTGCTTTTCATTCGTTAAATGCACTAAACTCTACAAAACAAGAGGACAAGTCGGACCATGCGCATGTGAGCCGAATCAGCGGGTGGCCGATTTCCAGCCCCGCCTTGATGCAACGCAGACCAGCACATGCCACGCTACTCGGAGCTTTGCAAACTGAGCTCTACTTGCTGGTGGCGTGGTGTTTCTTTAAATCAACTCAAACTGCAGCCAATAGTGAAATTTGTGTAGCCCTTATCTTGATAATTAATTATCGCCCATGTGCAGCGCATGGCATATTGATCCGATCGTCTGATCCTTGAACCCGCCGGCTACCCAGCTGGCAGTGCTCCACGGGTCTAGTCCAATTCACAGTGCCTGCATCTACCTGTATTTCACCCAGGTCAGCTCTGAATCGAAGAATCGACGCGACAGACTGCTGTTTTACTGTCCCAGAGATATTTTTCGGATCCCGGGCCCGGCTGCAGCATGGGTAACACAACCTACGCAGCAAGTCAATGCCAGGAACTGGTGCCGTGTGGCGGTGATCCACACTACCTGGTAAGACTAGTGATCTGGGCCCAAAGAATGCAATTGTTAAGACAAAGCACAGCTCTGGCAGCCCGTCATATCTGGTCCCCGCTCGATCCCGTCCGGTCTCGATTCGTGAAAAACGCAGTTGACGTTTGCCGCACCTGCATATGCATGCATATTTGGGGCCGTGCGATTTTGACAAGATCCCCCCATACCTAACCATGAGCTCACACTAGCAAATGGGCTCCTTATTTATCTGATTTTCAGAATATTTGCAGAGAAAAGCTAAATGTAAAAGTCGCGGCCGCTTTTCATTACTTCCAACTTCCAGTGTCCAGGGTCCCCCGTACACATCGTCGGCGAAGATTTGTTCCCTAGGGCTTCGCTGCTGCCTAAAACATGGCACGCCTACGGATCGTCTGGAAAGCCTGCCCACACCGCGGGGCGATCTGCTAGGACCTGTGTATGCCCCGTAATGCCGAATTTGGGTAACCTCTGATGCCTAAACATCCGAGCCAAAAGCTCGCAAAACTCGCTGCGAATCAACCAATGTTTATCGCTCAGCCTTTGATCCAGATGCCCAAATCGGTTCGATTACATAACGTACACCGCCCTACTGCTGCACCAGAATGCTATGTGGAGAGACTGCGCATAACTACGTAATAAGGATGTAAGTCGATAGGTACCCTTCCCCACTTTTGACGCAAAAATTTTCGCTTAACACTTGTAGCCCAGCTAAACCAATACGGATAAGTACGAAATGTTGGGGCCGCCCAGCCATAGCCAGTAGGTAAATATTCTCTCGAGACTAGACTCAAGGTTCTCCAGGGCTCCGCCAGCACTTGTCGCTTCGCGCGATACGGATCGGGTGGCCTGATGCAGCCATAGGCAAAGATGGGGATCCCAACATCAGTGAGCACCACGCGTACGTCATGATAACTCGATAGCGATTTATCGTGGATCGGACCCCACCCCAATTGGAGCGCTCTAGCCCCACTTGATCTCTCGGGGCCACCCATGGGCAGATGAATCGGCGCCACCGCATCCGTTCATGCTCCCACCCGCAAACTTTATCTTGCTTTTTACGTATCGAAAATTGATGTATTATTCTGTGAATCCCCAGGCGCAAAGTATCCGGTTCGCTGTCCCATCGCGTGCAAAGACCTGCGTCCTGCGCAGTATGCAGCTCCCGCAGGCGTTGTCCTATCTTGCATGAGGGTTTACAGTGCGCATATATATGGCCCGATAGACTGACAAATAGCGTAGCGTTTAAATTAAACCAAAGGTTAAAGTCTACTCTCCAGCAAATGTCTTTGGTTCCTATTTCTAGTTTCAGTGGTGCTCTAGCTCCCAAGGTCTCGAAGCAAATTTTCGAAGAATCATCTGATGGTGACGACGAGAAGAATGTATACGAGCACTCCGACGAGGTCGAATACCACGACACCAACAAGCTCCCACTGCAGGTGTACACTCACTACGCCGAAATCCAGCGTAGTTACGAGGAGGATAACCGCCTCGACGAGCTGTACGAGGCCCAGGAGTTGCAGAGGAAGACTGACCCCCATGCTAACCTGACCACCGCTAAGCTCGAGTCCCAGCGCCAGCTCCGTGCCGCCAAAATCTACAGTGTCTTCTTCCTTATCACCACTGATATTCTTGGTCCCTCTAATGCCCCTTACGCTATCGCTCAGATGGGCTACGTGCCGGGTGTCATTTTGTACGTGCTGTTCGGTTGTATGGCCGCTTTCGGCGGTTACCTACTCAACAGGGCCTTCTGCCGTCTTGACTCCAACAACTATCCCATCAGAACCTTCTCCGATCTCGCTGCCCGCTGCATCGGTTACTGGTTCCGCTACCCTTTCGCTATTCTCCAATTCATCCAGATGATCATGAACGTCGGTCTTATTTTGTTGGGTACTGCCACCGCGGTTGCCGAAGTTATTGTCCAGTACCACGGTCACAACACCTTCTGCTTTGTTGTTAACATTCTTGTCTGGGCCCTGTTTGGTATGCTTTTGGGTCAGATCAAGACCCTGCACAGATTCGCCCACATCGCCAACTCGGCCGTCTGGATGAACATTGCCATCTGTATTATCACCATGGTCGCTGCTGCTACCACCACTCCTTACTATTCTATTTTCTGGGCTAACTACGGCCATGACTACCCTTACAACACCACTGATATTTTGAGATACGCAATCACTCCTGGTACTTTGTCCACCAGAATCGCCGGTATGAACAACATGGTGTTCGCTTGGGGTGGTGCCACCATTTTCTGCGAAGTTATGGCTGAGCTCAAGCGTCCTATGGACTTCTGGAAGGGTATGATCTGCGGTCAGGCCCTTATTCTTGTCGTTTACCTGTTCTTCGGTTTGTTCGTCTACTCCTACTGGGGCCAGTGGAGTTACGTTACTGCCAACCTGGGTATTGCCAAGCAGGGTCTCCAAGTCGCTGGTAACATCCTGAGTATCATCTCGGGTTTGCTTGCTGCGGTTCTATATGGTAACGTTGGTATCAAGGTTCTTTACCAGGGCTTCCTCGTCGCCGACTTCAACTTCCCCAAGCTCACCACCAAAAAAGGAACCATCTACTGGGCTATTGCTGTTGTTATTTACTGGGCTGTTGCCTTCATTATCGGCACTGCCATTCCTTCGATTAGTGCATTGGTCGGTATTATTGGCGCCTTCTGCATTTTCAACTTCTCCTACACATTCCCCTTCATGTTCAACTTTGTTCTCATGGTCCGGGAGGACGCTGGCCGGGGTGATACCTTCGATATCCAAACTATCACTGTTACCCGTGGTGACACTTGGCGCAATGCTTCACGCTGGAAGCGTGGTCTTTTCTACGGCGGAACCTACCGCTCTATGGTCAAGCTCGCATTCTTCCTCTTGACTCTGGCTTCCCTAGCCACCTGTGGTCTGTGCTCTTACTCTGCCATTGAGCAGGCTATTGCCGTCTACCAAACCAACGTGGCCACCAGTTTCGGGTGCAGTGCCAACGTCTGAGCGTGGTCTTTTCTCATTTCTTAATCGCAAAAAACTGTTAAATATTTAATAAATTGTTTTCTCAATCAGATAGCTGTTTCCTTGCAATCTGGCTCGCGGCAATCTTTGCTCCTCGACACTTTCTCGACACTTCCTCAACACTTCCTCAATCCGTCCACTTCAAACCTTCCTCCTCCGCGACTTGGCATCTCCGACGTATTGTCTAACTTTGAAGCTTCGCGGTCCCGCTTACCTAACCCGTTTCGGTATGGCCCACGACCTTGAGGCAGATTTGGAGTGGTTTTATCGCCATTCCGATCCATTGTTCTTAGAACGCAACTTGGAAAGTGCCCTTTCCAGCGAACGCCGATTGCTCGGTACCACTGCATCCACGTTGGCCAGAACCGTCCACAGCGGGAAAGGTCGCGTCGTAGACCCCGGCGAGAAGGTCCCCAGCTTCAAAGCTATCTCGGAGCTCTGCCAGCCATCCAAAAAGCCTAAAATTGCCTCAGCTGATGGGTTGCAGGGCGAGCTCTGGCACAAATCGGCGAAAAAAGCTGAGAAAAAGTACACCCCATCCCCAAGCCGTCCCATTGTGGACCCAAAATATCGCAATTTTCAAAGATTGTGTGTCGTTGGTACAAGCGTAGGGAAGTTTGTCTCTCGTGTTGAAGGGCTTTTGGTCCTAAGTATTCAGACTGGCCACAGAATAGTCGAGCTGAACATTACTACTGGGCGGCCCGTTCACTTTAGGACAACTCTCGAAAACAAATCCTTCACTAATTCGCTGATACTTTTAAAGGGTAACCAAGTGAGCGTTACAACCAAAACTTTGTCCGAAAAGTTCCCGGAGCCAAGGTCCGGTGTGCCCCAGGTCAACGCTCATCTGTACCTTCGTTCTGTCACAAGCACCTCGGAATACACGGGTGAAATTCTGGTTCAGAACAACTCCCATCTGCTGTCACCGCTCGATTCTGCCGATTCGCCAATTGAACTGGCCATGAGCTTTTCAATTGTCAATCTGTCGAGCGTCTCGCCAACAAGCCTGACATACAGTTTTGGTGAACGCATTTTAGGCCCCTATAAAGAGCTGCAGTGCCCCTTCACTGGTAGAAAGTTCTCCTCCTTGGGCAAGCTCTTGAGTTTCCATGCCCGCTATCACCCCAGCTTAGTTTTTCGGCCCCATCAGTCCCCTAACTGCGAGCTCACTATCACCATCACTCCCCACGCAGACAACGTAAAGCATTCCGAGAAAATGGCTTTCCTGGAGGATAGTGCTGTTGCCGGTCTAGACGAGTTTTATTATGTTAGCCCCTTCTATGGTGCGCAGTCTGCCGCAATAGAGGAACTTACCCCGAAAGAATGCTTCTTTTCCTAGGAAAAAAAAAGTCAGATTATTTATTACGTGGTATAACTAGTTGCCCTGAAGTGCAGCAGGATTGAATCCCTCTTGGGCCATGAGCTCAAGGAATGAGCTAATGTTCATTACACCCATAGCAACGCAAGCACTCCAGCCGGTTGCACCAAGAATGTCGAATAGAGCCAAGTAAAGTCCAAGTACGACACCACCAGTGGTTGCAGCAAGAGGAATAGTCTTCCGGAGCTCTTTGATTGCGCCAGTATCACGACGACCAACAATGACCATGTCGTTGTCTTTGAGCTGCTTGGCAATGTCGCTGGGAGCAGAGCCAGAGGCCTCGGCCCACAATCTCGAGAAAATAGTGATCACGCTCAAGGTGAACGCCAAGTACACAACGGCACGAACAGAGTCGGTAACCGAGAACGAGTTGTTGGGGGGCTGGAGGAAAGAAACAAGACCGCTAGTGGCGACCATGGCGTTCTCCTCAATCGCCCAGGTGCCCAATAACTTGACGGCCGGGTTTCCGGGGGCAAGCAGGTACAGGCTGCTAGACACAAGACGCAAAACAGCAAGAAGAGAAGCCCAGAACAAAATAGGAGTGCATCCCACGTAGAGAAGACGCACAGGGAAGGTAGTAGAGGCACCTCTCATTTTGGTTGATCGGAGAAGAATCTCGTACCTAAACATCGACACGTATACGATGACGATGAAAGCAAGAAGAGCTGTCATAATATCGACCAGGTTGGGCAACGACGAGCGGAAAACACCATCAATCAAGCTGTACTTGACAGAGCGGGAGTATAGGTTGTGGGTGAGGTTTGGCAGAGCGCCAAAGAATTGGTTTCCAGACTCAGTCTCCACACCAACCAACGAAACAGCCCACCAAACAAACCGTTGGGCTGACGAAAGGGTGGTGAATGCCATCACACCGGTGCCGAGACCGTAACCTTTAGAGAAAATCTCGTCTGCTAAAATCATGAAAAGGCCGCCGGTCCAAAGCTGGAAAAGAATGAAGGCAAAGTTCTTGTAGCCCAACTCGGCAGGCGAACCGAACTTGCCGGAAAATGAAAGCAGGATGCTGAGCGAAAAGGACAAAAACATGGCCAACAGCTTCTGGGCGCTCTGGAAAAGAGCGCGATCCGATCGCAGATCGAGGCTCACGGTCAGATATCTGCGCGATGCCAGAATCTGCAGTACAAACCCGGACAACACAATTGGAACGACGCCCAGTTCGAGAGCACTGCCGTTCGAGGCAGCTAAAAGAGGGCGGAGCCAGCCCCAAGCGTCCGGCGCCGTGAGCGGGCGCACGGCGCCGTACAGCGGCAGCTCAGACAGCACACTGTAGAGAATACCAGCGGCCACGAGCCACATCGCGCGTTCTTGAACGTCTACCTTCTGGTAGGGGACCTGTACTTCGGGCATGGCAGCCACAAACGGCTTTGCCAACTCTAAGACACGCAGGCGAGCCATGATGACAAAATTCAGGCTGTTGAAAATCTGGCTGTGGATTAAAGGTGCAGGCAACCCGGTGCGAAAGGAATGTTGATTTTTATTTAATTCAATTTCGGGTGCATGCACGAGCTTTCTTTTGGGCTTTTTTCGAAACTACACTGCTCGATCTTGTTCCACCAAAATCCTACATAGGTCCTTATCGGTGCATGCCAGCCCTTACCTCTTTCATTCAATGGCTGATCAACAAGTCGACTATGGAAAAGCCCTCGATTACTGGCAGTCTACGCCAGCGACCGTGGATGGTGTTCTCGGCGGCTTCGGTAACACGGTTGTGCCCAAGGTGGATATTGTAGGCTCGCAGGCGTTTCTGCGGCGCTTGAGCACACTGAGCCCAAACACATTTCCGAACTTGACTGATCAGGTTGGCCTGGACGTCGGCGCAGGAATCGGTCGGATCACCCGAAACCTCCTGGTGAAGTACTGTTCACGAGTCGACTTGCTCGAGCCGGCCGCACAGTTTGTTGCCCAAGCCAGACTGGAACTGGCAGACCTCCCTCAGGTAACCGAGTTCTATGAAAAGGGCATGCAAGACTTTGTCTTTGAGCAAAAGTACGCGATTGTGTGGTGCCAGTGGTGTTTGGGCCAGCTGCCCGACGAGGTGCTTGTCGAGTTCCTGCGTAAATGTGCCGACAACTTGGTCCCGGGCGGTATCATCGTGGCCAAGGAGAACAACTCAACCACCGAGGACCTCTACGACGACACGGACTCCGCAGTCACTCGCACAGACGCTAGCTTCCGCGCTATTTTCGAAAAGGCTGGGTTACGTTTACTACTGACTAGTATACAAAAGGGTATGCCCCGCGAGCTGTTCCCTGTACGAATGTATGCCTTGGCGCCGGCGCTCAAGGATAGACAGATCTAGTTAGTGTCAAGTCAGATAGGAGCGAAAGACTAATTGTATTTGTATCTTCATGTCGTTCAGATGAACTATGCATTTTGGAGATCATCACTCTTAACATACCTGTTATTTCTCATGGTGAAGTAGCTGCGTTGGGTTTGAATGAATTTTTCATTTACGCTGACCATGACTAAGGGTTGTCACAGAGACGTTCGAGCATGGTCAACTATGGTTTATAAATGCTAATCCATGGTGGGCGTGTGATCCGTTTCTGTTAGAGATGTTAGACTAGCATAATTGCAACCTTTTTATAAATTAGTGCCAACCTCGTGGGATTGGCATGCGCGTTCGCACAGAAGCGAATCACAGAGACGTTAAACTAGCATAGATCGTCACTACTCTTTATAAATTAATGCCTATTCCGCCGTGTTGGCCATGTGAATCCGCACAGCAACAAGTGTATCCATTAGGAGCTTTTCAAGAAGCTGGCACTCGGACTTTGACACACCTTTCTTGAGGTTGCGTCGCAGATCTGATCGCATGAGCGCGCTCTTCAAAATGCCCAACTCTTTACTTCGTTCCCGCATGTCATCCTGGGCCATTGACCGAGGCGGCGACGAGCACAGGTTCTCCATTTCAGACAACAACGGAATGGGTCGTGGCTTGGCCATCTGACTATGCTCCTCCTTGATTGTCACGATCTCGAACGGATCGCTGGTTTCATGCAGCCGTCTGAACAGATCCATGGCATGCATGCCCGGCGTAAACGAGTCGCTGCTGTTTGGTGGTGTCGCAAGCGTGTGCGAGTCGTAGCCATCTGCGGCAGTGCGTCGCTTCTTGAAACGGGCCAAGTCCTCAGTAGGGGACTGCGGAGGTGATGAACTAGGGAAGGCCAACCGCTTGCGAGAAGGTGTTTCCGATCCCAAAGAGGACGATAACAGAGGGATCGATGGCGGAATAACAATATCAGCAATCTGACCTGAGTGAACATGGTTGATGGTAGCCACAACCTTGTCAGAGAACTCTGCCTCGATTGGTACATTGGCAAACAAACTGTTCCATTTGTCTGCCGTATGCTGTTTGTGCTCGTCCAGTGACGACTGGAACCCCATGGCAAAGATATCAGCATTGGCAATGATATCGGTGTCCTCGACCAACTTATCAGCAAAGTCAAGCACCTGAGGGAAGAAATCATTCTGTACATTATAGGTGGCCGTCACGAGCTGACGAGCCAGCTGGACCCGGAAGGATGACGCAATTCCACTTAAATTAGGTTCGAGTGCAATCAAATCGTGGGCACGGAGAGATAAAGCTCGAACAATAACAACGTTGAAATCATTGCGATTACAGAGGGGCCCCGCTTTCAAGTCCAAAAGAGTCTGTAGGTCCAGCTGATTAGCATCGTAGCGACCCATCAAAGTGACAAATGGCTCGTTCTTACCGTGTGCTTTGAGCGTAGCTGAAAACAACTCGAGCCATTTTTCCCATGCTTCTTTGTCGAGGCCCCGCTCAGGACCAACGCTCAATATGGCCAACACGTTGTCAAGATCATCACCCTCGAGTGTGCAGGGCTCTGACGTGAGCTGGTTTCTTGTCTGTTGGGCGCACGTTTTCCACACTTGGCCAGTTGGAGCAATATTAACAGCGGTGCTCAACAAACTGAGCGCTCGTCGCAACGTCCCTGTCTTATTGAGAATCTGAACAAGAGCCTGCTCGGCAGGCTTTTCATCAACAACAGCAAAAATCCTGCCTAAAATAATAGAAATCGCACTATTGGCGTGAGACTTTGCCACAGCAACCACATTGTCATCACCTAGTGCGAACCGGCGCGAAAGCATGCTCGCGACGCCGATTGTGTCGATCATAGGCATAGCGAAATCGACAACATTCGGCTCCGGTACCTTTTGAATGAATGTGAGCATACTAGCGACCATGTTGACTGAATCATTGCTCTCATGGATCTCAGAAGCCAGTGATTGTTTACAGACAGCTGCAATTGATTGCCACAGGCCCATCACGACATCAGTGCCTGCGCTCTCTCGAATATCGAGGACAAGTTCCAAAACAAGGCTGAGGTTCTGTTTGATCCACCATGTAGGAAACCCACCGATTTCTGAAAGCTCGACGTCGCTGCCGATAATTTTGGCTCGTTGAGGTTTTGACCCTGGAGTTTGAAGCTGGCCACTCCGGATAATACCATTCAAAACTTTGATAGCTTCCGTTTGCGCCTCTGAACAGCCACTGGCAAATAAATACTGCATAACTGGTGCGACAACGTTGGTCCAGACCAAGTCGTAAAGCTCTGGCGTCACCGGCTGAATGCGAAGTCCAATATATAGAAGAGCATTGAGAATACCAAGCTGTCTCTTCAAGATTACCGCCGGAACGTTATCACGTACGATTCGCAAAGGATATATCAAAAATTGTAAGCAGCGGTCGTACTGTTGGGGCTTGGTGTCAAACGCAAGAACATAAATAGCAGTGCGCCAGGCAATCAACGCGGCTTCACGGGTAGACAAGAACGCGGAATGTAATGCCTGTTTGCAGATATCTATCCATTTGACCATGAAGGGCCATTCAACAAGTTTGTCACCGCTATTTGAGTGCAGAGCCAGCAAAACATTACTCCAAATCGACATAGTGGTGCGGCTTTCCCCCTGCAATGTTACAAACACCGAAAGCCTTTGGCAGATCACATTACCACATGGCTCGCCATCAGCATCGGTCGCGTCAAATGCATCGAAAATTGCAGAAGATATGGATCGCTCACAGCTCAGTTTACGGTTGCATTCAGTCAATGTGTGAAGGGCATGTTGGCGAACCAAGGCGTTACTGTCACACAACAAGTTGACAATGGTTGCAACCCACAAAACAGCACTTGTTGCCATCAAGTTGCGATGATGAACCAGCATCATTCGGTATGCTGTGAGGTATTCAATAGCCAGCGTGGCCGAGGGGAAAGTGGGTCGCGTTCCAATGGCCTTAAGAAGACGTGCTGCCATGTCGCTCGACAGCGCTTTTGGATAATAGAGATTCGTAAAAAGCCGTATACATGCCCCAGTAAGTGCTTTGGATGCGTCAGGAGAGGCCAGAATATCGATGGCACTGCCCAAAAAGAATCTAACGTACTCGGCTTCAATTACGCTAGCGATGGGCTCCGCAGAGAACATAGCGTCCAATACCCTGTAAATCTGTACAATATTACGCACCTCTAGCACGTCTGTAGTGTTTTTAAGTGTCAAAAAATCGCGTTTTATGGCCTGGATAACTTTTCTCGCCTCGCCAGCCACCTCGGTGGCTCCTTCCCGAGTCTTTAAACATGAGTTCAAGATGGTGTATGCCTCCAGTAATGACGGCAAGCACCCTTCGTGGTCCTCGTGCTGATTTTTGCGGTAATTGTTAAACAGGATCGCGTCTTTGATGAGACCAAATACTTGCGGAGCGTTCTTGGCCGGCACGTTGGATGCGCCGCCAAACAGCTGGGATAACAAGCTCCGCGGCTCCTCTTCCGAGCAGTTCTGGACTTTTAGAATGCCATTTCCGGAACAATGTATCTTTTGGGTTCCGTTTGTTTCTGTACTGTCCTCGAACCGGACTTTTTTGCACCTTCGAGTCATGACACGAAACGCGGGTTAGGACGGCGCGTGTAAATTGAGAATCCACTTTAGCTGCAGGTCCGAGTGCACCAACGTAGGGTAATGTTTGGGATAGTACGGTTGAGGACTTGTTAGCGGAATTAAGGCAAATTAATGTACAGTTAAATTATGGATCATGTAGAGCTTATTCGGTTTTGACCTTGGTTTTGCCTTTTTGGGACCGTTTCTCGTTTTGGACTTTGACGTCATTTTTTTTGGTGCTGCCTTCTGTCGGCTCTTTCTTGACTTCCTGCTTCGTATGCGGTGTTTGCTTGCGGGTATTTGGTTGGGACCGGTGTTTTGGAGCGGGTTTTGGCTTAGACTGCTGCTGCGATTCGGGCGGCACACTGCTAGTTGACTTTGATTTGTCGTCGGGCTTTTTGTTTTTCTTGTTGTTGCCGCTGTTGTTCTTTTTCTTCTTCTTGTTCTTTTTCTTGTTGTCCTCGCTATGATTCTTTCGTTTAGATCCAAGAGTCTCGAACTGGGGAATAGAAGGGCCGTCCTTGGTATTCTTCCTCTTGACATTGTAATGTGAGTTCTCAGCATCCTCATCATCGCTCAGCTTTGCAGTTTGTTTCTTTTCCTGCGGCGGCGACCCAGGAATCTGAAGCCTGTCCCGTAACTGCTGCCTAGCCCGGTTGTCTCGCTTTTCGTTCTTGACATTTTCAAGAATGTTGTGGATCTCGTTCCTTACCTTGCTTCTGCGCTGGACAATCAGATCATAGTCGTCAATCGGCGTGTTTTCGGGCTGCTTATTGGGCTGTGCAAGATTGACATCACTCTTCACCAGGGCGGCCAGGAACGATTTCTCACATCTCACCTCCGGCTCGTACTTTTCATACTCAAAAAACATCCGCTTCAGCAGATCTGCGGCATGTGCAAACTCCTTTTTAACAACATGATAATTGAAACTCGATCGGGCAACATTATTGCCTGGATCATTGGGGTCCTGGATGGCGAGTGAGTCTGGCGTGGAGGACTGCATATCGATGGACTGCCGCTTCAAGATATGCTCCATATTCCCCGTCATGCCTAGTGCATATGTGTTGTAGTCAAAAGTTTCGCCGTAGAGTATGAAAAACTCCAACAATAGGACGCCAAGGTTCTCGAGGGGATCGATTCTATTGGCTGAGACTTGGGGGTGGTTTTTCAAAAAAGATACCACCATGCAGATTGTCGAGTACCCTCCCAAAAACCCATGAGAAACATCACTGAGACGACGTCGTCTCAGGAACTGTTTCAGCACCATAGCAAGCGGCTTCACAGCTGGGCTCTCAGATAACCAGTGTTGAACTTTTTCCACGGCTCTAGTTGCTGTTTGTTGTTCAAACGAGATATCCACTGGGATTTTGGTTTCGGCATCAATGAACTTGATAATTGGCACACGAGCACGGCTAATAACCTCGACCTTAGTGGCGTATCCATGTCTGCGAACCCGATCCGCCAGCCGGTACAGTTGTGTGCGGCTGTTTAGCCGCTGATCCTTAGACAACACAACCATATCAACATCCGCTCCGGGCAGGTGCATGCCCATGGCGTATGACCCAAACGCATGTGCTCGACAATCTGGCCATAGCTGTCTCATAACACTTCTTATCCGCGCAACGAGGTCCGCTCGAGTCTTGTTGTCGCTTTCAGTGGGAGAAACGTGTTTGACGAAATCAACGATCTCTTTCGAAAACTGCGTGGCCAGCGAGCAGTTTGTATGCTTCTGCAGCCAAGGACTCGGGTAGTCCGGTAGTGGCAGTGGGACCTTGGCGAACTGCTTCTCTCGCTGTGCTTCCTGCTCTTGTTCTTCGTTTGCTTCGAATTCGGTAAACCTCCTATTCATTTCCTCATTAACTCCTTGGTCGTCCGAGAATGCTAAAAAGTCGTCGCCGTCGTTCGTATGCCCTTCCTCTAGACCTCCCATCGATTCAGGCGTGCTCTGATCTTCAACTGTGATGATTTCCTTTGTTATCTCTGGCTCATCGCTTTCTTTGTAGTTGTACCCTATTATTCCTTGGCCAGGTACAAGCCGATCCGCTTCTTTTGTTAGAAATCCACTCGGAGAGGGCTGTGGAGAGTCGTCCTTTCTACGACCGTTAGGACGGCCACGGCCGACGTTGGAAATCAGCATGCCGGTGGCACGCCCTTTTTTTGTGGAATCCTTGATCCTTTGGATCCTTGAATTCTTGCTTTTGTGGCTATCTGACCATCCTTTCAAGGCCCGTTTCCTCGTCGGCATGAGCTGAATAATTTGTCGCTTTGGAACAAAAATAAAGAGCGGGGAATTAGTGAACGACTGGCTTTGATTCGAGCAGCGTTCGTCTTAACTTGGCACTGGCTCTTTTTATGTCTCTTGGTGCTGTGTTTATTTATGTGAAGAAAATAATCTTCATGGTTCAGCGGAGTATCTTAAGGTCCTTACTTAGTGAGCATAGGTTACCGACCAGAAAATGTACAAAAAACTAGAGCCGAATACTTGAATAACCAAATTACAGAACGCCAAGCATAATTTCAAAGGGATGAATACCGCGCAACCATATAAAGTATAACTACACAGATGAGCTTTGCTCAGGAGATCGTAATCACCCAGCATGTCGTTGATTCGTGCCGGTAGTGGAGAAGTGACACTGTAAGTACAACAAGCAACGGACGAGAGAAAAACTAACCAGACACCGGATATCCGAGACCAAAGTAGTTGTGTATGATCGCTCAAGCCGCCAATTGACGGTAGTTCCGTCGCCTAACGACCCGCCGCCGCGTGGGCCGAATGAGCATTGTCCGACGTGTGGACAAAGAATTGACAGACCATTCAACAAGCACGACTTATTCCCCGAATACTTTAGTCTCTTGCAAAGTGTTGGGCTGGACGACTCGAAGCCGCCGGTGAAAACAGGCATTTCGTCGACTGCGTTGAGCCAGGGCTACTTTGACCGATTTTTCAAAACATTGCGGCTATTAGGACGTGGGTCCCGGGCCTCAGTATATCTCGTCGAACACATGCTTGATAATTTATCAATTGGTAAATTCGCGCTCAAAAAGGTCCCTGTAGGCAACGATCGGGAATGGCTCGAGAAGGTGCTATCAGAAGTACACCTACTGCGACAATTGTCACACAGCAACCTGGTGAAATACAATCACGTGTGGCTTGAGCTTTCCAGCCCGTCCTCGTTTGGTCCAGAGGTACCATGTGCGTTTATACTCCAAGAGTATTGCGAGGGCGGCACTCTGGAGGACTATGTTTTCCAGCGAAAGACCAAACCCACACGCCGCTTATCGGCAGTAGATTCAAGTGAAAAGCTTGAACTTGGGGACGAGTATGATCGTAGTGACGATGGCCGGCTTTCAGTCTACGAGATCAAGAGGTTCATGATCGACATCACAGAGGGAACCCGATACCTCCACGAGAAAGGAGTGATACACCGTGACCTGAAGCCCTCGAACTGCCTACTGCAGTACCGCCACGCCAATGATCTTCCAACCGTGCTTCTATCAGACTTTGGCGAGAGCCAATTGGAAGGAACCATGCGTCATGGCACGGGATCCACAGGCACGCTGGAGTACTGTGCGCCAGAGCTGCTTCGACCACTGAACGGGCAGCTGCCATTGTTTTCGAAAAGGTCAGACATGTTCTCAATTGGCATGATACTGCATTTTCTCACCTTCTCAGATCTGCCCTACTCCGATGCCTGGCAGTCTCACGGCGACCTAGAGGCCCTCAAAGCCGAAGTGGCCTCGTTCGCGTTCAACTTTGGGCACAGCAACACAAGCATGCACAGAACAGACCTTGGTGCGCTTATACCGTTGATGAGAAACCTGCTGGGTGCACCAGAAGTTCGTCCCACCGCCAACGTGCTGTTAACGGCTCTTGAGTTCGTGGACGTCCCTCAAGTCCCGCCCCAAGCCATAGGCAAGCGATTGCCGGCAATTACACAGGATGCTATTCTGAGGATTATAAAAATATTGAGTGTATGCATTATACCAGCGTCACCAACGATACTCCGCGTTCTTGGATCGCTGGCGGCTGCCGAATGTGTGATAGGGTGGCCCGTGCATTTGTTTGTGGGGCACTGGGCAATTCTGCTGGGGGCCAAGATATACGACCAGTACACAAATTAAGGGATGCATACTGTATTAACAAGCACAACCATTCTGCTGAGCCCGATTGAGGTCCAGAGCTCTCCGTTCTGCGCGCTCCCGCTCTCGTTCGACGTCCTCGATAGGCATGCGTTCTGCAATGGCCTTGAACATTTCCTTGACGCTTTCACCGGTCTTGGCTGAAGTCTCGAAATACAAAAGACCCGCTTCGCGAGCGTACTCTGCAGCCTCTTCGCGATCGACCTGTCTCTTGCTAGTGAGGTCAGCTTTGTTCGCAGCCAGGGCAATGACAATGTTGTCGCTAGCCTGCAGTTGGAGCTCCTTTACCCAGGATTTTGCGCGGCCTAGCGATGTAGAGGAGGTCAGATCGAAAACTACAACCGCGCAATTTGCGTTACGATAGTACATAGGGGCCAATGACTTGTATCTCTCCTGGCCGGCGGTATCCCAAATCTCAAACTTGATAACAGTGTCGGGTTCCAGGCGGACGCTCTGGGTCAGAAAGGCAGCACCGATAGTTGATTGGCGGAACTCGTCGAATCGATCTTTTGCGAATCGGTTCACCAGTGATGACTTCCCCACGGCAGACTCACCAAGTAAAACAAGTTTGAACTGGGCAAAGCGCTCGCTCATAATTTTACAATTAGTGGATCGCCAACAATTTCTTCCAGACTTGGAGTGTAAACTATAAAAACACCTCGAATTCTAGCAAGTTGTGGCCAGCGGTGCGGCCAAGGTGGGTACTTTGAATTCTGGGTTTGCCTTCAGATAGGTGATGCTAACTCAGCAAACCTCTTTTGAGAGTCAGCACACCCTTTGGCGTCGAGAAGCGGCTAGTAATCAACCGTCCCTTGTAGAGGGTGGAAGAGCCCATGTAATTTAGTGCGAATCGAGCCTGGCCCTGGTCCGTCTATAATTGCCGTGGGCCAAGACAGATATCTGGAGGACAAACCGGGTTACGAGGAGTATCAATGGTTTAATTAGCAGGGTAGATAAATACAGTAAGCTGTCGCGTGGGGTCGATCTAGTCTGATTAGGGGGTAGCCTCGTGAATGGGAAGCCTAAACTACTGGAATTTAGATGTAGGGCGTCTAACGCCTCAGATGAGGCGAGCAAGCGAATTATTTGCGGGACCCGTTGCACCAATATTCAGCTATGAAATAACTAAATAATCAGCTCAAATAATTAACTCGATTAACGTTAAGCCCGCTTTTTCCAGAATTTTTTTTTCTCCCTCTGGGTACATGCTGGTCGCAAGGCCGCACGGTCCATTGTTTTGATGCAGCACCCCCTTGGGGAGAAACGCCCGCAACGTCCCATAGCAACCGGCACTGAATGGAGCAATCAGGCGCAAATTGCTGATCAGCAGAGCTCTCAATTACAGATCAACTGATTTGTATCAATTATACGTATATATACGAGGTTAACACAGAAAATCGCGATGCAATCGCCGGACCTTTTGGGTGCTGATGGGAAAGGCACGTGAGCCGACATGAGGCAGGACGGGTGGTTTTTTTAAGGAAAAATACACGTTATAGCCTTTTAGATACAAGTAAAAGAAAATTGGACAGAAAGGGCTGTCTAAAAAAAGAATGTACTGGCCTCACAGCAACCACCATCTCATTCATGTGCCCTGAGCTGACGATGGGCTGCAACTCCTGTCTCCTGCATTGCCTAGCTTGGGCTGCATAGGTGATTTCATAATCGGGCTATGCCGTTTTTGAATTGTACGTTTGCAAGCAACCGAGTTAAAATAGATAGCATATACACGATGGAAGGAGATGGCCGCTGCCTTCACATGAATTTTTTCCAGTCGCTGTTTTTATCAAATAGCAACGCGAGCTCAACAGACTCTACAATGGAATAAGGGGCTGCGACATGAAGATCCGCTCCTGCTTTACCCTTAACAATGCGCACATCCATTTTTTGGCAGCGATGACTAAAGTAGCACAAGTCCGCCATATGATCATTCTTTAGTCGGCACTGGTATGCTCTGCTTCGTGTTGATAGCGCCAATGAAGGTGCCAGTAATGTCGAATATTGCCATAGACTTTCTGTAAACTATTCAATACTTGAAACGTCGCCATTTCTATTTATAGGTAGGTCATGAGATAGCATGTCCCAAAAAACGTTGCGGAAGCCGAGCTTCGGTTGCCGGCCACAATGCTTTACGGCTGACAAACACCATTCCAAATTAGGCAGGAGGCAAGCAGACGCACATGCATGGTTATGGATAGGACATGGACAAAAACCAAGAGGCGGCGAGTACCAATATACTGGTACCATGTGGTCAACACCCACTGCTTTAACAAAGGGGAAAAAAACCTTAAAGGCTAGTACGTGTGTTGACTCAACGCATATGCGCCAGCCTTTTTCGTCTCTTTTGGGACGTAGATCTGACTGCGTGCAAAATCTTCTGCATATGCAGGCATGAGCGGCGCCAAAAAGTATAAATTATGGCACCTCCCTGATTATCTCCCACAACACAACAATGGTTTCTCGCACTTTCGTCCTCTCTTCCATCGCCGTCGCTGCCGCTGCTAATAGCACTGCTTCCTCTAACGTCACCAGCTCTGCTAATGGCACTACCACTACCACCGTTGTTACTGAGTTCACCACTTACTGCCCTGAGCCTACTACCTTCACCATGAACAACAAGACCTACACCGTCACCAAGCCCACCACCTTGACCATCACTGACTGCCCTTGCACTCTTACCCACACCTCTTCTGCTTCTGTTGCCCCCGTTGCCCCTACCACTGCCGGCCCCGTCTCTACTGCCAACGCCGCCGTTGCCAAGGGTCTCTCTGCTGCCGTTGGTGTTGCCGCCGTCGCTGCTTACTTGCTTTAAATTGACCTGATACCTGACCACTTAATACACACAGCTTTTAGCAATTAATTTTTTGTATTGTTTTAGTATATTTCTTAAAACTTTTTGCACTACCTCGACCAATCCCAAGCCGCCGATCCGTTATCAATGGGCTGCCACCGCTTTGATCCCGATCGGAAAAACCCTAACCTAGCTGAAAAATGGCCTGCCGGGCCGCATGTGCGCTATCTGCAACGCCAAGACGCATTTTTTTGTCGCATTTTGGGTTGCCGCCGGGGCGTGTCGAGGCAGGTTGGCGAGCTCCTAGATGAACAAAAACTGTCTACTTGATAAATAAATACGAGATTATAGCTATATGTTCACTTTGCCGGGGAAAAAGCCGAGCGTTGCGGCCCTTCGAAAAACCACAGTATTCAGGCACAAAAACCTCCGATCTGGCACTAAACCGACCTGTTGCAACGTTTCACGCAAAAACATTTCGCGTTTTCCTCGTCGCTAACCCATTTAGCAAACTCCACCTCCAGCCGTCTCTGATCCCACTCACACCCACCCATTACTTTGGGTGACTAAGTCTGAAAATTGTTTTTCAGTAACCTTTGATTGTACAATGAGTGGCGACCATTCCCGCGACCCCTGCCCGATGGTTATTGTTAATGATTTTGGTGGTGCGTTTGCCATGGGTGCCATTGGTGGCACTATCTGGCACTCCGTCAAGGGCTTCCGCAACTCCCCCGTTGGCGAGCGCTGGCAAGGTGTCAAGTCTGCCGTCCGCTTGAGAGCTCCCACGTTGGGTGGTAACTTTGGCGCCTGGGGCGGTATGTTCTCTTTCTTCGACTGCACTGTCAAGGCCGTGCGCAAGACCGAAGACCCCTGGAACTCTATTATCTCTGGGTTCTTGGTCGGCGGTGCCCTGGCTGTTCGTGGTGGCTGGAAACACATGCGTAACAGCGCCATCATCTGCGGCTTCATTCTCGCCGGTATGGAGGGCGCCGGTATTGCCATGTCCCGTATGATGGCCGAGAACCCCGTTGCTCCCGCGCTCCCAGAGGCTCCGTTGGCTGCTGCCTAAACCCCAGTATGAATTTATGAAAAAAATTGAAACCAAAAGAGATTCCTGTATATATTGAATTGAGTTACCACTATTTCCAGTTAGGAGAACACAACCGCGTCTTTAGGTTGCGACGGAATCCCTCATCATAAATATTGTGCACCGACTCATGACTCGTGATTTGAACTAATGGCGCCTTATACTTTGACACCAGCTGCTGTTCTTGGCTGTTCAAGCTTCGATGCCATGTGCCGTCGCTAAGACGCTGCAACACAATGCTTTGTTTCGTTTCCGCCGGCAGCTCGTACATGTACAGCTTGCCCTCGTCCATCAGCTCGTTAACATCTTCCCATTTAGTGACCTCGTTTGTAGTTGCACCAACATAAATATATTTGACCTGAGCGGCAATGAAAACAACATTAATGATTCCGAGCAGAACGCACAGAATCAACATACAGGCAGCGGCACGGTATCCTCTCCCCACTCGTAGAATCGACCTAAACAAATCTCGGCCACGATGTCCTTGCTCCAACAAATCGGGAATCAGCCGCAACAGAATCGAAGACGTCACGATGCCGCCGTAGATGAAAATGTACAGGGTGGTAAATAGAAAGGCCATAAATTGCTTGTAGTTGTTCGCACCTATGCAGCGGTTAAGGAACAGGCAATGGTGATCCGCCAAGGCAATGCATCCGTTACATGTAGAGCAGTGCCTGCTTCGAGCCGGTTTCTCAAAGTGACATGTTCTGCACTCATTCATGGGCATAAACAGTATTCGGTCATACGGGTAAACACTCATTACTTTTGCATGGTTGGCTCGAGTAATTAGCCCAGGGTCGGAAAGAACTCCCCAAATAATAGTTACAATTGGAATTGGATAGTTCAGCGGGATCCATAGCCGGTGCGTTGCCGACTGCAGCAGCGGCAGACAGTGCCTGTGAAATTCGTAAAAGAAATACCCCATCAAACCGATATAACCTATAGGAACAAGATAGCCTCCGTACCTCGAAATGTAATGCCAGATAAAACGACCAGATCCTCGTGACTTTGACCCATAAACAATGCTATAAACGACCACCAGAATGACCCCCGGCAGCACCAGAAGCCACATGGATTAGTCACACACACGAGCCCTCCCTCAAGTACCACTTCATGGAACCACTTAGGGCTTAGGGGCTATAGCACGTCACAGCATGCAGCGAGCGCCCTCCCCGGACAAACATTTCAGGTGTAGCGCTCACAAGCCCTTCATACCCTCAATGTCCCGTCCTCAGGTTTCTGTCTACAACGGCAGCTCTGTTGCTAGCACCGCTGCTCTGCCCGCTGTCTTTGCTACCCCCATCCGTCTGGATATCGTCCACGACGTTTTCACCGCTGTCAACAAGAACAAGCGTCAGGCCTACGCCGTTGCCCGCAACGCCGGTGAGCAGACCTCTGCCGAGTCCTGGGGTACTGGTCGTGCTGTCGCCCGTATCCCCCGTGTTAGCGGTTCCGGTACCTACCGTGCTGGTCAGGCTGCTTTCGGTAACATGTGCCGTGGCGGTCGTATGTTCGCTCCCACCAAGACTTGGCGCCGCTGGCACGTCAAGGTGAACCACAACGAGAAGCGCTACGCTACCGCTTCCGCCATCGCTGCCTCTGGTGTTGCTCCTTTGGTCCTGGCTCGTGGTCACCGTGTCGAGCAGATCTCCGAGGTCCCTCTCGTTGTCTCTAACGACCTCGAGTCCGTCTCCAAGACCAAGGAGGCCGTCGCCGCTCTCAAGGCTGTTGGCGCTCACGAGGACGTTGTCAAGGTCCTCAACTCCAAGAAGCTCCGTGCCGGTAAGGGTAAGCTGCGTGGCCGCCGTCACACCCAGCGCCGCGGTCCTCTCGTCATCTACGCCAACGACAAGGGTCTTGTCAAGGCTTTCCGCAACATCCCCGGTGTCGAGACCTGCGATGTCCAGCACTTGAGCTTGCTCCAGCTTGCTCCTGGCTCTCACCTCGGTCGCTTCGTCATCTGGACCGAGGCCGCTTTCAATCTCCTCGACAAGATCTGGGGTGCTGAGGGTGTCGAGTCCGCCAAGTCTGGCTTCTCTCTGCCCAAGAACATCATCTCCAACGCTGATGTCACCGGCATCATCAACTCTTCTGAGATCCAGGCTGCTCTCCGCGAGAAGGGTCAGTCCAAGCAGAAGCGTACCCACGTTCTCAAGAAGAACCCTCTCAAGAACAAGCAGGTCCTTCTCCGTCTCAACCCTTACGCCAAGGCTTACGCTGAGAAGAAGCTCGGCTTTGCCAAGGTTGAGAAGACTACTTCCAAGACCCCCAAGACCTTCAAGAAGCTCTTGCACGAGAACTAAGCTCTTTCTAAAAAGATTTTTGCCAAGTATATAGTAGTTGGTCAACCTTAATTTTTTTTTCTATATGAAAAGAGGCCCTGGCCCCTTTCAATCAAGCGTGGTACTGAAATGCCTGATTGGGTGGGTGATCTGCGCCATGAATAGCGTTGTAAAGCCCAAAGAGTGCCACACTTGCAATTCCAATTAGCCGCAACGAGAGCCAAATCATTTTAGCTCGATTCATCTCACCAACCTGTGGTCGCATTTTGGCAGCACTATGGGTGAAACTGAGCAGATCTGGGCTTAAGTATTTGAATTGGGTCGAAAAATGGGGATAATACTACTCAAAGAAGTCAATTACTGATTACACGCACTCGGTGCGAATTAGGAAAGTTCAGGTGTAGCTGGTACAGTTAAACGGGCCCTGATAAGGCAGGGATATCGTCAATGCTGGTAGCAAAGCACCACATCTCCTACGATCTGTATCATGTTCGGATTGATAGTGTTCACTAATAATACTGCCATTATCTGATGCTAGGCTCGAGGGCTTTTTGGGACCAAGCATGGGCATGCCCTCGTCCCCAGTTTTGCAAGTGCCTCGAGAGTACCGCCGTTTCCTAAGCCAGTACGACGAATTGAACGGACTGAGCCGACAGAAAAATTCCTTGAGACTTGAATTTTTCATTCAGCAAACTATGAAACAGGGCCAAATGGCCAGCGGTTTACGGGATCTTATAAGCGCCTGCGCCTAAACCTTATTTCAGACTTGCTATTTCCAAACTGGTGTGTCAGGACCCTTGATAATTTTGTCTGTTTTTTGTTCAAAGCTCTTGATGAAGGCCTCGTTCTGATGATAGTTGGTTATCTCTTTCCGCTCAACTGCATTTTGCCATGCCTCGTGGAAATCGAGCATCAGCCGCGTGTGCATCGTCGCGAGCTCCTGAGGGAATGTGGTATGTGTGCAACTTGCACTTTCCCAAATGAGAGCCATGCATACCGGGTCGTCCATCATTTTGCGAACCAGGAAATGCGTCAGACGAATTGAGACTAATGCAACAGGGTACCACGGCGTATCGAATGCAACCGCAGTCGAGCCAGGAGCAGATCCGGACTCTATAAATATTTGCTTTGCGTGGGGGTGTGTGCAGAACGCTTCAAACTGATCCAAACCTAATGCACCGGTGCCTCGAAAGTCTGTTGTGGGGTCTTTGCCTTGAAAGCCAAGCTTCACCCAATCGCAGCCGGCGTTACCAAGTTTACTTGGGTCCAGATGCTTTTCGGGCTCAAACAGACCGCTATACACTGTAGCCAACCTAGAACTTGTAGACTCGTCCCAGTGCACCGGCTCGTGACTTTTGCTCGCTAAGTAGTCCAATGCCTGGGAAAGATCCTCGTTCCACACAATGGACGCCACCTTGTCGTATCGGTGGCTCGGACCGCGCATATGTAGCGCCCGGTGAACTATAGCCACCCACATGTACGAGTGCTTAAGAAGCGCCGCGGTAAGAAGCCACTTCCGGCTTCGCAGCTCAATGCTCCACCGGGCTAGGTGATGGGGATTGCTCCCAAAGTACCCCAATACCACAGCAAGCGCCGTCCATGCCGAAACCGCTGCCTTTTGCACCATTTTTTAACCTGCCTTATCCCAACCTCTGGGAATTCGTCCGGTTTGCAAACTGACTCAAAGTGAAAGATGACGAATTTTTTCTCCCAACCACACTGCAAACCGCTGGATTAAGAGGGATTGTATGGTCCTGAAGTCGACTCGAATAATCCGCCGATACTTTTGCAACACACACCGATTACAGACAAGAATGGCCAGCACCACTGATTTAACCGCCCGACTCCAGAAGCTGGGCATTTCCGATTTCCCAGCCTACCCCAAGGCGCAGCCTGATCTGAACCCGGTCGACATTTTCCGGTCGTATATTTCCGACGAACTGTCCAAGATTTCCGGCGTCGACCGCGATCTGATTTTCCCCGCTTTGGAGTACACAAGCAACCCTGAGCGTGGCGATATGGTCATCCCCGTCCCCCGTCTGCGGGTCAAGGGCGCGAAGCCGGACGTGCTTGCCAAGGGGTGGGCCGACAAGTTCCCTGCAAACAAGTACGTTGACTCGGTCACCGCGAACGGCATGTTCCTCCAGTTCACGTACTCGGCCAAGCTGCTGTTCAACATAGTGATCAACGACATCTTGACCCTCAAAACCGATTTCGGTCGATCCGACGTTGGCAAGGGCCAGACTGTAGTCGTCGAGTTTTCGTCGCCTAATATTGCCAAGCCTTTCCATGCTGGCCATCTGCGTTCGACCATCATTGGCGGTTTCCTCAGTAACCTCCACGAGAAGCACGGCTACAAGGTCGAGCGTATCAACTACCTGGGCGACTGGGGCAAGCAGTTTGGTCTTCTGGCCGTTGGATTCGAGCGTTATGGTTCCCGCGAAAAGCTCCAGAGCGACCCTATTAACCACCTCTTTGAGATCTACGTCAAAGTCAACCAGGAGAAGGACAACGAATTGGCCACTAACGATGGCAAGTCTGAGACTGACGATTTGGCCCGTCAGTACTTCCGCAAGATGGAGGATGGTGATGAGAAATACCTCACTTTGTGGCAAGAGCTCCGTGATATGAGTATCGAAAAGTACAAGGAGACTTACAAGCGCCTCAACATTGAGTACGATTCCTACTCGGGTGAGTCTCAGGTTCCCAAAGAGAAAATAGCCCGGGTCATGAAAGAGCTCAAAGAGAAGAACCTTGTTACTGAGGATAAGGGCGCTCTGTTGGTCGACTTCGCCAAGTACAACAAGAAGCTCGGCAAGACTCTTGTTCAGAAGTCCGACGGAACTACTTTGTATTTGACCCGTGATGTTGGCGAAGCTATCAAGCGTTACGAGACTTATAAGTTCGACAAGATGATTTATGTCATTGGCAGCCAGCAGGATCTGCACACCGCACAGTTCTTCAAGATTATTGAGCTCATGGGTTACGAATGGGCCTCCAAGCTCCAGCACGTTAATTTCGGTATGATCAAGGGTATGTCTACCCGTAAGGGAACTGTTGTTTTCCTTAGCACTATCATCGAGGAGACTAAGGATGCAATGCACGAAGTCATGAAAAAGAACGAGATCAAGTACGCGCAGGTCGAGGACCCCGACAAAGTTGCCGATTTGGTTGGTTTGTCTGCCATCATGGTTCAGGACATGCAGTCCAAGCGTAATCTCAACTACGAATTTGACTGGAGTCGTATGTTGTCCTTCGAGGGTGACACTGGCCCTTACTTGCAGTATGCTCATTCTCGTCTCCGCTCCATGGAACGAAATGCCAACTTCACTGAAAAGGAGCTGCTCAATGCCAACTGGGATCTGCTCACTGAGCCCATCGCTGCTACCCTTATTCGCACACTTGCTTCATGGCCTGATGTCACTTCTACCGCCTTGAAAAACCTCGAGCCTAGCACTATCCTTACCTATCTTTTCAAGATGACCCACATCGTCTCTTCTTGTTACGACGTTCTCTGGGTTATGGGACAGGAGCGGGAGCTCGCCATTGCCCGCATGGCTCTTTATTCTGCTGCTCGCCAGGTCCTCTACAACGGCTTGGTCCTCCTTGGCATCACTCCTGTCGACCGCATGTAACGATTGCTTTAATCTGAAATAATAAAATTAAACAAATTAACAAAACTACGCTAAAGCTCCTTGTGAGATATAATCAGTAATTACCCGTAATTTATCGTTGTGCGAGGCCAATGAATCGATGAATACGTCTTCTTTTACAGCTTCAAGTTGGCTGCGCCTGATCACCTCAACACTCTGCTGCTCGGGCGAACAAATTCGACAATACCCAGATCCAGTCGAACAGCGTTGGTGATAAGAGTGCTTGCATGCAAAATGTACCACTGGAAGGTCTAAAGGTAGCCCACATCCTGCGCAATCCGAATACTTGACTATCGGCAAGTCAGAACCAAGTTTTTTCCGCTCTGACTCAGTTTCTTCACGATAAGACTTTGTCAGTTTAGAACTGCGGTCAATTTCTGCTCGTTCATTTCTGATATGGTTCTCCAGGAACGGCCGCAGATCTTGAATTGTTATATGCGGCCGTGAAACAAGATCTATAATTTGAACCGGCGATAGAACCCTCAATTGTACGCATTTATTCAGGAGCTCCGTGAAATTTGGCCGAATCTTTTCAAAGGCGTCTGCCTGGGAAACAAAATGCTTGACTGCAACGAGAAGAACTTCAGGCTCAGGGTTGCTCTCGAGAAGGACAAGTGCCTCATCAATCTTTTGAGCTTGAATCAAATCACGGAATTTTTCTGCTGGAGAGCCTCCAACCGACGTTAGCTCGGGCGCCAAGGTGATGTTTGCTAATTTGATCGCCAAATTATCAGCCAGATGACTATGTTCATCAATCAATCGTGCTGCTTTGTAGTTCCAAGAAGGGTCCTTCGAGGTTCTGGCAGCGCTGAGGTATGTCTCATAGAGTGCCGTTGTCAAATCTGCCAAATCGTTTTGTGATGGCTGAAAATCGGCAGCGGCTTCGAGACAAGCCTCTAAGAAGATCACAAACTCATTCTCATGGCCAATGAATGAAGGGAAAATCAAGCGAGGATTCGGTGGCAGATATGTTGGTGTTTTTTGTTCTTGCAGAGTTTCTGCGTTAACTAAATTACCACCCAAGTAGCTCGCGGTCTTCAGGTAGCTCACAAAAGCCTGATAGCTTTGGAGAACAGGTGCAACAACTGTGCTCTCTTTTGCTTCTTTTTCTGGTTCCTGGAGTTCTTCTGCGGGCCGTTGCACGAATTTTCCGGTAAACAGCGAAATGAGAACGGCGGTTGTCTCAACAGGCAACTTGTTTAGAAGGCTGCGAGAGTTTTGAGTTAAAATACGAAGCGCATCTGCGACGGAAACAGTAAAAATGTAATCCAAACAGCCCTTAGGATCATTCATTTCTAACTTGATCTGTACAACAAGATCGGGGTCTGGCCATATCTGCGCTAGGCGGGCGGCAAGGTTGAAATAGTTCGACTTTCGACAAACCTGAATTGTAGATTCGAAATCAAAATCTTGGAATTCTGATGAACTGCTAACAAGGTTGGAGAGCTTTTCGTAGTCATGCATGTTTGTGTAACAGATAACCAACAAGGTCATATGTTCGGGTTGGGCAAGCCCATTTTCGAGCAATTTTTCAAGGTATGTCGCCAGATGTGTAACCTTGTGCGAGTCTTTGTACCTCAGGATAACATGCGAGGTGTTTCCGAGCTTAATAGATTCAATATAATGCTCCAGAGCGCCCTCTTGGTCACCCCTTTCCTGGAGGAAGTCAGCATACTCTTGGTGCAGCAGCAGCACTTCCTTGGAATCAATACCATTCGTCATTGAAAGAGCCGTCTTGAAGAGTTGCTGTTCCCTCAGAATGTTCAATTGCTCCAACGGAGTTTTCTCCTTCAGAATATACAATACGCTGTCTGGGCCAAGAACGTTGAGTCTATCCCACTGCACAAACATATGCTTGACCGCCAGATGTCCCTGGTATGCGATAATACTATTTCTAGTATCCACAATGATTAGTTTCAACGGATCTCCAAGAAGCGAGTGTTCTTGAGAGACAATTACAAGGTAGTGCTTGTAGCAGCTAATGCTCTTTTTTGTACAGGCAAACTCAATTGCGGGTCCTCTTTGATAAGGAGTATAGTAGCAGATTTCTTTTTCTCTCGCGACAATAAGCTGATTGTCAAGGGAGGTGACGCAGCCCAGATCGGCTCCTTTAGACTTCTCAAGAACCGTGGGGGGCTTCCCAACTGTTGATACAGTCGCAATTTGACTCAACGAAGCAACAAACACGTTTGTGTATTCATCATCCACGAATTCTAGGCCAGTAATTGCGGTGGGTGCATTATAAACCAGTCTTTGGCGAGCGCCTCGATCGTGTAAAACATCTCCACGCACGACAATCACTGCACCATCAGCATACCCAAATACCATGACCGAAACATCCGGAGCCATAGCAAATGTTGTAATAGGGAATTCGTTGTGCTTCACTTTTATTCGTGATAGAATGCTCGGTCCAGTTGCCTTCATTTTACCCATGTTCCACACGGTAACGACAGCAGGTTCACCTTGTCTTGTGGCCACAGAAACAAAATAGAAGGTGCTTGGTACACCCCTGAGGAAGTCAATTGTCCATCCATCCTCGATTGCAGTCGTGAGTAGTGGATTCAGCTCTTTGTCGAACTGTCTGATCTCTCGCCGCGTAGAGTACAAGACTGTATCATTGGCCGGCGTGATTGCAGTGAGCTCTTCAGAAAATAGCGAGGGATCAATTACTGGAGTAATTCCAAAGAATGGAAGTTCCCGCCATCCCGACATTGCGCTTCCGTGGATGTTCGCCTACGCCAAGTCTGAAGGTGATGACAAACCTGCTAGTTGCCAACCTGAAAACATCGTGCGCTCAGATTTCTTGAGCTAGGGTAGGTGGTGAAAAATATTTGTGTATTTGAAGTAGTAAGTATGTGTGAAAGTAGCGATCGAGCTTTCATACTCTAGAATGAAATGTTTCGAGGATGTATTGACAAGGATACCCATTTACACCTAAAAAAATCTATGGAATAGGTCACTTAGCATAGTAGAACGCGAAGAGTGTCGGCTGTGTTTATCGATGTTTTGCACTTCTGTCAAGATTGCTCTGGAAATTGCGAGTTTGCGTTGCTCATACCAACGTCATAACCATTGATGACGACACACTGTCGTATGCTTCTATTGCGGAGAGTTGCTACAGGGGTAAATGGCGCAGATCCAAATCAGGCATCTCCACAGCCGATAAAAAAATGCCAAATTCATAGACCCCAACAAATCCGATATAGTCTAGTGGCTAGGACATCACGCTCTCACCGTGAAGGCCAGGGTTCAATTCCCTGTATCGGAGTTTACTTTTTTGCGTCTTTTTGGCTCTTCGTTATTAAGATCATCTTCAACGGATCGTTAAAGATGTGAATCAAATCAATTGAGCTTAAAGTTTGCACGGTACGTCGCGGTTCACAAGCCCCTTGCCGCCTTCATACTGTCTTATTTGACAAAGGCAACCTAGAAGCTGGCACCAAGGATTGCTTTTATAGGAAAAGCATGTGATATTATTTGGTAAAAAAAATGGGTTGCTTCCATGTTTCTGGTTTAGACCTGTCCCACTAAAGCACATGCATGGTCCTGCCTCCCTGCCGATCCTACACGCATCTTACTTGCCCAATGCAGCTTTTTTCTCTAGCTGCTTCATCTTGAGGTCAGGTACTGCTATATGTATATAAATTAGGTATGATCAGTTGTTTCTCCTACATGCTACGTACTATCGCTTTATTTGCCGGCTATGCTCTGGCCCAGGAATATCGGCCAGTAGTTCCACATGGTCGCGAGGAACAGCTGAGACAGAACGCGTATGTAGATGTTATCAGCACAGTTGTCGCTCCTGCCACTCAGGTTTTTCATACTACAACTGATGTTTGGGTAGAAGTTTATCCACCTGTTACCACTGAAGATGTTACAGTGTTTGTTCCGCCGCCTACGCACACTGACGTTTATTGGGATTACGATGACGATGACGACGATGTCTATGAAACTACAGTAGTCGTTACTGCCCTCCCTGGGTATTCCACTACTTGTGAGACTAGTACTGATTACGTCGATAAGACCATTGTTGTTCCACCGGCTATCACATCGACCTCTGACCAGTCAACCACGCTTCCTCCGGTTGATACTACGACAGGAGAAGGTAGCACTACTGACTTGACCGACCTTACAACCTTCCCCATAACGACAGCTACAACTGAATCAACAAGTGAGTCACAGACTGTGCATACGACCGTACCATCGACCGTGCCAACCACCGATTCCACATCCGGCGTGACTACCGAATCTACGACTGACGTAACAACCGGTACTACAACTGATTCAACTTCTGAAACTACAACTAATCCAGCAACCGACACAACCCCGAGTGCTAGTACAGAAGTTGAGACGACAACTTCAAATGCTCTACCTTCCACTATTTTGCCAAAGGCATCTACTCCAGCTCCGCCCGCAAAGTCAACACCTCCACCTTTCACTCCGACTCTACCACCTCAGGCAGAAAACTCTGATATCATTCCCGCCAATGGCGCATACAACCTGCAGCCTCTGGGCTCTGCACTCTACTTCCTCCTGGGTATTCCACTCTTGTTTTGATTTTAATTGAGCTATTATAACTATTAGATAACATCGAAACCCTCCATATAAGATTCAGAATGGCATATATAACTGGCCTTTCTAAAGTACCCTCATTAACAGGAACATGCTTAACCTTGCCCTGACTGATAAAAGCCGTTTGGGGGAAGGTCTGGGGTTATCCGCTGAAATGAGCATTTCACTTGGACCCTCTGAGCACGGTCAGCCCAAGAAGCCTTGGGCTTGGGTGGCAGCAGCTGCTGTATATGGCTTACTGGAATTGACGGTGGGCGGTCCTGTTGCGTTCTTGGCCAGCAAGGCTCCCGAAGCAGCATTTCACCCATCGAGCGCCGTGTGCCCACTGAGTGAGCCGCTTATTCCTTCTGGCGGTTTCAGGGATTCCAGCCAGTTTCTGGAAGAAGATTATGTGAAGCAGTCCGTTGATTTCCTTGCTGGTGCTATCAAAATTCCAACCCAATCGTTCGATGAAATGGCTAGCGACCCTCTCAAGGATGATCGCTTCAACATATTTGCAGACCTTCACCAATATCTATTCGATACATTTCCACTAACTGCTGAAAATGTTGAGAAAGTGAATACTTACGGTCTCTTGTATACAGTCAAGGGCAGTAGTAGTAGTCTTAAGCCTCTTATTTTGATGGCGCACCAAGACGTTGTACCAGTGAATCCGGAAACAGTCGACCAGTGGGAACACCCACCATTCTCTGGGTTCTATGATGGGGAATGGATGTACGGTAGAGGTACAATTGATACCAAGAACACTCTCATAGGTATTTTGGAGGCTACAGAGAGCCTCTTGGGCCAAGGGTGGCAGCCTGAGCGTACCATTCTCATCTCTTTTGGGTTTGATGAGGAGGTTGAGGGCAAGCGTGGCGCTGGAAAGCTTTCTTCTCATATCGAACAACGATATGGTAAAAATTCTATCGAGGCTATCGTCGACGAAGGCAGTGGCGTTACCGAAAGCTATGGCGCTTTGTTCCCACTTGTTTCGACAGCTGAGAAAGGTCTTATCGATATCAAATACTCCGTCGAGGTTCAAGGTGGTCACTCGTCTATGCCCCCAGATCACACCGGAATTGGAATTCTTGCCGATTTGATCTTGAAGCTCGAGGCCGACCCGTTCAAGCCCTACCTCGATTCAGAAAGTGTTACTGCTCAAACATACTCTTGCTTTGCAACTGCGCCCGAAGCAGATGATGAAATTCGTGAGATTGTAGCTCACCTAGGGGACTCCAAATACTTGCAGAAGCTGATTGATATTTTGAATGCCGACCGCGCCACACGTTTCTTTATTCAAACTAGCCAAGCTGTTGACGTTATCAGCGGAGGTGTCAAAATTAACGCACTACCTGAGCACGCTTTCGTCAAAGTGGACCATCGTGTTTCTGTCGATGAGACCGTGCAGTCCGTGTGGGACAGGGGCCTACGACATGCTAAGGGGATTGCCCAAAAGTACGATCTTGGGCTTGTAGAGAGTGGGAAAGTAGTTTTCGATGGTATGATGGGCAATCTCACCATCGATGTCTCTGATTGGACAGAGACAGCACCAAAATCACCGACCTCGGGCAAATTCTGGGACATACTCTCTGGTGTAAACAAGCACGTTTTCAACAGCGTGCTCAAGTACGATCTACCTGTGATAACTGCACCATTGGTAATGTTTGGAAACACTGACACAGCAAATTATTGGAATCTTACTAGCAGCATCTATCGCTACACTCCACTGCAAGAGAGCGATGGAGCGAATGCCCACACCGTGAACGAGAAAATCAGATTCCGTGGACATCTCGGTACGGTCATTTGGTACTATGAGTTTTTACAATTCGCCTCAACTAGCTAGTTTTATTACGTAGTTTTACCGTCAGACCTGGAAATCACCAGCTCGTGATGTCGTTCTACTTAGTAACCGCCTCTCCACGATGGATCAGCTTCTCCAGCACGCGATGTCGAGCGATGTTGTAGCGCGTCAGACCGCCGAGACTGCCATTGAACAATACGTTGTGTCAAGGCCAGATGATTTTTTCAATGATATTTTCAGAATTGCCCATGCTGAGGACTCCACAAAGGAGATGGCTCATATGACAATGCTTGTCGCTAAAGCGGTGATTTTACGGCACTGGGGCCCAGAATTCGAGCAGTTTGAAAGGCCTATGCTCGGACCTGATACAAAGACGAATGTTCGGCGAGAGCTTCTTAATATTGTGGGCACTTCTGCCTCTCCTAAGGTGAGAGCTACCGCTGCGAGTGTCGTATCCAGAATCGGTGGTAACGAATTCCCAGATCAATGGCCTGACTTATTGGAAAACAATATGAAACTATTGCGGTCCGAAGGTGTGGCACTTGCTGGTGGTCTGGAGCTCTTCAAAGAGCTTCTAATTGACACTCTCAGAGAACAGGATTTTTTTGAAATTGGCGCTTTCGTCATGTCATGCTTGCTAGAGGCTGCAGACCACAAAGAACACAGACTTGCTGCTTTGAAATGCTTTCATGAGTGCATAAATTTCTTTTTAATGGGTGATGATGATCAGTTGCCGGTGCTTGAAGCTATCATTAAAGGAGATGTCAATAAGTGGTGTCTCTTATTCAAGCATGTTATAATCCACGAAGCTGAGGAAACGGACTTACAGGATGAGATTATTCTTACTTTGAGAGACCTTGAATCAGCTTTCCCTTCAGTACTAGCTCCAGAGATTCCAGAACTGTTCAGAACTGTTGTTGAGCGAGTAGAGCAATGCCGTGTTTCCCGAAATGTTAATGATGAGCTCCTGACACATCAAATTAATTTGATCGATATGTTTTTCAGGGCCAAAGGTAGCGAGACAATTCACAGATCGCTACTTGACATGCAAGTGCTTCAACGGTTCCTTGATATTTGCATCGCACAAGCGACTATTCCCAAGGAGCTTCAACATCTTTGGATCGACGACTACAATGATTTTGTGATTCACGAAGTCGAACTCGCTGAGGATATTTGGCCGCGCCCTGCCGTAGGTAACCTTACGGGAGATTTGCGTCACCCAATGATTCTGGCAACACTTATTGAGCGGGCAAAGACGGCACAAACATGGCTCGAACTAGAATCCATTCTGTTTTTGATTACATGCGTTTTACAGCAGTTGTCATTTGAAAGCCAGAAACTAACGCCAAATCATTTGTCGGATATCGCAGCCATCGTCAGGAGCGCTACACAGCCCGAGTTACTACACGCTCGTGCGATCATTACCGGCGGCTATATTTTGAAATACGCGGGTTCCAAACTTAGCAGTGATACCAAAGACCAAATGCTGAAACTGCCCTTCGAAATTCAATCAAATGCTTCAAATGTGGTGAAAATAGCGGCTCTTCGTAACATATCGATTGGCTGCACTGTAGCACCCGAAAAGCTTCGTTCCACACAAAAAAATATGCTGTCGTTGATTGCGAGTCTTGTTCCTGAGTCAGAAGAAGAGACCCCAGCTCTGCTGGCCGACATTATGATGAACATTTTGCGCTTGAATTTCCAGGACGTCCTCATGGATGACCAAGTATACTCATTGTTCTTCTCCTTGGTTAGCAAAGACACTGCTAATATCGAACTTACGGTTGAGCTCTTGTCTTTTGTTGAGGAAATTTTCGAAAGTGCTGAGCAAAATCCTGAGACACTGCCCAACATTTATCAGAAATTACTGGTCCCAGTAATTCAAACTTTGGCTAATGCTCAGGCATCAAAATATGAGTTCTCGAGTGACCTCCAGTTTGCTTTGGATCTTGCTGCTGTCATTTTTGAGCGTGGTGCAGAACTTCCGGACAAAAGTCGGCTTCTCCAGATCTTCCACGATCTAGTTTCAACGTGCGACGACCCTCAAATTCTACAGTCCGGATCCTTTGCATATGCTGCGCTTTTAGAGCGGCTGGGAACTATAGAGCTGGACACTAACGCAATTCAAAATGTGTTGGAAGTGGCTGCAAAGCTATTGGATCCTGATCTAGACGATGCCTCCGGGCTTGCCTCCGGCCGCCTTGTGAAAGCAATAATCGCTACGTTTGGGTCTGAGCTCGGCGATGTCTTGAGCGAAATCATTATTGCAGCCGGAACGAGGCTAGCAGCTGCAGAAAACGCTTTACTTGCTGAGAGTCTCACGCTTCTATTTTTCGATCTTATCAATCGTGACGCACTGACTATTGTAAATCTGCTGGCAGATCGTAACATTCTAGAGCCAGTGTTGAAAAAATGTTTAGCCACGTTCGAAGTTGTGCGTGGTGCAGACGAAATCCATGGAAGCGTAAGTGCCCTTGAGAACCTTTACGACCTAGAGGACCCCCGTATCGAGGCTATTCTAGTGAACGACGAGGCCTTGGCACCAAGAAACAAAATTCTGACCCGATCGGCCACGAAAAACATGAAATTCACGCAGGTTAGTGTACCAAT